TATTTAATCTATAGGTTTCATTTTATTTGAGAGACAGAGACAGGCAGAGAAAGGTTTTCCATTCACTGGTTCACTTCCAAACACCCACAACAGCTAAGGCTGGGCAGGCAGAAGTCAGGAGCTGAGTTCTCAGTCTGGTTCTCCCACCTGAGTGGCAGGGACCCAAGCATTTGAGCCTTCACCTGCTGCCTCCCAATGGGGAGTTGGAATCAGAAGCAGAGCCAGGACTTGAGCACAGGCCCTCTGTCTGGTCTGGGATGCCAGCATCCTAAGTGGAGGTTTAATTCACTGCTCCACAATGCCGCTCCTTCTTCTTCTTCGTTTTTTTTTTTTTTTTTTTTGACAGGCAGAGTGGACAGTGAGAAAGAGAGAGACAGAGACAAAGGTCTTCCTTTTGCCGTTGGTTCACCCTCCAATGGCCACCGCGGCTGGCGCACTGTGGCCGGCACACCGCGCTGATCCGATGGCAGGAGCCAGGTGCTTCTCCTGGTCTCCCATGGGGGGCAGGGCCCAAGCACTTGGGCCATCCTCCACTGCACTCCCTGGCACAGGAGAGAGAGCTGGCCTGGAAGAGGGGCAACCGGGACAGAATCCGGTGCCCTGACTGGGACTAGAACCCGGTGTGCCGGCACCACTAGGCGGAGGATTAGCCTAGTGAGCCGCGGCGCCGGCCTCCTTCTTTTTAAGATATCTTAAAATGAAATCTGAAGTCACTGGTTTTAGATATTTACTAATAAAAGCATTTAGAGTTTTAGTTTGCTTCTAAGTACTGCTTAGTTGCATCCCACATGTTTAAAATTTTTGTTTATTTTCATTATATTTGAAAGGCAGAGGAGGCAGTGTTGAGGCTCAGTGGGTTAAGCCACTGCTTGCAGTACTAGCACTCTGTATCAGAGCACTGGTTCAGGTCCTGGCTGCTGTTCTTCCAATCCAGCTTCCTGCTAATGTCCTTGGGAAGGCAGTGAATGATGGCCCAAGTACTTGGGTCCCTTTCACCCATGTGGGAGACCCCGATGGAATTCTAGGTTCCTGGCTTCAGCTTGGCCCAGCCTGGTCTGTTGTCATTTGGGGGAGTGAAACAGCAGATGGAAGATCTCTTCCTCTCTGTTTCTCCCTCTCTTTCTTGTTCTGTCTTTCAAGTAAGTAAGTAAGTAAATGAATGAATGAATGAATGAATGAATCTCTTTTTAAAAAGAAAGGAAGAAGGCACCAGTTCAAGTTCCAGCTGCTCCACTTCCAATCCAGCTTTCCTGGGAAAGCAGAGGAAAATGGCCCAAGTGCTTGGGCCCCTGCACCCATGAAGGAGACCTGAAAGAAGTTCCTGGCATCAGATCAGCCCAGCTCCAGCTGTTGCAGCCATTTGGGGAGTGAACCAGTGGACAGAAGACCTCTATCTCTGTCTCTCTCTTTCTGTGTAGCTCCACCTCTCAAATAAATAAAATCTTAAAAAAGAGAGACAGAGATCTTCTATTCTCCAGTTCATTCTCCAAATGGCCACAGCAGCCATGGCTGGGCCAAGCCTGGAACTCAGTCTGGGTCTCCCATGTAGGTCATAGGGACTTAAGTACTTACCCATCACCTGCTGCCTCCCAGGATGCACAATAACAGGAAGCTCGATTGGAAGAGGAGTAGCCAGGACTCAAACCAAGCATATATATTTTTTAAAGGTTTATTTATTATGAAAAGCGGAGGGAAGAAGAGAGAAATCTTCCATCCACTGGTTCACTTCCCAGATGATTTCAACAGCCAGCACTGGGTCAGGCCGAAACCAGGAGCCAGGAGCTTCATCTGGGTCTCCCACATGGGTAGCAGGAGCTCAAACACTTGTGCCATCTTCCGCTGCTTTCCCCAAGCCATTAGCAGGGATTTGCTCCAGAAATGGAGCAGCCAGGACACAAAGTGGCAACCACATGGAATGCCAGTGTCGTGGGTAGCCTTAACTGCTACGCTACAATGCCAGCCCCAACCATGTATACTCATAAGGGATGCTGGGCACCCCAAGTGGCAACTTAACCACTGCACCGAATGCCCACCCCTGAGTTGGACCTTAAATATTGACCCTCGGGTTGTCAGGGCTCTATTGACTTTTTTTTTTTTTTTTTTTTTTGATAGGCAGAGTGGACAGTGAGAGAGAGAGACAGAGAGAAAGGTCTTCCTTTGCCGTTGGTTCACCCTCCAATGGCCGCCGCGGCCAGTGCGCTGCGGCCGGCTCACCGCGCTGGTCCGATGGCAGGAGCCAGGTACTTATCCTGGTCTCCCATGGGGTGCAGGGCCCAAGCACCTGGGCCATCCTCCACTGCACTCCCTGGCCACAGCAGAGAGCTGGCCTGGAAGAGGGGCAACCGGGACAGAATCCGGTGCCCTGACTGGGACTAGAACCCTGTGTGCCGGCGCCGCTAGGCGGAGGATTAACCTAGTGAGCCGCGGCGCCGGCTCTATTGACTATTTTCCACTCTGCTCCCCCTCATGATTCTTCAGATTGGATAATTTCTGTTGAAATTCAGACTCTTTCCTCTGTCATCTTCATTCTGCTATTGAACTTTATTTCAGATATTTTTCAGTTCTAAAGTTTCATTTAAATCTTTTTTATGATTTCTGATTCTTCATTGATAATTCTTACCTTTTCCTTCATTTCATATGTATTTTCCTTTTTATTTTTAAGATTTATTTATTTATTTGAAAGTCAGTGTTAAATATAGAGATCTTCCATATGCTGTTTCACTCCCCAGATGGCAGCTAAGGCCAGGGCTGAGCCAGGCGGAAGCCAAGGGCTAGTAGCTTAATCCAGTCTCCCATGTGGGTAGCAGGGGCTCAAACACTTGGGCCATCTTGCGCTGATTTTCCCAGGCCATTAGCAGGAAGCTGGATCAGAAGTGGAGCAGCTGGGACACGAACTGGTGCCCATATAGGTTGCTGGCATCTCAGGCAGTTACATTTCCTGCTGTACCACAACGCAGGCCCCATGCTCTTTACATGTTGCGTAATTTTGTAATTTACCCCCAACATTGTAAGACTTTGGGTCCTCTTATAATTTTGGGGATGTTGCTGGTTTTGTTTTAGTAGGCAACTAATTGAGGTTCAGAGTGTAAGTTCTGTCTTGCTTTCTGAGGGCACTCTTTAAAATCTCAGCTGTTTTGCTTTAGTCTTTGCTATGATGAATTGGGTTGTCCAAAGCATGGATAGGTCAAGGGGTAGTCTGAGACTTCCTCAGGTGTTTCAAATCATGTTTCAGTTCTCTGAGCTTTTGTTACGTTGGTTTGGGTCATGCTAGTTCTAATTTTATTTCAGCTTTGAAAATCTTCACTAGTCTTTGCTAGGAATTATGAGATGGCCTTCTTTTCCTGTCTCTTCAGGATTCCTTCACATCCTGCTACACTTTGGCCCACAGGGACACCTTTTCCTGTTTTCTCTGACCAGAAATATTTTTTGTTATTGGGCTCTAAGCTGCCCATGTTGCTCTGCAAGTGGGGCCCACCCCATTGCAAAAATACAAGTGGGAAACTCACCCGGTGTGTGTCATTTCCCCAGGGATGCACCCACAATCCACTTGTTTGGTTTGCTTCTCAGAGTCCCAAGTTTTTAGTTGTAATCAGCAATAGGGATGGGCTGTAGTGGGTTTATGCACCACACCAGAACCAGGACTTCTCTGGACCTCACATGCAGAGAGCTGGAAATCATTCTTCTCTATTTGTGGCTTACTGACACCATCAGTATCCGTTATGTTTGCTCCACTTCCATTCCCATCCCTTCCCTCCCAGAGGAAACCAGGTTGGCAAGTGGGAGGTTTGTCCTCAAATATTTATGAATCCTTTTAACATAACACGGCTCTCCACGTTCGTTTGTTTTTAATGTGCTAACATGGCATTATACTAGAGATCTTGTCCTGCTTTTTCATTCAACAGTGTGCTTTTTAATTATGTTGGTGTCTTCAAGTGTAGAATTGGTTTATCGTTTCTTACAGCTGCCTAGAATTCCATTGTAGGCATCTACTACAGGTTATTTATGCATTTTGCTAAGGATGGTCACCTGTGTTACTTCCAGCTTCCTGCTGTTACAAACCTACCTCCATGTGTAGTTCTGGGCGGATGTACCTCTAGAGTGGTATCTTGACTCTGCGAACTTGTCTTCTCTACTACAAAACCATACTGATAGCCCACCTCATTTCTTGTCTACACCATGGCAGTGAGCTGCCTCCTCTCCCGCTGTTTACTCTTTGCCCCATGGAGCATCTTCCCTTCAGCAGACAGAGCGCTCATTCTAAACCCTGAATCTCAAGCAGGATGTAGCTGGAAATGGGAAGTCCTGGGGTCTTGCTCTGCAGCCTGCTGAGCCGGGAAGAATGTGTGGTCCTTTGCCGTGATGTCTGCTGTCTGACACGCTGACCTGTCTTAGAGTTGGCAGTCTGGCCCCCACTATGTACTATTCCAGAATTCTCTGGCCTGCTTACCTCAGACAAGATGGCATCCTTCCTCTAGCTCTGAGCTGAGTATGGTGTTGCCTCATTACAGAGCAGCCCTAGCATCAGGTTTAAGGAGGAAGCCGAGAGAAAAGGCAGATGGATCAGATTTGGGCCTGCAGAGTGTTTTCCTCTGCGATCGCAGGGATGCCCTTAGCTCCCGTCCCTCTGTCAGAGAGATGGGAATATCGGCCTGCCTGGTTACGGATCCCGGGATTCTTCTGAAGAGTCACAGAACTTTGCTACTTTGCCTCCTGTCTTAGCCAGATTTAGAAGGGCTGCCCAGCTGGGCTACAAAGTGATCACTGATGTGCACTGGTTACTCTGATTACAATGAAAGAATACATAATAATAATAATAGTTGTATTTGTTGGGCTAGATCGACCATAGTAATGGGTAGACTATGACCTATATTCTGTTTTTATATCAGGCTTCTTAGGTTTTTTACATAACTAACTAACTTGGTTATCCTCTTGTGAAAAGACTTAATAGAAAATGTTACTCTAGACCCTCCTTTGTACTATACATCTTTGTGTCATATTAGTAGCAGGACCCAGTGCTCCATAAAGGACAATAGTTTCCAGTATACTATCCCTCATGATGACTCCTTAAGTGGCTCGTCGTCTGCCTCTTCGTGTGAACCTGTGGGTGATTTTCCAGCCTCCTTCCGAAAATCTACCTACTGGATGAAGATGAGAAGGATCAAGCCAGCTGCATCTCCTCACGTTGAAGGTATCGGCGTCTGTCTGATTCCACACACAGTGCATTCTCTAAAGTGACGTTTGGAAGTCACTGCTGCGAGTATTAAATGCCATATATGTGTTTCCCAGTCCTGATTTCACTGAACAATTTTAAGGTGTCAGAGTGTCACATACTGTTAGTTTCATGAACTGTCCTGTATCAGTGAGATTCTGTTGCTCTTACTCCTCTAGGGGTTGGTTTCAGCCTTTCCTCTTCAGAGCACATGAACTTCTTTCCTGTCGTTCTGGTTGGACCCTCTGTTGGAGGATTTAGTGCCAGTGCAAGGATTATTCAGGGTAGAATGTTCTAGGAGGTCTTTGATAGTCCTCTAACTTGAGGAATTCTGCTTTAGTGTTAGCTTCCAGTCAGGATCAGGCTCGAGTAAAACATGTGTTCCAAGGACCTTCTTATTTGTGGGCTGGGAAACCACACAAAAGAAAATGGGAAGGTTGGGGCAGTGAGTGAGAAATCTCACCGCCTTCCCACGCTTCCTGTGGGGCTTGTGCTCACCGGCGGTCCTTCCCTGTGCTGATCTTGTGAATGCTCTTCTGAGGGCAGGCCCGAGGTTCCTCTCCAGAGTGTGCTGTGTGTCACTTCCCGAGGTTCCTCTCCAGAGTGTGCTGTTTGTCGCTTGCCGGCCTTTTGGTCAGGTGAAGCGCAGAGCCTACTGAGGTGGTTTTCCTTTTGTGTGCTGTTTCAGGGTCAGGTGCTGCTGCAACCAAAGGAAAAAGGAAACCGAGGCAGGAGGAAGATGAAGACTATCGAGAATTTCCTCAGAAGAAGCATAAACTTTATGGTAAGAGAGGGACTTTGCTGTTTCTTTTTGCGAATGGGTGACTGTGCTTTTATTCTTGGAGGATAAAGCAGGAGACTTTGGCAGCCCTTGAAAGGCTTTTGAGCCCTTTGAACCCGGCTGGGCGAGGGAATGGCCTCCATTCTGCCTTGTTTTACACTTTCATCTTATCGTGACTTAAGGGAGTCAGCGGAGGGAGTGCGGAGGGAGTGGGGCATCGAGTGCTGAGGAGAAGGGGGAGGGAGGAGATGGTGGTTCTAGAGAGGGGTTGGCCAAGGTGATATGTTGAGCTTCAGGTTTCTGTCTCGCGTCAGGGAGGAAGCAACGGCCTAAAACTCAGCCTGCTCCAAAATCCCAGCCTCGTCGTATTCGGAAGGAACCGCCAGTTTATGCAGCAGGTATGCTTTCTGTGGGACACCCTGTGGGCCATCATTCTCCTGCTCTGGTTTGTTGTCGTCTGGAAGGCGTGACATCCTAAAGAATTTCTGTAAGGAGACCTGAGTTTGGAGGTCACAGACTTTTGTTTCAGTTTTGGCTCTTCATTCACTTACTGGCCTGCCTCAGTTGATTGATCTACTGCGAGTCTCAGTTTTCCTGCCTATACATAGGGATAATACAGGCCATCAGAACTATTGTGAAAATTAAGTGGGATAACACAGTTAGCATGGTGTCGGGCACATGGTGCGCATTTAGCAAACTGGCTGTTATGTATCCCATTTGACATGCTGCTGTGAAAATGCAGCTGGGGTCTTTAAGCCAATGAGCTTTGCAGTGGTTCTCAGATGGGATTTATTTTATTTTATTTATTTATTTATTTTTTTTGACAGGCAGAGTGGACAGTGAGAGAGAGAGAGACAGAGAGAAAGGTCTTCCTTTGCCGTTGGTTCACCCTCCAATGGCCGCCGCGGCCGGCGCGCTGCGGCCAGCACACCGCGCTGATCCGATGGCAGGAGCCAGGAGCCAGGTGCTTTTCCTGGTCTCCCATGGGGTGCAGGGCCCAAGCACCTGGGCCATCCTCCACTGCACTCCCTGACCACAGCAGAGAGCTGGCCTGGAAGAGGGGCAACCGGGACAGAATCCGGTACCCCAACCGGGACTAGAACCCGGTGTGCCGGCGCCACTAGGCGGAGGATTAGCCTAGTGAGCCGCGGCGCCGGCCCTCAGATGGGATTTATCGGGAGGAGATGAGTGGGAATTTCAGAAACGCCTCACTATCTGAAAAAAATTACTTTTAGAAGTTACACACAATAAGTCTCTTCACTATTGCTTAGTAAGGAAGGGCAAATGTTTTCTCTGATACTTTTCCTAAGTAGGATTATGCCTTTTGTGTCTGGAGGATACTGCAGATAACTGAGTTCCTTTCTCTCCTTTGTAGGCAGTTTGGAAGAGCAGTGGTACTTGGAAATTGTGGATAAAGGCAGCGTCTCCTGTCCTACCTGCCAGGCAGTCGGCAGGAAGACCATAGAGGGTTTAAAGAAACACATGGAGAACTGTAAACAGGTTGGATGTTTTGTTGCATTTCAGAACCGTATTCTCTTGGGCATGCTGGCTACAATGGATAAGAGGCAGTTTCGTGCTATAGAGAAATAGGCTTAGGATCTTACAGACTTGGGCATGGATTCTCACTTAGCTACCTACTAGCTGTGACATTGAGTTTTCTGTGTGTGGACCTTGGCATCCTCATTTGTGAAATGGAGAAGAAAAATACAATGACCTTGTGTAGTACCTGAGAGGATGAGAGAGCAGTAACATGCGCTGAGTGCCCGGCCCGTTCCTTGGCGGATGTGGGCATTCTGGTTCTCTGTTGAATAGCCTGACATTGAGCAGTGTGTTGTTTTCTTTTAGGAAATGTTTACTTGTCATCATTGTGGGAAACAACTGCGGTCACTGGCAGGGATGAAGTATCATGTCATGGCAAATCATAATAGTTTGGTAAGAATGCCTTCTGTTCTTTGTGAGGCTTTGCAGCATTGGATATCTTTTTTTTTTTAAGTTATATTTATTTATTAGGAAGGCAGTGTTGGAGAGAGGCAGAACAGAAAGAGAGAGAGAAAGAGAGAGAGGTCTTCCATCCACTAGTTCACTTCCCAAATGGGTGCAATGGCCAGAGTTGAGCTGATTTGAAGCCAGGCGCCTCCTCCAGGTCTCCCATGCAGGTGCAGGGGCCCAAGGACTTGGGCCATCTTCCACTGCTTTCCCAGGCCATAGAGAGAGCTGGATTGGAAGTGGAGCAGCCGGGACTAGAACCAGCACGCATATGGGATGTTGGCACCACAGACAGCTGCTTTACCTGCTATGCCACAGCACCGGCCCCGGATGTCGGTTTCTTAGCTGCGTGTAGATATTTCAGTGCAGATGGCTGAGGCTCTGTTATCTTATTGAGGTGTAAGAAGATCCTTTTGATTGAAAAATGACACCATGACAACTTTGTGCTGGATCCGTAGGTTTAGGTTAGTCCCAGAGGTGCATATCCTGGGAAGTGGGGGACTCAGAACTCCTAGTACCTTTGGATTGACTTTGCCTCTCCAGAAGAAGTTGGGGTAAGCCAGGAGCCAGGTGCCGTGACTTCACGGGCATCAGCTTAACTGGCAGAACGGTTCTGCTGACTCTCCATGATTTGTTTTTCCCTGTATCTGTCTTTTCCATGGATGATCTGCTTTTCTTTTGATTTCTAGCCCATTTTGAAGGCCAGTGATGAAATAGATGAGCCGAGTGAAAGGGAACGGCTCCGAACAGTTCTTAAGAGACTGGGAAAGCTCAGATGCATGCGTGAGGTAAGAGCCCAAGGACAAAAGCCCTGGAGTCTCAGGCCGATGTCTTTTTGTTCTTTTTCGTTTCTTCTCTTCATCCCTCGTAGAACTCCTACGTGTGTGCCATCTCATGGCGTGAGGGTGGCTCCTGTTCTTCAGACTTACCAGTGGTTGTTAATTTTCTTTCTCACTTCCAAAAGTTTATTTTACCTTTGTTCAAAGGGGTTCCTTTACCATCCTTCCTTTAGTGTGATGATGAGGATCCCAGTAATGATGAACTTTGATGTTGCTGGGTATTTGATATAGGATGGGGTTGGATCACAAACCAAAAAGCAGCTCTAACCCAGGGTGGGTGCACAGGTACAGTTTATCAGATGCTAACCACACTGCTGGAATATCATGCTTGGTCATAGACAGGACAGCCAGGACAAGAAAGGGTTGTACCAACGGGAAATGTTAGAGAGGGTCTTGTGATATCACACAAGGTCTTCTTGTATTTTATGGTGGTGAGTGCTTTGTGGTGGGTTAGAAATTTACAGATGATGGGCCAACATTGTAGCCCACTGGGTTAAAGCCACTGTTTTTGATGCTGGCATCCCATATCAGAGTGCTGATTTAAGTCCCAACTATTCTTCTTCCCATCCAGCTCCCTACTTGTGTGTATGGTAAAGCAGTGGAGGATAGCCCAAGTGCTTGGGCCCCTGACACCCACATGGGTGGGTGACCTCGATAGAGTTCTAGGTTCCTGGTTTGTCCTGGGCCAGCTCCAACTGTTGATGCCATTTGGGAACTAAACCAGAGGAAGGTCTCTCTCTTCCTCTGTATCTCTGTCACTCTGCCTTTCAAATAAAAAGGGCTGGCATTGTGGCATAGTGGGTTAGACTGTTGCCTGTAACACTAGCATCCCATTGGTTTGAGTCCCAGCTGCACCACTTCCAATCTAGCTCCCAGCTAATGCACCTGGGAAAGCAGTGGAAGATGAACCAAGTATTTGGGAGACCTAGATGAAGCTCCTGGCTCCTGGCTCCAATCTGACCCAGTCCTGGCCATTATGGCCATTTGGGAGGTGAACCAGCAGATGGAAGACCTCTCACTTTCTGTCTTTTCCTCTCTTTCTGTAACTCTGCCTTTCAAATAAATAAATAAAAATAAATCTTTAAAAAAAAACAAAACAAAACAAAAATTACAGATCATGTCTGAAGATGTAAGATTGTATTTTAGGCTTTTTTTCTTGTGTTCAGAGTTGTTCCAGTAGCTTTACCAGCATCATGGGATATCTGTACCATGTTAGAAAATGTGGCAAAGAGGCTGCAGAGCTGGAGAAGATGACCCTCAAATGTCACCACTGTGGAAAACCGTATAGATCAAAGGCTGGGCTTGCGTATCACCTGAGGTCAGAGCATGCGCCTGTGAGTACTGATTTCTTTCTAGACCCTATTAGGAAATGCATTTTATGGTGAGTACTTAGGCCTGTGTCTTCCCATATAGTCTTGCTTCCTTGTTTGTATCTCTCACCCCTTTTTTTAAACATTGTTTATCTTCAATAACTGTATATATTTATATTTAATACTACTGTGCGATATTTCAATACATATCTCCCCTTTTAATCATCGAATGCCTTTGTTCTCTCTTCCTTGTTCTTTATCCTTTTATTTCTGCCTTTTGAATGTTATTAGATTAGAAAAGTGAAATTTCAAAGTATTTTCAGGGAGAAGTAAATTTATTATTATATATTTAAAACTAGAGGCTGGCCGGTGCCGTGGCTCACTTGGCTAATCCTCCACCTGTGGCGCCGGCACCCCAGGTTCTAGTCCCGGTCAGGGTGCCGAATTCTGTCCCGGTTGCTCCTCTTCCAGTCCAGCTCTCTGCTGTGGCCCAGGAGTGCAGTGGAGGATGGCCCAGCGCTGTGGTGCAGCAGGTTAATGCCCTGGCCTGAAGCGCCGGCATCACATATGGGTGCTGATTTTAGTCCGGGCTGCTGCTCTTTCAATCCAGCTCTCTACTATGGCCTGGGAAAGCAGTAGAAGGTGGCTCAAGTCCTTGGGCCCCTGCACCCACTTGGGAGACCCAGAAGAAGCTCCTGGCTCCTGGCTTCGGATTGGCACAGCTCTGGCCATTGTGGGCATTTGGGGAGTGAGTCATTGGATGGAAGACCCCTCTCTCTCTCTGCCTCTCCTCTCTCTGTGTAACTCTGACTTTTAAATAAATAAATAAATCTTAAAAAAAAAAAAAAAACAACTAAAGGCTTCCCTTTTAGCAAAAATTTTGTGGGAACCTTTCGAGCTGGTTCATCTATTCCAATTTTTTGTCTCTCCCTCTCTACCCCCAATTAGATTTCCTAACTTCCCTGTACTGTGTATATGTTTTTTTTTTTTATGGTCAACTTTGTTAAGTATAATTTACATGTGGTAGTATTTACCTTTTTAGAGCACAATACTGAGCTTTTTTTTTAAGATTTTATTTATTTATTTGAGAGGTGGAGTTACATACGATGAGAGGGAGAGACAGAGAGAATGGTCTTCCATCCGCTGCTTCACTCCCCAAATGGCCGCAATGGCTGGAGCTGAGCCAATCTGAAGCTAAGAGCCAGGATATTCTACTGGGTCTCCCATGCATGTACAGGGACCCAAGCGCTTGAACCATCTTCTACTGTCTTCCTAGGCCACAGCAGAGAGCTGGATCGGAAAAGGAGCAGCCAGGACTAGAACCGGTGCCCAAATGGGATGCCGGCACTGTAGGCGGAGGATTAACCTACTCACCACAGCGCTGCCCATGGTAGTGAGTTTTGATACATGAATATAGTCAGGTAACCACCACTACCATCAAGACAGAGAACAATTCTGTCACCTTTCATATTCCCTTGTGTTGGGGATGGCGTTGTAGTGAAACAGTTTAAGCCACCACTTGTGACACCAGCATCCCCATATGAGTGCCAGTTCAAGTCCCAGCTGCTCCACTTCTGATCCGACTCACTGCTAATGCCCTGGGAAACCAGCAGAAGATGGTTCAGGTCCTTCGGCCCCTGCACCCACATGGGAAACTCGGACGGAGCTCCAGGATCCTGGCTTTGGCCTGGCCCAGCCCCAGCTCTTAGCTCCATCTGGGGAGTGAATCAGCAGATGGAAGATCTGTCTGTCTGTCTTTCTCTCTCTTTCTGACTCTTCATCTCTGTCTATAACTCTTTCCTTCAAATAAATGAGTAAATCTTTAAGATAAATTACCTTGTGTCCCTTTGTATTCAGTTCCTCCCCTCACTTGCAGTTCCCGGAAACCACTGATCTTTTCTGTCCCTATTGCTTTGTCTTTTTTCATATGATATATGGCCTTTTGAGTCTGACTTTTCTACTTAGCATAAAGCAGTTGAGAGTCATCCACGTGTTGCATGTGTCACTAGTTTATTCCTTCCTATTTCTGACGAGGAGTCCATTGTATTCATGTTGTAAGTTTGTTGTTTACGCCTTCGCCAGTTGTAGAACATTTGGGTTATAACCAGTTTTTGGCAGTTATGACTAAAGCTGGTATAGACATTTACATAAAGTTTTTTGTGTGAAAATAATTTTTAAATTCTTGAGTAAATATGTGTATGCATGGATTTAAAAAATTTTCACCAAAATGACTTAATCTTTTAAAATTTTATTTTCCACAAACTTTTTGAAGTACCTGCTTACCATCACATCTAGGATCACAAAAAATTTTTCCCATGGTTCCGTCTAGAAATTTTATGCCTTTATGTTATGTATTTAGGACTATGGTCTCTTTTGAGTTGATTTTTTAATATAGTATAAATTATGGATTGAGGTTCATTTCTTTGAATAAGAGTGTGTCTGGACTTATAATTACTTTTGCTTATTACAACATAGCTGATTTTATCCTGCTAATATGCTTTTTTTAGCCAATAAGATATGCATCACTGTGGTAGAGCTTGATGGTAGTGATCAGGAAGCTTCCAAATGGCTCTTTTGATACTCAGAGCAGTCTTTAATCACTGATGGAAGTCACTTATCAACCCTGATTTGCTGTGTCTCATTCTTGCAGATCTCCTTCTTTCCAGAATCAGGACAGGCAGAGTGCTTAAAGGAGATGAGCCTGGAGCCAAAGAGTGGGGGCCGAGTCCAGAGGCGTTCTGCCAAAATAGCTGTGTACCACCTGCAGGAGTTGGCCTCTGCTGAGCTGGCCAAGGAATGGCCTAAGAGGAAGGTGCTTCAGGATCTGGTACCTGATGATAGGAAGGTAAGGTAAAAACCTGTATAGTTTTGAAACCATTTTGTCAAATATTATACTTCACTATTTATAGAAAAGTAAATTTACTTGAATGAGTACATCCTAAGCAATATTTGCTTCTTTTTCCTTGGAGATGGCATATGTCTGATCCAGCTTCAGTGTTTGGATTCAGGTGGGTCCTAGAATGACATTCTGTTTCGGAAGTTCCTTAAGGAGTCCTCTTACATTCTAGACTGCTTCCAGAGAAAACTCAAATTCCCAGCTTAGATATTTTTGCTTAGTCTTTGTCCAATGTGTTTCCATTTGTTAGTTCATATGTAATAGTTTATATTTAGTGAAGTGCTTTCAGTTTGTTTTTATAGCAATAGCACTGTTCTCCTTCCTTTTTTCAAAATTAAAATCTATGTAAAACACCAGTATATGTAATAACTAAAAACATTTTTGCTCTGAATAACTGGGGGTGGTAAGCCCAAAGCCTTATCTACTTAGCTATCTCCTTGATTCTTTTATCATTCCCCTACATGACTTCTATCCTGCTTCTGAGGGGTGCAGAACCCACTGGATAAGAATAGATCTTAGAGGCGAGGAGCATTAATTAAGCCAAGAGGAGGCTGGGTATATGACAGTGTGGTAGCCATGGGGAGGATTTGAAGGGGATATATAATAAGGACTAAGATAGAACTAAGTACCCATTACTCTCCAGGCTAGCAGAGTCGTTTAGATTTGGCCTAGGGCTCTGAACTGTTTGAGAGGAATGTTATATTAGAAGAAAATGAGGTCAAATCCTAGAATCTAACACTGTTCTCGTGTTTGAAAATTAGCCCTACTGATTATCCAGTAGGAATTGCTTTTGAATATCAGAGTATCCTTGCTTGTTTCAGATTTACTTCTACACTTCTTTTGTGTTACAGGCTATCTAATTCTATTGAAATATGGACTTTGTGCAGTGATATGTTTCTTGGGATCTTGCAGCCTAGGATCTCTACATGGTATATGGTAGGGAATTGGAGACAGATACCAGTGATCAAGTTTATTATTTTATTATTTAAACACAAGAATTTAGTTTTTTTGGATAGTTTGTTCTCATGGTTCAGAAGTCAAAATGGTGATCATGGAGCTACCCCATTCTCCCCAGGCCTATCCCAGTGTTAGCAATTCTTACTAGCTTCTTAGGCATCTTTCCAGGGTTTCTTTGATATACATATAAATAATAGATTTTTTAAAAAAACTTTATTTTGAAGTAATTTTAGATTTACGGATCAGTTGCAGAATTAGTAGAGCTCCCTTGTACTCTTCACACAGCTTTTATAACCATGTTAGAGGATCCCATCAAGATCCCACATTGTATTTGATACTGTATCTTCCATAGTCTTCTCCAGTGTGTTACAGCTTCCCTGGCTTTGTTTCTTGTGTCCTTGAAACCTTTGGAAAGGAACCGCTGGTTATTTTGTAGAGTGTTCCCCAATGTGGATAAGTTGAGGGTTTTATTTTTCATCAAGAATAACAAGGAAGTAATGTCTGTTCTCAATCTAGCATGTCAGAGGTATATGGTATTGATATGTATTTTTTTACTGCTGGCAATAACTTTGATCAGTTGTTTAGCATGTGTCTTGCAGCTGTCTCCTAGTAAAATTACAGTGTTGCCTTTGTAATTAGTATTTTGTGGGGGGGTACTGAGATTATGCAAATATCCTGCTTCATGTGATACTTCTACCACTTACATCATCATCCACTGACAGTTGTTGTCTACAGTAACTATTACTTTGGTGTTTATCTTATGTTTTTGTTTCCACAAGTCTTTTACAGTTTTTTAAAATTAATTTATAAAATTTTATTTGAGGACCCGGAGCTTTGGCATAGCAGGTTAGGCATTCGCCTGTGCTGCCAGCATCCCATATGGGCGCCAGTTTGAGTCCTGGATGCTCCACTACCAAACTAGTTCCCTTCTGATATCCTGGGAAAGCACTGGAAGATGGCCCAAGTGCTTGGGAGACCCGGAAGAAGCTCCTGGCTCCTGGCTTCAGATCAGCGCAGCTCCTGCAGTTTTGGCCATTTGAGGAGTGAGCCAGTGGATGAAAGATCTCTCTGTCTCTTCCTCTCTCTGTCGATAACTATGCCTCTCAAGTAAATAAATAAATCTTAAAAAAATTCTTATTTTAAAGGCAGAGTAAGAGAAATCTTCCATCTGCTAGTTCAATTCCCAAATGCCTGCAACAACCAGGACTGTGTCAGGCCAAAACCAGGAGCCCGGAACTCCATCCGGGTCTCCCACATGAGTAGCAAGAACTCACTACTTTATCCATAACATCCTGCCTCCCAGAGTATGCATTAGCAGAAAGCTGGAATCAGAAGTGGAGCCAGGACTCAATCCCAGTCACTGATAGGAGATGCAGACATCCAGAGGGTGTCTTTAATTGCTGTACCAAATGTCCATCCCTCTTCTACAATCATTGATAGCAATTCTGTGAGAAAAAGCTGTCCTTTCCCGCTGTTAATTTATTTTTATCAGCATAGACTCATGGATATTTTATTCTGTGAGTTATAATTCAGTGTGATTATTATTAATTTTGTTGCTCAAATTGTCCCAGATTTGGCCATTGAGAGATCTTTCAAGCTCTTTATTGGGGGCAGGTATTGTGGCTCAGCAGGATTAAGATGCCACCTTAAGCGCCAGCATCCCATGTGAGCACCAATTCTAGCCCCAGCTGCTCCACTTTCCATCTAGCTCCCTGCTAAAGCAGCTGGGAAAGCAGCAGGAGATGACGCAAGTGCTTGGGCCCCTGCCCACCCATGTGGGAGACCTGGATGGAGCTCCAGCCTCCTGGCTTCAGCCTGGCCCAGCCCCAGATTTTGGTGGCCATCTGGGGTGTGAGCCAGTAGGTGGAAGATCTCTATCTTTCCCTCTCTGTAACTCTGCCTTTCGGATAGACAGACAGACAGACAGACAGATAGATAAATAAATCTTAAAAAAAAAAAAAGGGCCATGATACCTTCAATTCCAACCCAACACCAAAAGTTGCATTCTTGTCTTCCTGTTTATTTGTAACTTCTTTCTCCAATAGTAAGAAATCTCTCATTATCCACAATAGATTTACTTATTTGTTCAATTCTAGTATAACAAAGTAGTTTTAGAATTGCTCATTCCCATGTAGAAAATGAATTTGCTAATTAAAGGGTAATATTTGTATTATAGTTCTTTTTCTTTTTAAATTTATTTATTTGAGAGGGCAGAGTTACAGACAAAGAGAGAGACAGAGACAGAAAGAGAGGTCTTCATCCACTAGTTCACTCCTCAAATGGCTGCGATGGCTGAAGCTGAGCCAATCTGAAGCCAGGAGCCAGGATCTTCTTCTGGGTCTCTCACGTGGGTGCAGCTTCTTTTACTGCTTTCACAGGCCACTAGCAGGGAGCTAGATTGGAAGAGGAGCAGCTGGGACACGAACTAGTGCCTGTGTTGGGGTGCTGGCGCCACAGGCAGAGACTCAACCTACTATGCCAGAGCACTGGCCCCTGTATTACAGAGTTCTTATTGTAATAAGGTCAAAATACTATCTTGCAAAGTTACTTATTTTTCCTTCCCTGCTTCCTTCATTATGTCACCCATTTGTAATAAGTTCACATATAGATTACATTTTAATCATCCTATTTAATTTCAACTACTCATTTGTTTGGAAGATAGGTGAAATGTCATTGTGGTTCTAAATCAGACCTGTACAGCAAAGTATACTTAAAGGGAGTCAGTGTACTTCATCTCCCCTTTCCATTCCCATTCCCTTTCCCTTTTTCTTCCTTCCCTATTCCACCCACTCCCAAAGGTAACCAAATCCATTTGTTTCTGTTTCACCCTTCTTGCATTTTTAAGGGATGAGAGAACAGATTACATGTAGAGGTGATTTTCTTATAGCCTGTCCTTTCTTACCATACATACTGTTTTGCATACTGCTTTATTTTATTTAAGAATATATCCTGGGGGCTGGTGCTGTGGTGCAGTGGGTTAAAGCCCCAGCCCGCAGCGCCAGCATCCCATATGGGCGTCAGTTCAAGTCCCAGCTGCTCCACTTCTGATCCAGCTCCTTGCTAGTGCACCTGGGAAGGCAACAGAGGATAGGCCAAGCTCCTGGCTCCTGGCTTCAGATCAGCTCAGTTGTGGCTGTTTTAACCATTTGGGGAGTGAACCAGCAGATGGAAGACTTCTTTATCTCTCTCTTTCTCTGTAACTCTGTCTTCTAAGTAGATAAAATAAATCTTTTTTTTTTTTTAAAGAATATATCTTAGAAATCACTCCTAGTGTGTTCATAGAGTTCATCCTTATTCTTTTAAAAATTTTTTTAAAAATATTTTTTATTTTATTTGCGAGACAGACATAGGCATCTCCCAGCTACTGGTTCACTCCTCAAAAGTCCCCAATGGCCAGGGCTGAGCCAGGAATGAAGCCAGGAGACAAGAATTCAGTCTGGGTCTTCCATGTGAGTGGCAAGGACCAAACTACTTGAGCCATCACCTCTGCCTCCTGGGAGCACATTAGCAAAAAGCTGGAATTGGAAGCTGAACTGGGACTTGAACCCAGGCATTCTGACATGGGACATGGGGATCATAAGTGATATCTTACCCATTACACCAAATTCCCGCTCCCTCATTCTTTTGTTTTCATTGCTGCATCGTACATAGTTTAAATGATAGTTTATTATATAAAAATAATAGCTTATTTAAATTCTCCTATTTGTAAAAGGATTCTAGATGGATTCATTTGTACTAGCTGCCGAAATGCATAAATGCATGTGAGTGAAGCCAGCTCCATGTTCTAATTTCTTCTCTAGACTTATCAGAGGGTCTTCTGATGAATCTTTCTTACTAATAGCATTGCCTGTATGGCCTGTGGTTTGTTTTTCTGTCTCGGAGAATCAGGTTCTTTCTAGGTACCTGAAGCTGGAAGGTTGTTGACTTACCAGAGGTGGCCCCACTTTACCCATGGGAGGCTTTGCCAGCTTTCTCTGCAGCTACTGTCTCTTCGCTGGAAACTCCAGTAATTGTTAGAAGGAGAGGTTATGTAAATAAGAAGTGCTAGGAAGAATTCTGCTTTTCTAGTATAAACAAGGATTATGTGTTCTGTTACCTGGTTTCTCTGAATCCTTGTTTTAGGTCAAACCTTTTTTGTTTTAGAATTTAGAAAATACTGGAAATTGGGACCAGTGTAGTGATACAGTAGGGTAAGGTGCTGCTTGTGATGCCAGCATCCATATCAGGGTGCCAATTCAAGTCCTGCCTGCCCTGCTTCTTTTTTTTTTTATTTTTATTTTTATTTTTATTTTTTATTTTTTGGACAGGCAGAGTGGACAGTGAGAGAGAGAGACAGAGAGAAAGGTCTTCCTTTTGCCGTTGGTTCACCCTCCAATGGCCGCCGCGGCCGGCGCACCGCGCTGATCCGATGGCAGGAGCCAGGTACTTATCCTGGTCTCCCATGGGGTGCAGGGCCCAAGTACTTGGGCCATCCTCCACTGCACTCCATGGCCATAGCAGAGAGCTGGCCTGGAAGAGGGGCAACCGGGACAGAATCTGGCGCCCTGACCGGGACTAGGACCCAGTGTGCCAGCGCCGCTAGGCGGAGGATTACCCTATTGAGCCACGGCGCAGGCCTGCCCTGCTTCTGATCCAGCTTCCTGCTAATGCACCTGGGAAAGCAGTGGGACGGTGACCCATTACTTGGGACCCTGCCAAACATGCAGGAGATCAGAATGGAATTCCTGACTGCTGACTTCAGCCTGGCCCACACCTTGGTATTGTGGCTATTTGGAGAGTGAACCAGTGGACAGAAGATCTCTCTTTGTCTATTCCTTTCTCTCTACCACTCTGCCTTTCAAATAAATCTTAAAAAAATAAAAAATTAGAAATAGTGAAAATTAGTTTATAATCATTAAGGAAAAATCAGAAATTCAAATAAGCAGGGAAAAATTGTTCAAACTATTTTTTAACAAAAAAATTTTGACTCTGTGCACTGCTCTGATTTTTTCTTCCTTTTTAAACTAGATTGTTATATCTGAAAGTCTCCTATCTTCTGTTAAATCAAGCTTTTCTGTGACTAAAGAATGGTCAGTTATACATATTCAGTTATTCAGGAACTTTAAAAGGTCTTATATCGGGGCCATGGCTGTGATGTACAAGGTTAAGGTGCCTCCCGAAATGCTAACATCCACAAAGGTGCTAGTTCAAGTCCCAGCTGCTCCATTTTCAATCCAGCTCCCTGCTGGGAAGATAGTGGAAGACAACCCAAGTCCCTGAATCCTTGCACTCAATGTGGGAGACCCAGAAGAAGCTTCTGGCTCCTGGCTTTGGCCTGGCCTAACTCTGACTATTGCGGCCATTTGGGGAGTGAATCAGCACATTGAAGATCTCTGTCTCTCCTCCTCTGTCACTATCTCTGCTTTTTAAGTAATTAAAATAAATCTTGAAAAAAGAAAGGGTCTTTATATCTTTGGTTTTTTTTCGTATATGAAATTATACTTGTAGATTCTAGAATCATAACCTGAAAAGTTGGATGTGAGAATTTTGTGGTATTCTGGTTGGGAGTTGAATTCCTTTAATAAAATGTTGTCTTGTCTTGTAGTTAAAATACACCCGCCCTGGGCTACCTACCTTCAGCCAGGAGGTACTGCACAAGTGGAAGTCAGATATCAAGAAGTATCATCGCATTCAGTGTCCTAACCAGGTGGTTCTTTCTTCTTCATTTACTCAGTAGATGTTTAGCAAGCTTCGGCTCTTTTCAGTTATTTATTCCTTTGTGATGAAAAACCCAAACCTTAGTGCCTTAAAACAGTCATGATTTTATTTGTCCGAGTAATTCTGCCAGAGCCCCGCCGGACAGTTCTGTTGTGTGTGGCATCAGCTAGGAACACTCAGAGGGTGTGTTCAGCTGAAAGCTCGGCTGGGGCTGAAACGTCCAAGATGGCTTCTGTGCAGCTTCCTGCAGCTGGGAGCTTGCTTCTCCCCGTGGCCTCTCTCTCTGGCGGGGTTCTTGGACTACCAGCCGGTGACACAGTGACTGACTCCTCAGACCGAATGTTCTAAGAACATGAAAGCAGAAGCTGCAGATCTTCTCTTTTATGGCAGACTTTGTAGAGGATCACCCATTGTATTGATCCAAGGAATCAAAGGGCAAAGGCAGGGCCGGCGCCGCGGCTCACTAGGCTAATCCTCCGCCTTGCGGCGCCGGCACACCGGGTTCTAGTCCCGGTCAGGGCGCCAGATTCTGTCCCGGTTGCCCCTCTTCCAGGCCAGCTCTCTGCTGTGGCCAGGGAGTGCAGTGGAGGATGGCCCAAGTGCTTGGGCCCTGCACCCCATGGGAGACCAGGAAAAGCACCTGGCTCCTGGCTCCTGCCATTGGATCAGCATGGTGCGCCGGCTGCAGCGCGCTGGCCGTGGCGGCCATTGGAGGGTGAACCAACGGCAAAGGAAGACCTTTCTCTCTGTCTCTCTCTCTCTCTCACTGTCCACTCTGCCTGTAAAAAAAAAAAAAAAAAAAGGCAGCTTGTGAGGGAGGGCAGACGCCCTTCTGGACGGGAAGAGTGGCAGAGACTTTGCAGCCGTCTACACCACCGTGGCTGTGTACACAGCAGTTAGGGGAGGAGTGAATATAAAAGAAATGGGAGGCACAGTCATACTAATTAAGGCAGATTTTTAAAAAATGTCCAGTTTTCCTGTATTTCCCTTGAGTATTAGAGAGAGTGCTAGGGAAGTGAAATATGCAATCATTTCTAAATAGCTTGTTCACCTTCTTTTTCTTTTTTCTTTTACCCTTCCTTTGTGTGTGTGTGTGTGTGTGTGTGAGAGAGAGAGAGAGAGAGAGAGAGAGAGAGAGAGACTTACATGTGGATTCTTTTTCTGTGTGGTTTATGTAACTATTTATTGTTTCTTTCCTCCAGAAGTGTGGTTGACCAGTGTAAATGATACATATCATTGCTATGAGAAGGATGCTATTTGCTGTGGTCTTCACACACTTTTTTCTCTCTTTCAGGGTTGTGAGGCTGTCTACAGTAGTGTATCTGGCCTTAAAGCTCACCTGGGCTCTTGTACATTGGTTTGTAACTTTTTAAACTTAATATGTTCACGTATCCTTTAAAATAGTCTGACATGGAAGAGAATTCAGTTTTGGTGAACAGCTGGTCGTCCTGATTACTGTTATCTTCAGAGGCTGCCTTAGTTTTTTATGTCCCACAGATTCTTAGTGTTTATTGGGTGGGATGCTGGGATATGTCCAAGACCCTGGAAAAGCCAACACATCCTGTAAGTTTTATCAGTAATGGAATTTGGACAAAAACATATCAGTTTTGAGTCCCTACCAGGGATTTAATACCTTCCAGGGGAGCGTCTGCCACTCTGGGCCTGCCCTGTCTTATTGGGCCTTACACTTTTGAAACTCAACCTACAAGGATTTCTCTGAATTGTTGAAGGTCCTCTAAATCCATCTTAACTGTCCTGGCCTCTGGGGATGGGTGGTGGGAAAGGGTGTCAGGCTAATAGCCATTCACCTCACTGAATCTTCTCCATGTTGACCCAGGTGTCCTACAACCCACCAGCCATGGGAACTGCTGCCACTTTCCAATCCCATTCAGAAGTGTCTCTTCCCACAAAATGATCACCATGGAAACCTGAAGCTTCGGGAGGGGAGAGAAGTCTCAGTTCAAGGCAACAAGAGAGTTAGAGGCATCCAAACCAGATCTGTCCAGGCACGCTTAGGAGTTTGTCATCTTGATCCTAGTTTCTGAGTCTTTTTTTTTTTTTTTTTTTTTGACAGGCAGAGTGGACAGTGAGAGAGAGAGACAGAGAGAAAGGTCTTCCTTTTTGCCGTTGGTTCACCCTCCAATGGCCGCCGCTGCAGCCGGCGCACCGCGCTGATCCTGGCAGGAGCCAGGAGCCAGGTGCTTTTCCTGGTCTCCCATGGGGTGCAGGGCCCAAGCACCTGGGCCATCCTCCACTGCACTCCCTGGCCATAGCAGAGAGCTGGCCTGGAAGAGGGGCAACCGGGACAGAATCCGGCGCCCCGACCGGGACTAGAACCCGGTGTGCCGGCGCCGCAAGGTGGAGGATTAGCCTATTGAGCCACGGCGCCGGCTTCTGAGTCTTTAAACTAGGTATTATGGATGGTACTCTTCTAATTCTGGATCACTGAGGCACGCTTTGCAGCAGCGGAGCATAATGGGAAGAATGGCCTGGTGGTCCCTCTGGAGAATTTGGGGAGTTTGATAATTCTGGGGCAGAAACCAAGAGAACCTGGAAGTGAAAGGAACATAGGAAGTCAGAGAAACGTGCCTCTTACATAGTAAAAGCAGGAGGATGCCAGGTTGTGTTGGAGGTGTGGTGGGTGTCTGGTAAGCATCGTGTTAGGGTTTACATGGGTGATAGTCTATTCAAGCTCGTTTTCCCAAATACATTGCTCTTTCGAATCTTTTTCCTTCTTACCTTTGCTAAGTAGAATCTCCACTTTTCATCTAATGGTCCTTACACAGAGACCAGGTCTGTATTCTTGTTTTACCATTAATTCTCTCTCTTTTTTTTTCCTCTTGGAAATAGGGAAACTTTGTGGCTGGAAAATACAGGTGTCTTCTATGTCAGAAGGAATTTGTGTCAGAGAGTGGTGTCAAGTATCACATCAACTCTGTCCATGCCGAGGTGAGGTCTCCGCTTTCTCACAGTGGTCTTGCGGTGCTGTGGGCCTGATGTGTGAGCCACATGAAGGTTAAGGGAAGAACTCTCAAAGTAGAGAGCAGAGGCCCTGCAGTTAAAATTCTCTGTCGAATTCGATGTGTAATTGTATGAAGGGTGCTTCAAGAAGTTTGTGGGAAATGATTCAAAAGACAAATTTATTTTTGTGCAAAAAAGTGTTAAAAGCCATGCATATGAGGGATCTTCAGAAAGTTCATGAAAAATGCGTACTACAGCAGTGGATGTTTGGCACAGGGGGTTTAGATGCCAGTTGGGCTGCCTGTGTCCCATATTGAAGTGCCTGGGTTCGAGTCCCCACTGTGCTTCCAGCCCAGCTGCCCACTAATATGCATTCTGGGAAGTAGAAGGTAATGGCTCCTGGCTTCAGCCTGACCCAGCCTTTGCTATTGCAGGTATCCGGGGAGTGAAGTAGTAGACAGGGATGGAAAATCTCTCTGTTTTTCTGTCTCTTATTCTGCCTTTCAAGTAAAAAATAAAAATAAATTTTAATAAGAAAATTTAAGAAGGAAATGAATATTATGAAAGAACTGTGCATGACTTGAAAAATTTTTTTGCTAAAAGAAACTTGCCTTTCATTCTGTTTTTCCACAAACCTTTTGTAAAAATTAATTTATTTGAGAGGCAGGGGATGGGGTGGAGTGCTTCCATCTGTGGTTCGCTCCCCAAATGCCCACAGTATTCACAGTTGGATGGGGCTGAAGCCAGGAGCCAGGTACTCAGTCCAGCTCTCCCACACAAGTGGCAGGAACCCGACTACTTGAGACTGCCGCCTTCCAGGCTCTCCATTAGCAGGAAGCGGGAGCTGAGTTTCAGACTTGGGTACTTCAGTATGACATACCGGTTTCTTTCTTTTGTTTTATTTTATTTTATTTTATTTTATTTTATTGACAGAGTTAGACAGTGAGAGTGAGAGACAGAGAGATAAAGGTCTTCCTTCCGTTGGTTTACCCCCCAAATGGCTGCTACGGCCGGCATGCTGTGCCAATCCAAAGCCAGGAGCTAAGTGCCTCCCCACCCCGGTCTGCCATGTGGGTGCATGCGCCCAAGCACTTGGGCCATCCTCCACTGCCCTCCTGGGCCACAGCAGAGAGCTGGACTGGAAGAGGAGCAACCGGGACTAGAACTTGGCGCCCATATGGGATGCTGGCACCACAGGCGGAGGATTAACCGAGTGAGCCACAGCGCTGGCCCCCCATACTGGTTTCTTAACTGGTGTCCTAACTACTGGGCTAAGTGCTCACTCCTCCATAAACTATTTGAAGTCCCCTCGTATTTGAAATCACTGTGTTGTAAGCATCTTTCGACTCTTAATTCTCTGAAATCTGCTTAAATTAGATATTTGGGAACCAGGTTGATTTCGTGTCTTAAAAATTATTTCACAGCAATCTCTATACTTCTGTACTTTCCAGTATCTAATATTTTCCAGTAACTTTTTAAAGCAACCTTAAATTTATTTTTAATGTATTCATTTAAAGGTGGAGAGATAGTGATCTGCCATCTGTGGTTCATTCCCCAGATTTCCACAACAGCTGGAGCTGTGCCAGGCTGAAGCTGTGAGCTGGAAGCTCGGTTTAGGTCTCCCATGTGGCTTGCATGGACCCAGTACCTTGAGCCATCATCCCTGCTTCCCAGGGTGCACATTAGCAGGAAGCTGGAATCAATCGGGAACAGAGCCAGGGCTCGGACCCAGGCACTCTGATGTGGAATGTGGGCTTTCCACATGGTGTCTTAAGTGCTACGCCAAATGCCTGCCCCCAGTAACCTTTTTTTGATGCTGTTTGAAATCCTGTTTAAAACAACTGCTTGGCTAGTGCTGTGGCACAGCAGGTGAACACCCTGGCCTGAAGCATCGGCATCCCATATGGGTGCTGGTTCGAGACCCGGCTGCTCTACTTCCTGTCCAGCTCTCTTCTATGGCCCAGGAAAAGCAGTAGAAGATGGCCTAAATCCTTGGGCCCCTTCACCCCCATGGGAGACCGGGAAGAAGCTCCTGGCTCCTGGCTTTGGATCGGCACAGCTCCGGCCATTGTGGCCAATTGGGGAGTGAACCATTGGATGGAAGACATCTTTGTATCTTTCTCACTCTCCCTTTCTCTGTAGCTCTAATTTTCCAATAAATAAATAATAAATAAATAAAATAAAAATTTGCATAAAATGCTTCCAAGTTCAGAAGGATAATAGTTTTCTTTTGTGGAAAGTCTCTCTTTTTTTTAAGATTTTATTTATTATTTGTTTGAGAAGTAGAGACAGAGAAGAGAGGGAGGGAAGGAGGTTGTCCATCTGCTGGTTCACTCCTCAAATGGCTGCAACAGTTAGAGCTGGGCTGATCCAAAGCCAGAGCCAGGAGCCTCCTCTAAGCACTTGAACCACCTTCCACTGCCTTTCAGGCCACAATCACAGAGCTGAATTGTTATAGGAGCAGCTGGGACACAAAGAGGCCCAGTGCACCACACCACAGTGCCAGCCCCTTGAGGAAGGTTTCTTAATAACGCACATGAACAGAGAAGTTGTTTATTAAACAGTTCGAAACCCTATTTCAAAAGCTGTGTGCTGGCCCTTGGAATATCTTCCTGCAGAAGCTGTTCCTACCTGGCGAGGAAGATACATAGGGAGCACCTTCTGCTGTTTTTTGCCCTCAGATTTCACAGTTTTAACAGTGCGAACCTTAATGAATTTCATCAAATGTGGTTTTTGTTGATTTCTTTATTTAAGCTTTGGGAATTCCTATCTAAAATCTGAGATTTCTTCTGAAAGGCACTGGTGAATTTTTATAGTAATAGTATACCTGTTCACGGTCAGCAAGTATTTGAAAGATAACTGCCTCCTGACAGACTCAGTGGTTGAGTCCCATTTGGGATGCTTGCGTCCTGTGTCAGCACGCCTGGTTCGCGTCTCTGCTTCTCCTTCAGCTTCCTGCACCAAGGGAGGCAGCAGGTGATGGCTTGGTAAACTTGGTTCCCTTCCATCCCCGTGGGAGATGGAGATTGAGGTCTGGGCTCCAGACTTTGGCCTGGCCCAGCCCTGGCTGCTGTGCACAGTGAGGAGTAAACCAGCAGATAGAAATGCTTTCTCGTTCTGTTTCTTTGCCTTTCAAATAAAATGAAAATAAAGAAATACATATACAAAATCTGCCCCTTATGTAGTTAACTGGTTTCTCCAGCTTCTTCCTTTTAGGAAGCTGGACCCAACGGAGTTGAAACAAAACAATTTCATTAGTTTGGGATTCGCTGCCAGGCATTTATTTGTTCATTGATTTACGCCTATATTTATGAATTTTGATCAGTGTCTCTTTTTGTTTGTTTTTTACTGGAACATTTCAGACACATGGAAATAGAATAGTAAACCCAATGCACTGTCACCCAGCTTCAGCAGCCATCAGTTCACGGCCAGTTTGTTTTATTTACAATCTCTCTCACATTTCTCCTCCATGAAAACTGTTTTTTAAAGCAGAGTCCTCATCATTTCAGCTGTAAACACTTCTTTAAATATGTATCTGTAGGACTTTAAAGTCATGTAACTACAGTCATTACATCTAAAAAATTAACAGTGACTCTTTAATGTTATTGTATTTATCCAGTCATTCTGTAAATTTTCCTGTCTCATAAATTTTTTAGAGTTGATTTGTCCAAATCAGCTTCTAAGAAAAGGCCATTCTACAGCATTTATCTGTTTTTATCTAGAATAGCACTAGCCAGTGGAAATGTAATCTAAGCCATGTATATACCTAAAAATTTTCTACTAGCTGTGTTTAAAGAAATACAGAGAGAGCCGGCGCTGCAGCTCACTAGGCTAATCCTCTACCTTGCGGCGCCAGTACACCGGGTTCCAGTCTCGGTCGGGGTGCCAGATTCTGTCCCAGTTGCCCCTCTTCCAGGCCAGCTCTCTGCTATGGCCCGGGAGTGCAGTGGAGGATGGCCCAAGTGCTTGGGCCTTGCACCCGCATGGGAGACCAGGAGGAAGCACCTGGCTCCTGGCTTCAGATCGGCCATTGGAGGGTGAACCAACGGCAAAAAGGAAGACCTTTCTCTCTCTCTTTCACTGTCCACTCTGCCTGTTAAAAAAAAAAAAAAAAAACCAAGAGTGATGAAGCAGAAGATTAATAACACTGGAACAGTAATAAAATCAATGGATAAGTTATAATGTATTTTTAATGCATAAGCTACATATTTAACAAAAATCATTAAAGGCACATTGCAAGAGGATCCTTTTTTAAGTCTAATTTTAAGTGAATTCATTTTATTTATAAATAAAAAATGAAAATCTAGGAAACTGACATTTTCCATCACTAGCAATTTCTGGAAAACAAAATAGATTGTATTTTCCCGTAGAAGAGCAATGTTAAAATATGGGGTCATCTTAGGAGTCAGCATTCAAATATGTTACTGGTGAAACCACAATATGTCATGAAATAGAAAAAACTACCCTAAAGTCTATATTAATTAAAAACTATTCCTATTTCTGTTAAATGGCCTATTAAATAGATGGCACACATTGCCAAAGGCATTTGGTGTAGTATAGAGTGCACATGTAAGAAAATACAAGAAATGACCTAAAATGAAAGTCCTTACTGTAAATAACTAAGTCATTTTATCATCTTAAAACTTAGAATGTTGATATAGAAAGGGGTGGCAAAAGATTCTTAAGTCCAAATATTTTAAAACTTTTTTGATAGGTTTTCCTGAAACAGGCATTCAATCACTTCTTTAATGCTAAAAGTGTTTCTTCAAAGAACATTTCACAAAAAAGAGGCGACTTAATAAATGTCACCATTCAAATCCTCTTACCCCCTTAATGCATTCAAAGCTGAAATTTTTGTAGGGGTTCATCATCAGATTTCAAAGGTCATTCAACCTAGCACTTAGTGGGCTTGCTGTTATCAGAGTACTTTTTCAACTGGCGAGGAATCTGTAAAAGGAGCTACCCACCCACTGGCCTACACTTAAAAAAGAACTTAGAAACACTTCATCCTTGTCTGCTGATTTGGCCAAAAGGAATACAAGTAAACTGATCCGTGTTATTTATACAGCAGAAAGCTCTATTCAGTGAAATGCTGTCCTTAAAGGTATTTTCTCTATAAAGAAATCTTAACTTGGCTAGATGAAATCACACACCCCAAGTGGGTGTTTCTGAACTTGCTGGATGTATGGGGTGTTTCGGAGATGGTGAAACAGGTTGGGCTATCAGGTATTAGGTTAACTGGAAGTCTGAAAATTGTGTTTATCAACATAAGGTAGTTTTTTAAAATACTGCTTAAAGGAAGCCGGTCACCTTACATGACTGCACCTAGTCTTTTGTACCAACACGTATGGTATTTTACTACAATCTGGAATTCAAAAGCCTTTCCTAACAGGTTTGCTGGGTACGTATTTGAGGAACTACGGGGGGTTTATCGTTGGTGCGGCGCCCAGGGGAGGCCTCGGTGGTGCCTGGGGCACCTGTCCTTTAGGGCACCCATGGCGTCTTTCTTGCAGCCGTTGCCTCCCACGGAGCATGCTCTGCACAAGCCACTGTTCCTGCTCCAGCTGCTGCTTCTGGCTCCTTAACTGGCTTTGAGTAGCCTCTAACTTCTGGGATTGCCGCATTAGCTGCCAGCATTCCTTGCGTAGCCGCTGGTTCTCTGCCTGGATGCCGTGGCAGAACTTCACCTCAGCCTGCTTTGCTGCCGACCTCAGGGCCTGCGTCTTCTCCCTGAGCGCCCTCCTTTCTTGCTTTCCCAAGTGCCTCACGTCTGGCTCATTCAGCTGCTCCTCCAGCAGGGCCTTTTCCTTGAGGAACTGGGCGTGTTTCTCGGCGGCGATCTGCGCTTCGATCTTGTTTTTCTCCTCCTGTAATTTCTGGATTTGTATGTCCTGTTTCTCCTTTAACAGCGAAATGTCTCTCAGATCCTGCAGCTGCTGCTTCAGATCGGCTTGTATCTTTTTCTTCTGCATGAGCTCTGCTTTAAGCACTGCAGACTTCTTGGCATATCTGGCGGCTAACTTCTGTCTCCCCCTTTTAATCTCTCGACTTTCCTGTATGTACTCTGTCCACAGCTTCACGGGCTCCTTCGCCAGCTCTTCCGTTTTCTTGGTCAGGTACTCCAGAAAGAACCTGTTTTCCGCCTGGAAGTGTAGCTCCTCCTCGTGCAGCTGCCTGGTGTCCTCCAGTAACAGCTGCTGCTGGGCTCGGGCTGCTTTAATCTGCGTGTCCAGCTCTCGCACCTTCGCCATTCTTCTTCTGATGCGCATCTCCGCACTTGTTAGCTTCTGGGGCTGGAGCAGATTATTTATTAGACTGAGGTACGACGGAGGGGAACTCCTGGGACCTTCGGCAAACCTGAAGGGAGAGCCCATGAGACGTGCCTCTGTCAGTTCTTAATGCAAATTTAAGCAATCATAAAAGATGCACAATTGTCCTTAATTAATACAGCGACTATTTACTTATTTGAAAGGCAGATTTCCCATCTGCTGGTTCACTTCCCAAATACCTGCCACAGCTGGGGCTCCATCCGCGTCTCCCACGTGGGTGGCAGGGACCCAAGTATCTGGGCCACCAACTGCTGCCTCCCAGGCGCATTGCAGGAAGCTAGACTGGACGTGGAGTTGGAACTTGATCCCAGGCATTCAGATACGGAATGCTGGTGTCCCAAGTGGCAGCTCAACAAGTATTTTGGAGACCTACTACGTTCCAAACACTCTGCAAGCCACGGGAAATACAACCAGGGTTGAAGATGCTGGGGGTACCGCCGACAATTTGCAATAGGCATTCCCTGCAACCCCGCGGCGTAGTGTCCGTTTTAAAGAACAAGAAACCAGACGGCTGACCAGTGGCAGCGCCTGGGTATGAAACCCAGATCGTCGGACGCGGGACGGTGATGGGGAGCGGGGATACTTCTCCTTCATCCTCTTTCCGTGGCCGCACTCACTTGCTCCTGGAATCCAGCTGTTGACAGCGGTAGCTGCGCAGTTCTCGGAGGGTGGTCGCCGAGGAGCGCGCGCTGACGTCGGGGGTCGTGAAGGCGGAAAGGTCTTGCAGCTGCTCAGTCTGCGGCTCGACGGGTCTCCGCGCTGCCCAGCACCCCCAAGCGTCCCATTTAGCCCCCGCCCCGGTCAGCCCAGCCCTGAGCTGTTTAATCTCCTCGGGTGCCAAACAAGCTCTAGCAGGCGGCAGACCAGCGTCTTGGGTCCTAGCTCTTTGGGACCCCAAAATGAGACGTACGCCCCTCTTTTTCGTGTGGTGGGGGTTCGGCCCTTGGGAGCCCATCTCGTCTCCCGCTCCGAGGAGCCAGCGACGGGCAGTACTCCTTTTTCGGCTCCGCTAGCCCTCTCCTCTCGCTTCTCTGCTCCCCTCACTTCTCTCCCGGCGTCACTAGCCCGCCCGCAGCAGAAACTCGGCGCCCGCTGGCCGGCGCCTCTCGGCGGCGTTCGACTCTATTCTCCGCCCAATCTAGAACGTCGCGGAGGCCTCTCTAGCCACGCCGCGCCTCTGTGGTGAGGGGCGGGGCCTGAGCAAAGATGGCGGCGCTCGCGGCTGCGGCGGAGCCCCAGGCGTCCGGGGGTCCTCGGCCCCCCGTGTGCCTCTTGGTGTTGGGGATGGCGGGATCCGGGAAAACCACCTTTGTCCAGGTGACGCACACTGCGCGGGCGGGGTAGGGCAGCGCGAGAGGTGGTGGCGGGCAGAAGGCCAGGGAGAAAGCGACGGAAGTCCGTGGGGAGTTGGAGGACACCGGCGCGTGGTTTTCAGGGACTTCACCGAACTCCGGCTGCTTCGTGGGCTGAGGCATAGCGGACCCGCGCCTGTGTTCATTGAAGCCCTCTTCTGTGCACACTTGGTTCGACTTACCACGTTGTGTTGGAACTGTTTGCTGGGGAAGTTGCCAGCCTCTCAAAGGCAGACTCACAAGGCATGGAGTAGATAGATTCGGTGTTAACCCATTGGGTTTCGGTGAAGATTTGCGAAAAAAGTTATTTCTGGGGCCCCTCTCATGTTCCAGGCATGGGGCATACGGCGAAAATGCGGTTTACAAGGTTTTTACTTTCATGGAGGAGATAGAAAGATACTCGCCATATGGGTTTGCAATACAAGTTAATAAGTGGGCAAGAGTAGGGGAGGCTCTGTCAGGTGAGTGATAAGGAAAAGTAGCGTTTGAGCCGAGATTTGATGTTGGAAGCAGGGTGGATATTTCGGGTGGCTGGAGGGCGGTGGGTGAAGGAGTGGAAATGCCCTTCCTGATCACCCCCTCCTCCTCTCCCTCCCCCCCATCTTCCTGTCTGCAGCGGCTCACTGGGCACTTGCACAGCCAAGGTTCCCCGCCCTATGTGATCAATCTGGACCCGGCTGTGCACGAAGTCCCCTTTCCTGCCAACATTGGTGAGTACACTGTGCCCCAACGCTGAGAGGGGAACGCCTCCAGCCTGCCAGTCTTCAGGGACTTTTTTTATTTTCTGAACTTCGTACTTTTATCTCTCTTGGATATTCTTCAGTCCCTAAACAGGCTTCTTTATAAAACATTCTCCTTTTTAAACACTGGCCTTTATCTAACGCCCAGGCTAAAGCTAGGAGCCAGGAACTCCATGCTGGCCTCCCATGTGGTGGCGGGGACCTAAGTGCTTGAGCCATCATCTGCTACCTTTTAGGTTGCTCATTAGCAGGAAACTGGATTGGAGGTAGAGGTGGGACTTGATCCCAGGCCCTTCCATATGGGGGGTACTTCCATATGTAGCACAGTCCCTTACCTGCTGCCCCACAGTGCCTGTGTCCCCCACCCCCAAGCTTTTTATACCCCAAATACAATAAAAGACCACATATTAAGAGGCAGAGATCATGGGGCTGGTACCGTGGCTCACTTGGTTAATCCTCCACCTGCGGCGCAGGCATCCCATTTGGGTACTGGGTTCTAGTCCCGGTTGCTCCTCTTCCATTCCAGCTCTCTGCTGTGGCCCGGGAGGGCAGTGGAGGATGGCCCAAGTGCTTGGGCCCCTGCACTTGTGTGGGAGACCAGGAGGAAGCACCTGGCTCCTGGCTTAGGATCAGCGCTGTGAACCAACGGCCAAGGAAGACCTTTCTCTGTGTCTCTCTCTCTCACTTTCCACTCTGCCTGTAAAAAAAAAAAAAAAAAAAAAAAAAAGTTGATGGCAGAAGTCTACAGACGGATGGATAGGTTAAGTAGATTTTACTAGACAGATTTAAACCCACCCACCCTCCCTCTTTAATCTGAGAGACAGAGACAGACAGAGCTCCCATCTGCCAGCTCACTTTTAAATGCCTGCAAGGGTGAGTGAGCCAGCAGATGGAACTTCTCTCGCTTTCTCTCTCTCCCTCTTTCTCTGTAGCTCCACCTTTCAAATGAATTTTTTTAAGTAAATGCCTGCAGGGGCCTGGGATCAGGTGCCAACGCCAGGACCCAGGAATCAGTCCAGGTCTCCCACCTGATGGCAAGGCCAACACCAGTACCTCCCAGAGCGCCTACCAGCAGGAAGCTGGAATCGGGCATGGAGCAAGGGCCTGCACGCCAGCACTCCGACATGGGACACAGGTGTCCCAACTGGTGGCCTAACCACTAGGCCAAGCATCCACCCCTTAATTCCTTTTTAAAAACCTTCTCTGTGTCACATTTTTCATCAGTGTGCAATTAGTAAGACACAAGCTTTAAAATTTTAGCCCTCTTTTTCCGTACAGTCACTAATGATTTAAGTTGTGTAGAACTTCCACCTTGTCTCAGACATTCCTCCCATAACTTGAGAGCTCCCAGCTCTCATTCTTCAAGGCTGATTTTCGTTTCTTGCTGGTAAGGAAGATGCTGATGGAAAACTTTTTACCCTTCTGATTTTTTTTTCCCTCACAGTCTCGCTTCTTTCTTCTATAGAAATTCAGTGATCTTAGGTGCAAACTTCAGAGAACAGTGTGAAAAGTAACTCAGATACCGAGAGAGAAACTTACTTTTTCCCTCAGTGGAAACAGAGATGACTTGAGAAGGCTCTTGGCTCAGGACATTAAGGGCGGTGGGGTGGGTGTCAAATCATATTGTTATGTATTAAATGCAATTATTTTGCCCCCCCCCTCAGATATTCGTGACACTGTGAAGTATAAAGAAGTCATGAAACAGTATCCTTTGCTACATCTACTTCAGTGTTGTCTCGCGGCTGGCTAGTTTCTGTCTGTGTGGTGTTTTTGCCTTTCCTTGTGAAAGACACAAAAACATAGATTGTGCCTTGAATAATTTTCATTATAAATTTCATAATTTATTAGGAGTATGCAAGGTGAATGTGGAAGAGATGTTGTAGGTTATCGGAAACACTGTTTCCACTTCTGGTTTCAGCTTTCTTACCATCTCCACAGACTGCAGGTGGCTGTAGAGACTAGACAGAATGAAAGGTGAGATGGCAGCTGCCTGGGTGCTCAAGGTAGCATTGCCTTCGAGGCTGCATCCATTGAATAGCACCTCTTCAGATCAGGAAGCTCAGACATGAGTGTGTGTAGCTGGATTAATTGTTAGTACATTGCTGTGTGAAATGTGTGCTCTCCCTGTATATGAGTCAAGGTAGGAGAACTTACATGGTCAGCAGCTTGCTTGATTAGTGAGGATCAGAGCCAGAAGGGTTATGTAGATTATCTTGATGGCTGATGCCGGCAGCCTGCCACTGCCTGATGCATCTCTGTTGTATTTGGGTTACTTTGCTTCTCTCTCTGCCTAGTCATCCCTAAAATGGGAAATGAATGAAGACCTTCATAGCGAATGTTTCCCTGTCAAGGATTAGGTTGCCAAAATCCATTAGTGGAATACTGACAACTTGGTGCTGTTTGTGTGAGTGATCCTCTAGATATGAGTTTTGTAATATAACCTGTAAGCTGTTTAAGTCCTCAGCTTAATGTCTAGATACGGACTTGGGCCCAACGGCGGTATAGTGACCTCACTTAATCTCTTTGCTACCAGATTTGATCAGGTATGTTTATCTTTACGTATGTATACAGGGCTGTGTAAAAACCTGTGGTTGTTACATGCCTTAACTTAAATATTGGTAAAGAAGGAAGCAAGCTGAACATAAATATAGGAAATAGGCATTGACCTGTAACTGGCTTGTGTTAATGCTGTGTTATCCTGAAGATGGGATGGGGGACAGGTGAGTGGGATGGCCTAGAAGGCCTGGAATGGAAAATAATGGGGCTTTTTACTTGTGATAAATGCTTGCCTCCTTTAGGTTTTCTCTGTGATCTACATCCATAAGTTTGTTGGATAATAATTAGTTTTTGACTCTGGTATCAGTCCATGAGACAGTCTATTAATATTTGACCAAAGCATCAGAATGTGTGACTTGATAGTGATAGAAAAAATCCCAAGCTTTTCAGGTATGTGTGCTGCCCCAGGAAGCTGTGGTGCTGCTGATGTGGCTGTGCTGCTTAAGTTGGTTTTTTTTGTTTGTTTGTTTAAGATTTTATCTATTTATTTGAGAGGTAGAGTTACAGACAGTGAGAGGGAGAGACAGAGAGAAAGGTCTTCCTTCCATTGGTTGATTCACTCCCCAAATGGCTGCAATAGCTGGAGCTGTGCTGATCTGAAGCCAGGAGCCAGGTGCTTCTTCCTAGTCTCCCACGTGGGTACAGGGGCCCAAGCACTTGGGCCATCTTCTACTGCTTTCCCAGACCAGAGCAAAGAGCTGGATTGGAAGAGGAGCAGTCGTGACTAGAACCAGTGCCCATATGGGATGCCGGTGCCGCAGGCAGAAGATTAACCTACTGTGCCATGGTACCGGCCCTGCTGCTTAAGTTCTTAAGATTGAGGACATAGATTGAGCAGGTGATGGTTTCTGTGAGGCATGCTACCCTAGAGAGGGCCCCGTGATTTTGTATTGAAATCAGATCCGGTTTTAATTGGCATCTTTTTCTTTTAGGTGATGAAATTTATCGAGAAGGCCCAGAACATGTCTAAGTAAGTGCCTTCAGGTCCACCCCTCTCTATTACTCTGTAGTTGTACATTTCTAGGCTTTTTGGAGGATTTGGGATAACAGCAAGCTCTGAAAGCTTGCAGATTGAGATGAAACCACTAGAAGTGTTGCTGTGGATTCGTTCTGAGAGGAGGAGTGTGGTGGGGGCAAGAGGCGTGGAGTCCCCACATAGACCCCGGGAGTTGGGTGAAAGCAGTCCTGAGGCAAGCAGCCTGTAGATTCTTTTATTTCAGTTGGTACAGCAGCTTATGTAGCCAAGGCAGTCAATCCGGTCAAGGGGTGGTCTATGCCCTAACCAATCACAGCCTGTTGCCAGGCAGTTTCCAAAGCCATCCAATCACAGCCTGTTGCCAGTCAGGCTCTGTTGCCATATGGTTTCCGAAACCATCCAATCACAGCCTGTTGCCAGGCAGTTTCTGTTACCAGCAGCCATCTTGGCATGGCCTTCTCATTCCACCGCGTAGAAGTGAGATGGCCAAGAATATCATTTGGGAGCTGTACATTGTAGAAGTGAATTTGCTGTTATCAACCCCTAAGTTTTTTTGGGACGTGCTTTGAGACTTTGTCTGCCTGCCTTCTCCTAGGAAGCCATATTTGTTGACATTTAAGCATTTGTAGACTTTTCTAGCCCTTGTTTAAATACATGATTCAGAGAAATAATTTTCTAATTTAGAAAGTACTGAAATACAACAGAATATTTATTCTTCATATATTATGCATAGTTAACTGTTGTTAATAGGTTTTCTTTTAAAAAAAAAATAATTTTACTGTTTTATAATAAGAGGTATATGCTGATTAAAGAATTCAAACCAGGCATAATTAAGAGATGAAACTGTCACTGACTCCCACTAGGGACAACTATTATTATTCAGTGACTAGCATTCCACATATATTTTATAAAAGATTATACTACAGGGTTTTTTTTTTTTATTATTTTTTTATTTTTTGACAGGCAGAGTGGACAGTGAAAGAGACAGAGAGAAAGGTCTTCTTTCTCCATTGGTTCACCCTCCAATGGCCGCTGCGGCCGGCGCACCACGCTGATCTGAAGCCAGGCACCAGGTGCTTCTCCTGGTCTCCCATGCGGGTACAAGGCCCAAGGACTTGGGCCATCCTCCACTGCACTCCCAGGCCACAGCAGAGAGCTGGCCTGGAAGAGGAGCAATCGGGACAGAATCTGGTGCCCCCGGCGCCCATATGGGATGCCAGTGTCACAAGGCAGGGGATTAACCAAGTGAGCCACGGCACCGGCCCCAAGAATAATAATTTTTTTTTTTTAAAGAAGGATTGAAGGAGATAATACGTATAAAAGTGATTGGCAAAGTACCCAGACTATTATCAGTATTCATTAAATATTCAATTTGCCCCCTGAAAAAGGCAATTATTTTTAAGAAGCAAAACAAAAAACAGGATCAGTGTCAAAGCACTATTACCCCAAGGTGGTGAGAGCGTGTGTTGTTTGCTTGGTGATGGTGGTAGTTATTCTCTTGGGAGAGAACACGTGAGTGCCATGTGAAAATGGATACCTAATTCTTTTACAGTCTGAAGCCCTTCCCTTCTCTTTACTTAGTAGGCTGCCACTGGGCAAGACAGAGTTTTGACTAATAATGTTTGGTGTTTGGTTTTCAGCATCCTGTACAAAACCAAGCTGCCGTTCATTGTGGTCATGAATAAAGTAAGTAGACTCTTCTGTTCCTACTCAGCATTGTGTTTGCATCAGAACCTAGTGGCTGTTGGGAAGTGTTGGAGTGAGAACGATCATTTCTGGTGCTGGAGAGTTCAGAAATCATGGACACTTCCAGGAAACGGATTTAAGCAACGAATTTTGGCATGGAGTAGCCCCTCAAGTGTCATGTACGGGCTATTGGAGGTGGCAGTTCATAAAAACAAACTAGAACTTCCTCGTGGGTTATTGAAATGGAGAATGAAATAGGAGAAGCAGAGAGAAAACACGTGGAGGTTATGCTCTTTGCTATTTCCACTTAATTGAAAAATTAATTCTTTGCCATTGTTAAATACCTGACCTCCTCTCTGATTGCTGATAGTTGAGTTTTCTCTGATGCAGACTGACATCATTGATCACAGCTTTGCAGTGGAGTGGATGCAGGATTTTGAGGCTTTCCAAGATGCCTTGAATCAAGAGACTACATATGTCAGTAACCTGACTCGTTCAATGAGCCTGGTGCTAGATGAATTCTACAGCTCACTCCGGGTAAGCTCTTTCTCCTGCTCACATTGTCCACAGGACTGGCTTTGACTCTGGCTTGGGAAGGAAGTTCATTACTTTCTGAAAAGTAACTTTTAGAGCATTGCTTATTAAAACTATGGAGGTGGGGTAGGTGTTTGGCTTAGTGGTTAAGATGCTGTTAGGGTTGCCTGTGTCCTATATATCAGAGCGTCTGGGTTCAGGTCCCTGCTCCACTACTGATTCGAGCTTCCTGCTGGTGTGCACCCTGGGAAGCAGCAGATGGTTGCCTAAGTATTTCCATCCCTGCCACCCACATGGGAGACCCAGATTGAGTTCCCAGGTCCCAGCTTCAGCCTGGCCCAGCCCCCAGTTGGTGGCAGCATTTGGAATGGGAGATCTGTCTGTCTCTTTGTTTTTCAAATCAATGATAATAGTAACAGAAAAACTGTAGAAATTTACAAGATAAATAAGGTAGGGTCCCACTTTTGGAGTTTATGGTCCAGTTAGAGAAGGTTGCATGCAGGAGTGAAACATGATAGAAGCATAGTGGTGAGTATCTTAGGAAAGATTGGGAGTTGAGTCTGATGGTTGTGAGGGAACAGATCAAAAGGAGGGGATTTGGAGAGCATAGTGTTAGAGGTATCTTTTGGAGGAAGGATCAAAGATTTCCCTAAACAAAAATGGGTGCAGGTTGCAGGGAGTATGTTTATTGTCAAAGCAGAGGTATAGAGAGAACAGAGTGTGATTTGGTCTGGTTTGTTAGGGACTAGATAATAAGTCCTGTGGCTTGTTTGGTTCTAGTTATCTTTCTCGTTTTCGACTTTTTGAGTAGGTATGCTGTTTTGCTCTGCTTTAGGTTGGCTTTTTGCTGGAGACTTCGTAATGTATCTAAACCTCTTTTATGAAGATATTATGATATTTGAACAAAATGTACACCATTTAAAAATAACAGCATCCTCTGTGGCAGGTGGTGGGCGTCTCCTCTGTCCTGGGCACTGGCTTGGATGAACTCTTCGTGCACGTCACCAGTGCTGCTGAGGAGTATGAGAGGTGAGGACAAAGGAGAGTCCACTAGTGACATTCATAGTGACCCTTAGTTCTGGTATGAGAGCAGTTTTGCCAGGCAAAGCATTTAGGTTTGCACTATTTTCTTATGTATACTGGATCTGACCACACTAGGGGTAACAAGTCCCTATTAACTTAAAAAAAAAAAAAAAAAAAAAAAAACAGAAAAAGAAGTGGAAGTATATAATGTTAGAGAACAGGGATCATACAGGTTTTTCTGTACAGAGCCAGGTAACAGATACGTTAGGCTTTGTGGCTACCTGCTTACTCCTGCCATTATAGGGCAGAAGCATCCATAGACAGTTCACAAACAAACGATCGTGACTGTGTTCCAGTAAAACTGGCTTACAAGACAGGCAGTGGGCTGGACTTGGTGTGAGGTCCCTGCGAGGGCTATTTGTGAAAATACATGTAAGGGACTCAGCAGGATTGCTGACACATAGGAAGCACATTTCACAAGAAGCAGCTGTAACCTCGCCATTATTAGCACTGCATTCCTTTTGCTTGAAGGGCATGGCCTGATGGCTGCTTATTAGCATACACTTCATATTTTGTAAGATCCTAACAGCTGCATCGAGGTTTTAGATTCTCTTGATTTTGGCTCATCAGATAAGGATTCTTTTGTGTTATCAGAGCCTCAGGATAGGCTTTCTGTACCTTTTGATGGTTGGCACTTGGTTAAACCGTTTAATTCTATATTGGACTTCTAAGCTCTAGAGGCCCATCTTCTTTGATTCATCTCAAAGTGAATGATGAACTCATCTGTCATGGCCTCTCCACTTTTTATCTTTTCAGCCCAGCAGTGGGGATTTGGTCCCCTGCCTGGTTTCATAGTGGGGCAGGCACTGGCTTTAGATTCCACAGGGGAAGACTCCCAGTGACTAAGACTTGTTAGATCTGATGTCCAGTGAAGTAAGATCTTAGGAAAACAGAACTGGTGGGGTGGGCGGGATAGATTATTAGACAAAGGAATTTAGGAAGTGTTTCTCTTTCCAGGGAGTATCGTCCTGAATATGAGCGTCTAAAGAAATCATTGGTAAGAAAGGGGGCAGTTTGTATACTTTAGAGCCATTAAGAAAACAGTTTTAATCCTGTGAACACTGATGCTTTTTGTTTTGACTATCAGTATATCTTATATGTATTTTTAAATTTTTCCCATCTGTATTGAGGTCTTACGGACAAAATGTCATTTTATCTCAAATACTTGTTAAATTAAATTTGTGTGTTTTTATCTGGATGCAGTAAGGCTCCTTAATTATTTTTATTCTCTTTGTATTTGAATTTTCAAAGTTCAGATTTTCCTATTATATGTGCTAAGCCCTTCTTATGCTCCAACTCCACTTTTAATCCAAGGTCAACTTATAAAAGTGAGATACAGAATTTTGTTAAAGAATTCTTACCAGATAATCAGATGTCCTGCCCACAGAGCCTTTGCTGGGTCCTGCAGGCCAAGGCACACTGCCATGTCTACTTGGTGTTCTATGTGCGATTTCTGAGTTCTCTAACCCGGGCTGCAGAGCCCTGCAGTCTGGGCTTCTGCTGTAATCTGGGCCAATGCTGCACGGCGTTTGTGTCCCCTTGTCAGCCATTCTTTATCTTCCTTAATCTTTAAGTAACCTGTAATATTTGTGCAATTCCTCATCTCTACTTAAAAGTCCAGCATCTAATTTGGGCCTTGTTTTTGGAATACAGTGTCGTTTTTCTCCATATACAGGCCAGTGCACAGAGCCAGCAGCAAAAGGAGCAGCTGGAACGCCTTCGGAAAGATATGGGCTCTGTGGCCTTGGACACAGGAGCTGCCAAAGGTATTGGAAGGTGTTTTGGTGTTGGAACTAAGAGGGGGATAAATACACTTATTTCCACTTAGCTGGAGTATGTTTATCTGTGAGAGGATAAAGAAAATGTGGTTTTATACACACACATATGTACATATGGATACAAACCTCTAGAAAAACTGTACACAACTATACTACTTTGAGTTCCTCCTTCAGGTAGTTTCTGCTACACCAAGATACTTGATGTCTGCTGTCTTAACATTTTTAACGCCCTTACCCCCTACTCCCTTTTCTTTATTTTGTTCTGATTTCAGATTTACTTCAAAAGTGGCACAGTGGTACATAGAATGGCCATGGCCAAATATTGTTTGAGCATAGTCCCAAAATGTTCATGTTCTACCACACTTACTTATTCCTTTTTTTATTACAAAAATCATCTTTTTTATTTAGCTTACAAAGTAATTTAAATTGAACACATTCAGGCACAGTAGATATTTGACATGAAAAGTAGTTGTATCAGAATAGGCATCAGAAAAATAGCAATTCATCTTAGACAAAGTAACTATAAAATATTTTTTCTGTCCGATCACTTAAGTGTTACAAATCCCGAGAATGTTCCACACTGAACAATTTAGGTCCTACCTTATCATTAAATCTTGCTTAGGAAGTAATCCTTTAAAAAAGACTTTAAGGTACAAATCACCTATGTATTAAGCATGAGTCTTTTATATTTTCCAAAGAGTTTAAACAAATACAGCAAGCAATTACAGTTCAGTGGCTCTTAAAACAGCTATTAGTCAGGTTCAAGGACACACTGTTCCACAATTTCCCGTTAAGTTGGGATTCTCCATTGCAGCTGCCTCTCGCTCTTTGTCATTGATGGACTTGTTGATGTCTTCTGCTGAGTGAGTTCTTTCAGAAATGTGTATCTCCAGCTTATGTTTAAATGGGAACCACCACTGAAGTTTTCCTCTTAAGCACAGCCCACTAAGACTTGCCAAAGAGCAATCAATGAGCTACTGTTCACGTGAACCTGATAACCACCACATAGTCCTCTTCATTTGTCTGTTGAAACTCCACACCACCTCCATTCTTCCAAAGTATTGGGCTTTTCTGGGTCGTGGATCATTTGAATCAAATCATAAACCTGTAGCGCTTTCCCTTCTGTGACCCGGGGCTGCCAGGCAGCTCCCTGCCGAGGCCTGAGCGTCCCAGGACTGTTCAGCCTCTAGCACAGCCCGGACACCTGCTCCGTCCTCATGCTCAGCCGTCCCTGGTGACTCTGCTGTATTCTTTTCTCTCGTGTGTGTGTGTAAAACACCATTTATTATATAAATGTATATTTTTATGAATCATTTCAAAGTAAGTCACAGGGTGGGTGTTGTGTCACTGTGGGTTAAGCTGCTGCTTGGGACACCCTCACCCCATATCTGAATGCCTGGGATTGAGTCTCGCCCCTATTTCCTACCCAGGATCTTAAATGTGATTCCATGAGCTATGGAGATCATGAAAGTACTTTGTGAACTAAACATCTATGGAAATGTTCAGTAGGGGCCAGTGCTATGGTATAGTGGGTTAAGCTGCACTTGCAGCGCCGGCATCCCGTATGGGGTGCCAGTTTGAGCCCCGGCTGCTCCACTTCAGATCCAGCTCCCTGCAAATGCACCTGGGAAAAGGAGTGGAAGATGGTCCAAGCGCTTGGGCCCCTGCACTCATATGGGAGACCCAGAAGCAGCTCCGCATTCCTGGCTTTGGCCTGGCCCAGCGCTGCCCATTGTGGCCACTTGGGGAGTGAACCAGCAGATGGAAGATCGCTGTTTCTCCTCCTCTCTGTGTAACTCTGCCTTTCAAAGAAATAATAATTTTTTAAAATGTTCAGTGATAACTGCTAACAAGACAGAAGAAGTAAGATCTTATGCGTATAATTTATCATGAGCACTTGCATCCTGCCAATTTAGAATCAGAGTCACTTACTGTTTCTGACTCGTGTGTTTGAGGCGGCATACGTACTGATAGGTGTTTCCACCGTAGACAGTCTGTCTCCTGTGCTGGAGCCTTCTGACTTGATTCTGACTCGAGGAACCTTGGATGAAGAGGACGAGGAAGCGGACAGTGATACTGATGACATTGACCACAGAGGTGAGGCTGACTGCGGTGGCTGGGAAGCAGAACAGCACTTACCCTTGCATCGTTTGCTCAGGAGATTCTCCCTGTGAGAGAAGACCTTCAGCGTGCAGCCAGCGACAGGGAGAGAGGAGGGGGTGAAGGGGCAGCATCGGGGACGTTTCCTCACTGAGCGTTCCCGGCCTTCCTGTGGAAGCGTTAATGTCGAGCGGCTTACACGCCTTGGGTTGCTCTCGTGTCTTCTCATCTTTGGGTGCTAACCAGTGAGAGGAACCTAGGATTTTTGTTTGTTGTTATTAGTTTTTAACCGTACTCAAGGAGTTTTAGCAGAGATCAAAACCATCAGAGAGGACTGAACAGTGCAGGCAGAATAGCTCTGGAAACCTCCTTCCACATAGCCTAGAACTATGGACTGTGAGGGGACTTAGTTGTTAGCTATGAACAAGAGCAGATCTCGCTTGACTCTTTCGCTGGGTGCTAATTTGTAAATTGTCTCATTTAATCAGATAATAAATCTGATAATAAAAAATTGAGATTTGATTTATAAACAGTAAAACTCCCCCCTTTTAAATATATGAGGGTACTTCAAAAAGTTTGTGGAAGGTGAAATTAAAAGAAATTTATTTCAGTGTAAATTTTTTAAACCCATGCACATAAGGGATATTCAGAAAATCCATGAGAAATGTGAATTAGGAAAAACTCTCCATAGATTTCAAAATATTTTTGCATCAAAATAAACTTAACTTTTAACTCCATTTTTCCACAAACCCTCTTTGGTGTGATGAGTTTAACAAATGTATCCCTTCTTATGATAAGACCATCACAATCAGCATACACAACACTCATCACCCCTGAAAGCTCCCTCATGACCCCTTGTATTCAGTCCCCTCCCCAGACACAGAGTTCCTAGCAGCCACTGACACAGCTGTTCCCACAGTTATGCCTTTTCCAGAACGTCACATACACGGAAGTCACAGTAGTTAGCTTCTTGCACTGGATTTCTTTCATTTGATATTTTTGCATGTATCAATAGTATTTTTTTATTGCAAAGTAATATTTTCACATGGATGTACCACGGTTTGTTATGCTTTCCTAGCTGATTAACATGTGGTTTGATTTTAAAGGTTAGGAATAAAACTGCTAGGATGGGCAGCTGGTGCAGTGGTTAAGACCCTTCCTAGGACGCCCACATCCTGTATCCGTGGCTGGGTTTGAGTCCTGACTCCATTTCTGATTCCAGATTCCAGCTATTGCGCATGCTGGGAGTTAACAGACACAGACCAAGTCTTTGTGTCCCTGCCACCTACATGGGAACAGGTAGAAAAGGTTCCTAACTCCTAGCTTTGACTTGGCCCAGTCCTGGCTGTTTTCGGCAGTTGGGGAGTGAACGAGTAAATGGAGGATCGATTCTCTCAATTAAATTTAAAATAAAATTTAAAAAATGAACAAAACTGCCATAAACATTCACAAATAGATCTTTGTTGTGTTTTCATTTCTCTTTGTTAAAAATACCTACAAATGAGACCTTTTAATTACTACTTTATGAGAGAGGTAGTCTCCCTACTCACATTTTGGGCAGCATGATAAATAATAGCACGCTTCTGGGCAACATTTCCTTATTGGGAGAAGTGATACTTAGTTTCATAAAAATAATGTATCTTGTTGCTGTGACAGGAGTCTAATCCATTTGTTGTGTAAAAGTTTAAAAAGAATTTCCCTTCTTTTTTTCTTACAGTTACAGAAGAAAGTCATGAAGAGCCAGCATTCCAGAATTTTATGCAAGAATCAATGGCACAGTACTGGAAGAGAAACGACAAATAGGAGACTTTGGGAAACTCCCATTTGCTTCTAGAAGTCCAGAATTTTGGAACTCCAGTTGGAGATGACTATGAAGGACACTTTTCTTCAGACTCGCAGTTTCTCTTAGTAAGGAAATCGTACGGCTCAAATGCAGTCGGGGTAGAAGCCCCTTGGACCGGGAAGCTAAATGCTGCTTCTCCCTTGGCCTTTCCTTGTTTTTATGCAACGAAGGATTAACATGCATAGAAGTTCAAGTTTTGTCCTTTGAACTCAAGTGCTCTTGCTGCTGATGGATGGGAAGGAACCGGCTTTGCTCGCGACCACTGCAGATCTCCATTTCGGAGCCAGAGCCGGAGCCTGTTTCCCTAGCATCTTGCCTGCCCTTGACTCTACCCCATGAGCTGCTGTTCTTTGAGCAGGAATGCAGGAGGGAGGCGTGAGCTTGGCCACAGTGGCAGCGGAGTCTTCTTGGCAACCATTCAATGTTAGTACAAACTGTGCCTCACACTGAAAAGCTCATTATAGCACAGGTTTGGGGGGAAAAGTGGGGAAAACATGATTAATGAAGAATTCTATCGCAATGGTGACTCGGATAAAGACTTTAACTTTATTGTAAGCTGTCTGTCATGATTTCATATTAGAAAACTATTTAATCACAATTAGATTCAATTCTCCTGCTCAACAATGAGGCTTAAAGCCACATGTCCAAGCCTGTTTCAATACAGAGGTGATGTTTACTGAAATAAAGTTTCCCGTGTACACATAAGCTAGTAACCAGGCACAGAGACAGTCCTGTTTGTATTGAACTTAATGTAAAATATCTCTAGTGATTTATTCAAAGGCCATGGATTTGGGCCAGGTGCTGTTTCATATGCAGCAGTCATTATAAAGGTTTGTCCCACCTCCACAGTCTTCACAGGATCTTAAAACACAGCATAAGGGCCGGCGCCGTGGGCCTTGTGGCGCCGGCACACTGGGTTCTAGTCCCGGTCGGGGCGCCGGATCCTGTCCCGGTTGCCCCTCTTCCAGGCCAGCTCTCTGCTATGGCCCGGAGTGCAGTGGAGGATGGCCCAGGTGCTTGGGCCCTGCACCCGCATGGGAGACCAGGAGAAGCACCTGGCTCCTGGCTTCAGATCAGTGTGGTGCACCAGCCGCGGCGGCCATTGGAGGGTTAACCAACGGCAAAAAGGAAGACCTTTCTCTCTCTCTCTCTCTCTCACTGTCCACTCTGCCTGTCAAAAAAAAAAAAAAAAAAAAAAAAAAAAAAAAAAAACCCACACACACACAGCATAGTTCTCTCAAGGAATTTTATCCCTGCCTAGTCTACCCTCCAACTTGGTGGTTCAGAGTGTGGCTTCTGTACCAGCAGCTTTGGTGTCACCTGGGAAATTGTTAAACACATCTCTCAAAACCTGAATCAGAAACTCTGTGCTAGGGCCCAGCAATATTTAAAAAGTTCTCCAGGTAATGCTGGTGCACACTAGTCTGAGAACCACTGTCCCAACTCAGCCTGTGACACAATACCAAGCCAGGGGAATCTTGGGTACCAATCCTCACATGATTTGCCTTATTAAAGGGCTCTAATCTTGACCATCTGGTGACTGTTTCCCAATTTATTCTAAAGCAATAAAAGTGTTTTTGTTCTACCATGATGTATTGATTTCAATATTCCATAACTAGCAGGAACCACTGGTCTAAAAATGTGAAATTAAGAGGAAACCACATGCAAAGCCAGACTCAACAGACTTGCTTTTCCTCCGTAGTGCCTGCGTTTCCCTATGCTAAAAAGTTCCCTATAGGTAAGGGCTGAGTCTTAGGTCATCTTTGTGTCCCTTGTAGAGGACCTAGCACATAATAAATATTTGCTAATTGAACGGTTACTTATGGAAACTGCCTAATGACCATCACATTAATATGGGAAAATGAAGACTAGAACAGGAAGTGCTTAGGTAAAAATTACTTGTTAAAGTATAACCTTGTTTTGCTATCATATTCATCTTTATTCTCAATGCTTGGGATGCTTTATACAGTAATGTACTAATTAAAACTGTCTTATTTTTGGTGTCTATTAAAAGAGTTTAAATTCACAAGACCTGTATTCTACAATAGAAAACCAAACTTGAACAATTAATTTAACATGCTGGCATCCAGTATCAAGGCATAAAGCTTACATTTGCTAATTGCTCCTGATCTCTCTATTGCTACATAATTTACTTAATAAATACTGATTGAGGCTATCAGATGCCAAGCAGGATAGGTACTATGATGGACAAGTAACAGCAGTAAAGCTGCTGCAGACACAGTGTAGAGTTGAAAGGCGTGTATTATTATCCTTTCAAAGGCTGCCCATCCAGAGGAGGCACATACGTGGGTGGACCTCTGACAGGAATGGAGTACTCTCGGATGGCCAAGCAGGTACAAGCACAATCCTGTCCTAAACAACTGAAAAAGTACGTGGTAAAATATTTAAAAGTCTGAGTAAGCAGAAATACAACAAAGGGGAGAGGATAGGTGGAGTAAATCTAGAGAAGGAAGAAAAAAATGTGTGGGTGAGATAGGAAAAGGCTGAATAAGCAAAGAGGCCATGCTACCACAGACCTCTGATTTTACAAGAGAATTCAGTGGCAGCAGAAACAGTTGTCGGGGCCGGCGCTGTAGCATAGAAGGTTGAGCCTCTGCCTGCAGTGCCAGCATCCAGAATGGGTGCTGGTTTTGAGTCCTGGCTGTTCCATCTAGCTCCCTGCTGATGCACCTGGGAAAGCAGCAGAAGATGGCCCAAAGACTTGGGCCCCTGCACCCATGTCAGAGATGGGGAGGAAGCTTCTGGCTTTGGATCGGTGCAGCTCCAGCTGTTGCGGCCATCTGGGGAATGAACCAGTGGATGGAAGATCTCTCTCCTCTATGCCTTTCAAATAAAATAATTTTTTCAAAGACTTATTTATTTGAGAGGCAGACTTACAGACAGTGGAAGACACAGAGAAAGGTCTTTCATCCTCTGGTTCACTCAAATGGCCACAACGGCCAGGGTGGGGCCAATTGGAAGCTGGGAGCCAGGAGCTTCTTCCGGGTCTCCCACATGGGTACGTGGGCCCAAGCACTTGGGCCATCTTCCACTGCTTTCCCAGGCCATTAGCAGAGGCCTGGATCAGAAGAGGAGCAGCTAGAACACGAACCCACGCCCATATGGGATGCTAGCACCACAGGTAGAAGCTTAGCCTACTACACCACAGACTCCAGCCTCCAATCTTAAAAAAGTTCTAAAAAGATGACATGGATAAAGTTGTATTGTGGTTAGCTATTTCGTTAGGATGGTACTGGATTTCCAGAGACATGAACCAAAAATGTATCAAGTTAAAAGGAAATTGACATCTGATGTCAGCATACATTTAATTGTTGAGAGTTTTCAATCATAGCTTTAAAGTGTAACAAACATCTCAATTTCAGATGTCTGCAAGGTAGGTCAAAGTGGGATGATTCGTCTGAGTCATGCAAGAACAGTAGCTGTAGAGAAGCTGGGTAACATGTCTCATCACCCAGTGGAGACGACAGTCAGGACAGGGCTTTGGTCTCCTGATGACTGTGCCAGCATCGTCTTCTATTTGTGAACAAATGTTGTGGAAAACCACAAAAACTGGGTGCAAAGTCAAATGCAACCTTGTTCGGTTAAGTTCAGTTCCTCTGAAATTAAGCCCACTTGAGTTTAAGAGTGAAATCACTGTTCATGGAAACAAACCAATACATCAAGGTTTTCATTTGGGCGCTGTCAGTCTGCAGAGAAGAATCTCCTTTTTCCTTTCACATTTTCCTCATCTTCTTCTTGCAGCGCTGGTTGAAAACAGGGGAGGACCCCATGAGGCTGTCCGTGGAGTGGGAACCATAGCTGCTGTCTGAGTCATCAGGGCTCTGGGGGATCCCGGCTTCACTCATGCCTGACATGGGCTCCTCGAAGACATCGCTGCCCAGCACGCCATGCCCAGAGACGTTGCCTTCTTCACTCTCTTGAGGCTCCATTTTCACATGGGCCAGGTTCCAAAGAGGAGAAGCATTGACCTCTGCACCTAGAAACAGGGAAGAACAGTGACGAGCCAAGTGGAGAACACAGTAGAATGCATGAATCCCCAGGTCTGACCAGTGCTTTCTGTACTTGCTGGAGAATGTGCTGTTACTCTCTGCCTCAGAAAGTTATCATCAAAAAATTACTAACTCTGAGGGCTGGTGATGTGGCGTAGTGGATAAAGCTGCCGCCTGCAACACCAGTATTCCACATGGGTTACAGTTTGAGTCCTGGCTGCTCTACTTTTTTTTTTTTTTTTTTTAATTCATTTATTTGAAAGAGTTACACAGAGAGAGGAGAGGCACACAGAGAGAGGTCCTCCTTCCACTGTCTCACTCCCCAGTTGGATGCAACAGCTGGAGCTGTGCCGATCCGAAGCCAGGAGCCAGGAACTTCTTCTGGGTCTCCCACGTGGGTGCAGGGGCCCAAAGACTTGGGCCATCTTCTACTGCTTTACCAGGCCATAGCAGGGAGCTGAACTGGAAGTGGAACAGCCGGGTCTCGAACCAATGCCCATATCCAGCTCCCTGCTAATGGCCTTGGAAAAACAGCAGAAGATGAGCCAACTACTGGGACCCCTGCAACCACATGGGAGACCTGGATGAAGCTCCTGGCTCCTACTTTCAGCATGGCCCAGCCCCAGCTGTTGTGGCCATCTGGGGAATAAACCAGTGGATCGAGGATCTCTCTCTTTCTCTTAAATAATTTTTTTTATTAAAAAATTACTAATGGGGCTTGCACTGTGGTGTAGCAGGTAAAGCCATGGCCTGCAGTGCCAGCATCCCATATGGGTACTGGTTTGAGTCCCAGCTGTTCCACTTCTGATCCAGCTCTCTGCTGTGGCCTGGGGAAGCAGTAGAAGATGGCCCAAGTCCTTGGGTCCAGGCACCCACATGGGAGACCTGGAGGAAGCTCCTGGCTCCTGGCTTTGGATTGACGCAGCCATCTGGGAAGTGAACCAGCGGATGGAAGATATCTCTCTCTCTCTCTCTCTCTCTCTCTCTCTCTCTGCGTCTCCTTCTCTCTGTGTGTAACTCTTTCAAATAAAACAAATATTTTTTTAAAAAATTAATAACTCAATATCTTCCTTTCCACTTTTCTCCTTCCTCCACCTCACCTCCATATTCCCTAAGTGAGGGGAGTGAAACTATGAAGTGGAAGGGTTCCCTGTCTCACGGCCTGAAGGCGGCACTGCCATGAGCATGGCCCACTCCGCTGTCCTTCTTTCCTTACTTTCATGGGGCTGTCTTGTTTTCCTGCCTTTTGTTCGGGTCTGTGGCCCAATGATCACTATCTAAAGCCAAGAGCAGTTTCCTGCCTGTCACCACTGAAAAGAGCACACGGTCCCTGTGACTTGGGCGGTCTCACCTCTATGTGTTCCAGCAATGCTGTTCCTTCTCACGGTGAAAGGTTCTTGCCTCATTCCACTTAGGCTACATTTGAGAATTTGCTATTTGAGTCACTGTGCATTAATAAAATGAAATTTACATTTGTGAGCTAGTTAGTGCCCAGACTAATTTGCAGTGAAGTGATTCACGTTTACAGTCAGTTGTCCTAAGCACCCCAAGGCTACCACGGAGGGCAGGTATTTGGTGAAGTGGTTCAGATGTTGCTTGGAACACCACATCCCATAATCCCATACTGGAGTGCCTGGGTTTGAGTTCTGGCTCCGCTGTCAACTTCAGCTTCCTGCTCATGTTCACATTGGAAGGCAGCAGGTGATGACTCAAGTACTTGGGTCCCTGCCACACATGTGGGAGACCTGGATGGAGTTCTGGGCTCCTGGCTTCCACCTGGCCCAGGCTTGGCTGTTGTGGGCATTTGGGGAGTGAGCCTGTGATGGAAGATTGATCTCTCTGTCTCTTTGCTTTCAAATAAAAAAAATATATAAATAAATAAAACTAAGGACATCATATCAACAGGCCAACTTCCTCTAACTGGGTAGCCCTATCTCAATCCCTTTCATTTCTAATTTGTTGCATACTCTAGCAAGGAAACCCCACTATTTAAACATCTTTAGGCAATAAACACTCCTCCATGTATCTGGCAGCCATCTTAAGGACCAATACAATACAAGAAATGAAGAAGATAACTGCCCAACCCGCCAATCAGCTGAGGCAATGCTATTAGTCATCACATTGCATCTATATCCTGAGATTATTTAAATTTTTAAAAATTTTCATTTAAGACAGCATTCTTATCTGCTGGTTCACTCTTCAAATGCTTGCAGGGGTCAGCCAACAGCTGAGAGGTCAAACCAGGTCTCCTCTGTGGGTGGCAGGGACCCAACTATTAGCCCCAGACTGCTACCACCCAGGAAGATGGAATCAGGTGCAGAACTGGGTATTGAAGCCAGGTACTCCAATATGGGACTCAGTGTCTTGATTGGTATTTTTTTAAAGATTTAGTTATTTACTTATTTGAAAGAATTACAGAGAGAGGGAGAGAAAGAGGGAGAAATATCTTCCATCTGCTGTTTCACTCCCACAATGGCAGCAAGAGCCAGAGCTGGGCCAAGCAGAAGCCAGGAGCCCAGAATTCCATCTGGGTCTCCCACATGGGTGCAGGGACCCAATCACTTAGGCCATCTTCCACTGCTTTCCCAGGCACATTTGCAGGGAACTGGATTAGAAGTGGAGCAGCTAGGACTCAAAATGGCACCCATATGAGATGCAGATGGTGTCTTCACCCACTGTACCACAGTGCTGGCTCCCTTAATTGGTATTTTAACCATGAGGTCAAATACCTGCCCCTGGAGATTTTTTATTTTTTGATTAATTTGAAAGGCAGAGAGACAGAGATCTCCCACCTGCCAGTTCACTCCTCAGATGCCCGCAACAGCTGGGGCTGGGCCAGGCCAAAGCCAAGAGCCTGGAACTCAATCTGGGTCTCTCATGTAGTGGGTAGGGACCCAAGTTGTTGAGCCCAGCACCTGCTGCCTGCCAGGGGACACATTAGCAAGAAACTGGAATCAGAAGTAGCGTTGGGGCTTGTCCTAGTAGTATCTTAACTATTGTGCCAAAGATGTGTCCCCACCCCTGGCCTGGGGATTATTTTAAAGACAGCCTGCAAAGTTGTAGCAGTCTTGTTTTCTCTAACTGGAGAGAGGAGAATGCTGATCTCTCCTCAGTTTGCTATGCTCGCTTTAGGACTTCCCACTCTGCCCACTCCCACTTTTGTTCTCCCATCTCCAGAGTTTGATTCGAAAAAGTGCCAAGTGCTGAGATTGGCAGATCTCCCGGAATCAAGCGAGTCAGCGGATTGCTCTTACTGGAAGCCTGAGGCGAAGCTTCAACCTCTAGGTTGGACGGGAAGCGCTCGCTCTGAGCTCCGAGGACTCCCATGGGCAGGGACTGGTCCCCGGCAGCCAGATCAGCCTCCAGCTCCTCGCTGACGGGAAAGGGGATGTCGCTCACGGGCTCCTCCTTGATCTTCACAGGTTTGGTGTCCTCAGTGGCCTTCTCGGGATTGACAATCCTTTCGTATTCTTCGGAGAGCTGCTTACTAATCTGTCAGCAAGCAAAAGTCAATTTTCCAAAAAAAATGTTAAAAGCCAGCTGGACAGTCAGCTTTGGCATCCCATAGGAAAACTAACAGAGAAGGAGTGACGGACAAGTTTTAAAGCATCCACTGCCAATGGAAGCAGTTTCTTGAAGGTGTTGAGTTTGCATTTATTTTTATAAAATATTTATTTATTTGAAAAAGTAGTTACAGAAACGGGAGGAGAGGGAGAGGGAGAGGGAGAGAGGGAGAGAGGGAGAGAGAGAGGCAGAGAGGGAGAGAGAGAGAGAGAGAGAAAGAAACAGAAGGTTGGAAGGAAGGAAGGGAGGGAGGAAGGAAGGAGGTCCTTGTTAGTTCACTCCACAAATGGCTGCAACAGCTGGGTCTGGGCCAAGCTGTAGCCAGGAGTCCAGAACTCCATTAGAGTCTCCCATGTGGCACAGCAGCGGTGAAGCTGCCCCCTGCAATGCAGAGATCCTTTGTGGGTGCTGGTTTGATTCCTGGCTGCTCCACTTCTGATCCAGCTCCTTGCTAATGCACCTGGGAAGGCAGTGGAGGATGGCCCAAATGCTTGGCCCCCTGCCACCCACATGGCAGACCTGGATGAAGCTCCTTGCTCCTAGTTTCTGCCTGGCCTAGCCCTGGCTCTTGTAGCCATTTGGGGAGTGAGTGAGCAGATGGAAAATCTATCTGTCTCTCCCTCTCTTTGTGCACCTCTGACTTTCAAATCAATCAATAAATCTTAAAGAAGTGGAGCAGCTAGGACTCGAACAAGTGCTCACGTGGGACGCTGGTGCTGTGAGCACCCGCTAAACCTACTGTGCCACAACGTCAGTCCCTGGAGTTGGCATTTACATGTGATGGAGCCATGTCAAAGAAGTGTGTTTTGCAGAGAATGTGGTTGTCATTAATTAAAGTTACATAAATGTAACAAGTATAGTTAGCCTATATCAAAGATAAAACTGCAACAAAAAGTTACATTTTTGGCTATAAAATAGAACAGTTGATATGTATGCCCTAAGTGGATAATCGATGCTGTGAGCAGCCTAAATGGCTCAGCAAAGACTCTTTTGCTGGGTGTTAAACATTACAAATCATATTTAGATTTTGGAAAACTCAAACAGGGAACAAATAGCTTGCTTAAGGTCACAAGGGCTGAAGAAATTAGAACTTGTGGTTCTAACAAAAAATAGTGTCCCCAGACGCTCACCCCTTACCCACCCCCATCCTCCTGGCAAAATTACCTCACTCTGTTTTGTTTTTCACAGAACTTAACACTATCTGAAATTGTTTTGATTGTTAGTTATTTGCTTACTTGTGTTTCCTCTCAACAGGAATGCAAGCTTAAGATACTTAATTGCTATATCCCACAATGCCTGACTGGTAACAGTCACTCAGACAAACATCTGTTGAATAAAAGACTCTCTCAGACTATGCTGTGCATAGTGCCTTCCACAGGAAGTACCAATGAGAGGGGTTGCTCACTGACTGAAGGAGGCCCCTGATGTCTGGCCAGGACAGCGCTGAGGCCGACTGTCAAGTTCACTTTGCACTCTACAGCAAGTGTGGGATCCTGGTGAACTCCCCTAGGTGGCACACCTTCGCCCAGGTCTTCACGGGGTCATCTCACCTGCAGCATGTAAGTGTGATAGTCCTTGATGCGGTGCTGCCAGAACCTCTGGAGGGAGAGCACACTGCCAATGCCCACCTCGTGGAACACCTGCTCCATAACATCCGGGAAAGGAGTCTGTCCCAGGCGGGCCTCCCGATCCACAGCAAAGCGCAGCAGCTTGGTGAACTTAAGGCAATACTCGTGCGCCACATCAGTGAGGGTCTCCAAGACACTTTCATTAGCACACTCGAAGCCTGCATGGGCCAGGATCGTGGCCACTGCCTGGTAGAGGAGCTGCCGGCAGGAATGCCAGCTGAGTTCAGTCACAGGTTCCCCTTTTCCCCTGAAAGTGGAGACATTGCAGTGTTATTAGTACTCTTGCAAAGGGGTGACCTGTTCTGTCTCTGTAGGAGTTTAATGATTCCAGTCAAATCACTGGCCCTGTTTCCCAGGAATATTCTTTCTAGGTCACATAGCTCCCTTTCATCTTGCTGCTATGTCAAGTCATGTCTCTGAGTTCCTCCAGTTACATTGTTTGACTAGGCAATGCATGTCTATGATAGGCAGTAGAAAAGTAGAGTGAAAAGGAAGTTTCCTTCTCTTTCTACCAGCTGCTCAATTTTGATCACTTTTAGGATTAAGTTTCACAGTATAACTCAGATATTGCTCAACGATGTTCTAATTATTTCACTACTGGGACCAGCATTGTGGTGCAGTGGGGTGAGCCACAGCCTGCAATGCTGGAATCCCCTATGAGTGCTGGTTGAGTCCCAGCTGCTCCACTTCTGATCCAGCTCCCTGCTAATGCACCTGGGAAAGCAGCAGAGGATGGCCCAAGTGTTTGGGTTCTTATTACCCACAAAGAAGACCCAAATGGAGTCTTGGCTCCTGGCTGTTGTGGCCATTTGGGGAGTAAACCAGTACATGGAAGATCTTCCTCTCTTTGACTCTGTCTTTTGAATAAAAAACAATTTTTATAAAAATAATTATTTTACTGCAATATACTTCCACACATGCTGGACAAAACATGGACTTTAAGAAATTCACAGTTCCAATTAGGACATTATTTTTTATAAATATTTTTTAAAGATTTATTTATTTATTTGAAAGTCAGAGTTACACAGAGAGAGAAGGAGAAGCAGAGAAAAAGAGAGAGAGAGAGGTCTTCCATCCACTGGTTTACTCCCCAGTTGGCCACAATGGCCAGAGCTGTGCTGATCTGAAGCCAGGAGCCAGGAGTTTCTTCCAGGTCTCCCAAGCAGGTGCAGGGGCCCAAGGGCTTGGGCTATCTTCCACTGCTTTCCTAGGCCATAGCAGAGAGCCGGGTCAGAGGTGAAGCAGCTGGGTCTTGAACTGGTGCCCATACAGGATGCGGGCTCTGTGGGCGGTGGCTTTACCTGCTACGCCACAGTGCCAGCCTCATAATTTTTATTTTTTTTTAATGTTTATTTTCATCTACTTGAAAGGCAGATAGAGAAAGAGAGAATATCATCCATCTACTGGTTCACTCCCCAGAGGTCCACAATGGCTGGGGCTGGGCCAGACAGAAGCCAGGAGCCCAGAACTCCATCTGGTTCTCCCACATGGGTTGCAGGGGCCCAAGTACTTCAGCCACCATCTGCTCCCAGGATACATTAGCAGAAAGCTGGACCAGAAGCAAAACAGCCAAGACTCGTCGAACTAGCACTCCAGTATGGGTTATGGGCGTCCCAAGCAGCTTAACGTGCTATACAACACCCACCCCAAGACTTTAAGCAACTACAAGGGACAATGTTATAGCCAGGAAGACAACTTTACAATGGCAATTTAAAACATACATAGCTTATAAGATATTTTCATCCTACCCTATGCTGTGAAATAGCTAGAGTCCATACTGTTATTCTTCTGTTTGCCAGGTAAGGAAACTGAAGTTCACAGGGCCTGACTTGCCAAAGGTTGTTTAGTTACTAACAGCGGAGCTTTGGACTCCAGTTTCCATACTCTTCATAATTCAACATTTTGCCCCCTAATCACTGCTGTAGAATCCTCATCTAAGAAAATACTTCAAAAATGGCCTGATCTCCCAGAAATAGTAAATTTTTAAATTTTTATTTATTTGAAGGTCATAGAGACAGAGAGCTCTTCCCTCTGCTGCTCATTGCCCAGGTAACTGCAATGCTGGAGGCACACCAGGCTGAATCAGAAGTCAGGGCTCATTCTGGGTTTCCCACATGGGTGGCAGGGACACAAGATTTGAGCCATGGCTGCTGCCTCCCAGAGTGAAATCTGGAATCAGAAGCAGAGCTGAGACTAGATCCCAGGCACTCCGATATGGGATGCAGGGATCCCGAGTGGCATCTTAACCATTGTGCCAAGTGCCCACGCCTAAAAAATAACTTTTGGTAAGTCTTTAATAATTTACCTCTCTCCTGAAATTTCCTATCTGACTTTTTCTGAAAAAAGTAATAGGGACAGGTGTTTGGCACAGCAGTTAAGTTGCCACTTGAGATGCCCACATTCTGTATCAAAGTGCCTGGATTCAAGTCCTAGCTTCGGGGCCAGCACTGTGGCATAGCAGGTAAAGCCATCGCCTCCAGTGCCGGCATCTCATATGAGTGCCGGTTCGAGTCCCGGCTGTTTGCACTTCCAATCTAGCTCTCTGCTATGGCCTGGGAAAGCAGTAGAAGATGGCTCAAGTCCTTGGGCCCCTGTGCCCACCTGGGAGACTAGGAAGAAGCTCCTGGCTCATGGATTTGGATCGGCACAGCTCCAGCCATTGCAGCCAACTGGGTAGTGAACCAGCAGATGGATGACCCCTCTCTCTCTCTCTGCCTCTCCTTCTCTCTCTGTGTAACTCTGACTTTCAAATGAATAAATAAATCTATAAAAAAATAAAATCCTAGCTCTGTTGCTGATTCTGATTCCTGCTAATGTGCATCTAGAGGCAGCAGATTATGGTTCAAGTGTTGGGATCGTGTCATCCATATGGGAGACCTGGATGAAGTTCCTGGCTCCTGGCTTTGGCCTGGCCCAGCCCTGGCCATTGTGGCCATTTGGGAAGTAAACCAGCAGATAGAAGACCTCTGTCTCTCCCTCTCTCGTTGTAACTGTGCCTTTCAAATAATAAATCTTAAAAAAAAAAAAAAAAAAGAGAGAGAGAGAGAATAGAAAATCACTGTTGCTTGGTCTGTACATGGAATGTGTTGCCATGTGCTGTGCAAGAGTGCCCGGGGCACTATCCACCCACTCTATTATCTGATTGTAGCTAATACTGTCTGTGAGACAACCAGTTGCTAAGTAACCTTTTTTGGAAAGATTTATTTGAAAGGCATAATGACAGAGAGGAAAAACAGAAAAAGATCTTCCATCTGCTGAATCACTCCCCAAAAGGCCACAACAGCCAGGGCTGGACCAGGCTGATGCCAGGAGCCAGGAACTCCATATTGATCTCCCATATGGGTAGCAGACACCCAAGCATTTGAGCCTTCATTTATTGCCTTCCCAGGCATATTAGCAGGGAGTTGGATAGGAAGAAGAGCAGCCAGGACTCAAACCAACATTCTGATATTGGATGCTGGTATCACAATCAGCCGTAACCCGCGGCGCTACAACACCTGCCCCATAACTTTCTAATATTTCCATCATAATCGGGCCAAACACTAAAGGCTTCAGAAGTGCTTAAGAAACAAATCTAAACTAGTATCACTTTGAGCAATTTATAGGCCACTTGGAAAACAATTTTTTGTCACCCCAATGGCTGCTCCAAATTATTTTTGTTATAGTCTCTTAAATATGTATAGAACAAAACTAGGTAAAACTTTTGAAGACCAAAGCTCTTACAATTAAAATAGAAATGTCTACAGCCACTCCACCAAACTCATCTGATCTCAGAAGCTAAGCAAGGCCGAGCTGGTTAGTACTTGGATGGGAGACAACTAAAATAGAAATCTGACACAAAACTATAAACAAACCATCAATTTAATATGATAGACAGAATTTTGTTGGAACTATACATTGTACCTTGACATCATCTGGCCCAACTGTAACTGTTACATAGTGCGTCTATTTCTGATTTTTTTCTCAACAGTTTGGGATAACTAAAGTAATAACTATTATCACCAATAGGCCAATATAATAAATGATACACAGTATCACTTCTAAAGTATTCTTGCCAAACATCTTTAACCTGAACTTAATCTTGAGGAAATAATACACATACAGTGGGTGAGACATTCTGTAGACCCAATGATCCACGCTCACAGAGACATTATAGAAGAATAACAGCTAGATGCATGCATGAATCTTTGTTAGGGGAAAATATACTTGTTTTTTTTTTTTTTTTGGTTTTGTTTTGTTTTGTTTTTTGACAGGCAGAGTGGACAATGAGAGAGAGAGACAGAGAGAAAGGTCTTCCTTTGCCATTGGTTCACCCTCCAATGGCCGCCGCGGCCGGTGTGCTGCGGCTGGCGCACCGTGCTGATCCGATGGCAGGAGCCAGGTGCTTCTCCTGGTCTCCCATGGGGTGCAGGGCCCAAGCACTTGGGCCATCCTCCACTGCACTCCCGGGCCACAGCAGAGAGCTGGCCTGGAAGAGGGGCAACTGGGACAGAATCCGGCGCCCCGACTGGGACTAGAACCCGGTGTGCCGGCGCCGCAAGGCGGAGGATTAGCCTAGTGAGCCGCGGCGCCAGCAGGAAAATATATTTGTAAAAGATGTTGGTAGCAACTGGAGGAGTCTGAATATGGTCTTGTTAAATGGTATAATTTAATTAATGTTCATTTACTTTGGTGAGATAACAGTACAGTGATTATGTAGGAAGATAGATGCACACTGAATAAATGGATGAAATATTGAGATGTACGCAAATTACTTTAAAATGTTTGGCCAAAAAAAAGTGTGTGTGTGTCTGTGTGTGTGTATAGACTTTCACATACACGTATAAGAAAGTAAATGTGGAAAACTGTTAGCCACTAGTGAATTCAGATGACAGGTGTTTGAATGCTCATTGTACTACCGATTAAAACTTTTCTGTAGGTCTGACAAATTTCAAAATGGAAAGGAAAACAAAGTAATTATTTGGCATTCAATACACACTTACATACAGAAGTGTAGCAGTAGTGCTAGTCCACAAGGAAGTCATTCAGGGCGTGTGGAGCAGGGCCTCTCACACTGGAGATCTGGAGATCTCGTGAAAACGCAGGCTCTGATTCCGCAGGTCTGGCAAGACCTGAGAGTCTGCATTTCTCACAAGCTCACACAGGATGTTAATGCTGATGGTCTTGGGCCAGATTTGGGTAGCAAGAATCAAGGACTTTTTTTACATTATTATTTTTTAAACTCTATTAGCAGAATGAAAATACACAGTTTAAAAAATTCCTGCATAGACTTGTGGTTTCCTAATAATACCTGTGTAAGCCCACGAATCACATTTGAAGACCCTGAGCTAAGCCCGTAACACTCATTTTATACTAAATACAAAGACTAGATTCTGAGGACTATGAAGCCATGGCCTATGGCCTATGAAGCCAGTGCTCCTAGTGAACTGCTTGGCATAAAACAGGCACTCAGTAAATATTTGAGGCATCAGAAAATGAAAAAATATATTCAGGGTTTGGAAGATTGGGGTTCAAGGCTTGGATTTCCCCCAATATCCTGAGCAACCTTGTCCAAGTCAATTCCTCTTATCCTTCGTTTCCTCATGGGGAAATAAAAATGCTATTACAGGAATAACAGGGTTATTGGAAAGATAACTCGAGAAAGGAAAGATACGGCAAAGTCTTGTCTTACCGATAAAAGTCACTCTCTGGGTCACTGTGTCGGATCTGGAATGGTGCATTGGGGTTCTTACAGTCCAAAGGCAGGAGGTCATCGGGGAGAGGAGGTGACCCTGGGCAGGCGGGAAGAGGTTCACTCTCCTCAGTCTTTACACCTTCGGTCTGCTGCTGATTCTGGGCCTGAGCTGTGGCAATAAGGTTTCGAAGACGTCGGTTGTGCTGGATCAGCTGAATGGTGTGAATGGTGAGGCTGCACGGCTCTGAGGGGACGTCCAGCATGGTGGGGGGCTTGGGCTTGTTGGCAGAGGGCTGGTGCAGGGGTGGGTCATGGACTTCCACCAGACGGAACTCCCGGGGGAGCAAATCAAAGGAACTTCTGTTGGCCTGGTTTGACGACATTGGTATTTCTCCCCAGTACCTCAACATTTTGGAATAAGGGAAGAGTTCTCAGGTTCAATGTAGAGGATATCCTAAAAGTAATGCGTTTAGCTCTCTGGCAACTGTAGATTCTAGGCTTCTGTAGTGAAAAATATGAAGTCCAGCCAGTAATTTACATAAAAATGTGTCAGACAAATGCAGGACCAAAGATGTTCTCCCTGAAAAAATTTGGAGAAATTTAGCTGTTAGATGCTAGCCATTATCACACCCTGATAACTCCTACCAGACAACCACAAGGTAGAAGCTGAATCATAGCAGACTAATAGCTGCAACAGTATCTGGGGCTCTACTGTCCGTGTTTTCCATCTCACCTTACTAACTCATTACCAGAACCACCATCATGCATGATACTTAAATATCAGGCCTTAAGCACTGTGCATCTTTTTTTAAAAGAATTATTTGTTTATTTGAAAGGCAGAGTCACAGAGAGGGAGAAACAGAAAGAAATCTTCCATCGACTGGTTCATTCCCCAAATGAATGAACAAAGACGAGGGCTGGGCCAGGCTGAAGCCAGGGGCCTGGAACTTCATCCACGTCTCCAAGGTGGGTGGCTGAGGCCCAAGTGCTTAGGCCATCTTCTGCTGCTCTTTCCAGATGCATTAGCAGGGAGCTGGACTGGAACAGGAGCAGCCAGGACTTGAACTGGTGCTCATATGGGATGTCAGTGTCACAGGTGGCAGCTTAACCCGCTGCACCACAACACCAGCCCCTTCTCAGAGTACCTTGACACATCTATGCCAGGTCAACAGGAGAAAAGGGAGTAGAATCAAAGAGATATGTGTCTGTCAAGCATGAGAATGTTTTAACTGCTGCTGGTGGAAAATTTATGAACTACTGATCTAGACAATCTTATGTTTTCAACTTCTGACACATCTAGAAAGATTTCTGTTGCCTTCTAAGTGGTATCCCTTCTTCTAGTCTCTCTTGGATCTAATCTGTTCTCCACACTGCTGCTAGATAATCTTTCTTAAAGATTTCTTTATTTATTTGAAAAGCAGAGAGAGAGAGAGAAACAGAGATCTTCCATCCACTGGTTCACTCCCCAAATGGCTGCAACAGCTGGGTCTGAGCCAAGCCAAACGCAGGGAGCTAGGAACTCCATCCTGGTCTCCCACATGGGTAGCAGAGGCCCAGACATTTGGGCCATCTTCTGTTGCCTTCCCAGGCACAGGAAGCTGAATCAGAGTGAGGTAGTAGGGACTCGAATCAGCACTCTAATATGGGGTGCTGCAGCTTAACCTGCTGTGCCACAATGCTGGACCCTAGACAATCTTTTAAAAATGCAAATGTAGGGGCCTGTGTTGTGGTGCAGTGGGTTAAGGCATTGCTGCCTACACTGGCATCCCACATCAGAGTGCTGATGTCACTCTACTTCTCATCCAGCTCCCTGTTAATGTGCCTGGGAAACCAGCAAAACATGGCCCAAATGCTTGGGCCCCTGCCACCCACTTGGGAGACCCAGATAGAGTTCCAGGCTCCTGGCTTTGGTCTGGCTCAGCCAGAGCCGCTGCAGGCATTTGGGGAGTGAACCAGTAGATGGAAAATCTCTTTCTGTCTCTTTCTCTCTCTTCCTTCTGGTTTTCTTTTCTTTTTTGTTTTATTTTTTTAAATGTAGCAGTTTTTTAAAAAAAAGATTATTTATTTTAAAGGCAGAGTTACAGAGAGGCTGAGGCAGAGAGACAGAGAAGGGTCTTCCATCTGCTGGCCCACTCCCGAAATGGCTGCAATGGCTGGAGCTGGGCCAATCTGAAGCCAGGAGCCAGGAGCTTCTTCCTGGTCTCCCATCTGGGTGCAGGGACCCAAAGACTTGGGCCATCCTCCACTGCTTTCCCAGACTACAGCAGAGAGCTGGATCAGAAGTGGAGCAGCCCTGGACTCGAACCGGCACCCATATGGGATGCCAGCATGCAGGCATGGCTTTACCCACTACACCACAGTGCCAGCCCCCCTCCGCTTTACAAATAAATCTTTTTAAAAAATTTAAAAAGCTCAAATCTAATGGCTTCCCATTACCAAATGGAAAAAAAAAATCAGAATTCTTTGGCTTACCATTCAACAAAATTCACAATTTGGCTTCAACCTACCTTTCCGGATTCATCGCCCATGTACCTCTTCAAGTCCAACAAACATTTATCGAATGCCAGGCATTACGCGAGGACAGGAAGAACAAGTAATGCAAGATCTCCGTCCTGAGGGAGGGAAACAGAATATTTGAATATAAAAGCACATGGAAGTGCTGTTCTAGGTGCAGTGGAAGCAGAAAGGAGCTCCTGGATAAAATGATCAGCGTAGTTCCCGCGATATTACCCTACTTAGTTTCTTGAGACAGCCATGCTTCTACAGTCGACCCTTTGAGCTGTGACTGATGCCAGAGAGGCCCTTCCGTCCCCACAACGCTGGCCGCCTTGCATTCATTCTAAGTCAGCACCCTCACCGCTTCCCCAGGACACCGCTCTACCTTATGTTCTCACAGCACTTTGCACAGCACAGCATTTATCCCTGGATTTTAACTAGCACTTATGTCTGTCAACATTATTCTCCCATCTATCTTCTAGGGCCATATACCTCTTGTCTCATTTATTGAATGCTTACTCTACTCATATGCCAGTCTTCATCTGTATGGTTTAATCCCGTTTTCCCAACGACACTACCAAATCAATACTGTTATCATTCCCATTTTTCAGGTGTGCAGGCTGAGGTCCTATGTCTTGCCCAATGCCACAAACGGAGCACTCTTAACCACTCAGCTACACAGCCTTAGCAGCTTCAGAAAGAATCAATGAATGAACACTCTAACGACAACAATTACAAGCCTCCCTCTTCCCCATAACTTCACCGAAAGGAGTAAGACGGACAGGTGCCGAGTCCCGGGACTGCCCAAGGCGCTCCTTGGTCACGGTCCACAGGCGCCAATCACAGGGTCCTGAGGTCGCCTGATGCCCAGCGCAGCCGGGAGATGGGAAGGTCGGAACTGAACTGGGGCCGCTGTCCTCGCCGCCACGCCGAAGCTGGACGCCGAGAGGCCTGAGCCGCGGGTCCCGTCAGGCCCGAAAGGCTGGTTTGCTAGTTAGTGGTCCTAAACTGCCGGAAGCGCTTCTTCTCAATCAAGCTATGCCACAGGAAGTCACTACAATCCTGTTGCAACTCCTAAATATGTCCCCATTCTCTCTCTGTTTTTCTCAATAGCCTTTTTCTGTTTTCCTATTGCTATGACCAACCCGCGTAACGCACTACGTCCCAACGCTCTGGGCCGTGGACGTACGACTCGACCATCACGTTCCAGAGAAGCCGCTGGGAGCTGGGGAAAGGAAAACACGGATAGGAACGAAAGCCCAAAGGGTGACGCTTCCTAGGGACAGCTTTGGAGGGTGCACCGGGCCCAGAATGGCTGATAATCTCTCGTCCCAGTCTGAGCCTCTGGCGCCTGCAGATCTAAATGACGACTTCAAGAAGCCCGCCCTGCCAGTGCCCCCAGCAGTGCGGGGCAAGGCCTCGGCCACCAGCCCCTCAAACACCGAGGAGGAGGAGAAGGATCGCGAATCCGAGGAGCCCGACGTCCCGCCGCCTCGGCCGGACAGCGGGGAAACTAGCAGTCCCCAAGGCGAGCAGCCCGCTGTAGCGGCTTCCTCAGCCGGCGGCCCGACCCGGGCTCCTCCCTACCGAGAGCCGCCGTGGGGCGGCCCGGCCACGGCTCCCTACAGCCTGGAGACGCTGAAGGGCGGCACCATCCTTGGCACGCGAACGTTGACGGGGACGAGCTGCTGCCTTTTCGGGAGGCTGCCCAGCTGCGACGTGTGCCTGGAGCATCCGTCGGTGTCGCGGTACCACGCCGTGCTGCAGCACAGGGCCTCGGGCCCCGACGGGGACAGCGAGGGCCACGGGCCGGGCTTCTACCTTTACGATCTGGGAAGTACCCACGGCACGTTTCTTAACAAGACCCGTGTCCCGCCCCGCACCTACTGTCGCGTCCGTGTCGGGCACGTTCTTCGCTTTGGAGGCAGCACTCGGCTCTTTATCCTGCAGGTAAGTAGGGGGACAAAAAACCGAGAATTAAAGCCTCGGGAGTATAACCGGGCTGGGATCCTGAGCTCCTTGGAAGCTTTCGTGGAGGAAGATGTTCTACCAGTCCACAATTACAACAGTGGGTCTGGCCACGTCTCCCTACCTCTGTTCACGTTGCCGTGTTTCTGCAAGATCCTGAACGCTAACAGCATTTCTTTTGCTTGGTTCGTCAGGGACCAGAGGAAGACAGAGAGGCAGAATCTGAATTAACAGTAACGCAGTTGAAGGAGTTGCGCAAGCAGCAACAACTACTGCTAGAGAAGAAGATGCTGGGAGAAGACTCTGATGAAGAAGAGGAAACAGACGTTACGGAAAGGAAGAAACACACCAGCAGCCAGGATGATGACATGGGCTGCACTTGGGGGATGGGTAAGAGATTAAAGTCACTACCAGGGGTTACTCTGTTGAGATCATTGCTAGCGATACCCTTAGGTGATTTTTTTTTTTTTTGTATCATACAGTATTTCATGATTCTTTGAGAAATATAGGGCTAATACATTTTGCCATTGACCAAAAACCAGAAAGATTGATTAACTTTACTGATGTGAAATATTGAATTCCAGGCACTCTAGATTTCTTTAAATGTGTGTGTATGTGTTTTGCCTATCTGAAAGGCAGAGTGAAAGAGAGAGAGAGAGAGGGAGAGAGCCAGAGAGAAAGAAACGTTCCATCCATTGGTTCACTCCCCAAATGGCCAGGAGGAGCAGAGCTGTGCCTGACAGAAGGCAGAAGCTAGAAACTCCATCTGGGTCTCCCGCGGGGGTGGCAGGGGACCAATATTTAGGACACTGTCTGCCTTCCCAGACATATTAGCCAGGACCTGGATCAGAGACATGGCCAAGACTGGAACCACTCCAGTATGGGAGGCCTGGATTACAGGCTTAACCAGTGCACTGCAATGCTGACCCCTTTGAATGGGTTTTTAACACACTGTCTCCCTCAGCATACAGCTAACTTAATTTTCATTATTAAAAATATATATTTATTGACTACTCACTTGGTGGTGTGTGATTATCACTGAAGGTGGTGGAACTACATTCAGGCAAATAAAATGGAGTGTTATTCAACATAAGGTAGCCTCTTGAATTTTTTGTTAAATATCCTGAAACATGGAATATCTAAAAAGAAAAAACTCATCTCTAAGCCAAAGGAATAAATTAAATTTTCTATACTACCAGTCACATTGAAGAGTAGATGGTCAGGGGATAGAACTTTAAAAAGATAGAAAATAGCAGCCAGCGCTGTGGCTAAAGCTGCCGCCTGCAGAACCAGCATCCCATTTTGGCGCCGGTTTGAGTTCCAGCTGCTCCACTTCCCATCCAGCTCTCTGCTACAGCCTGGGAAAGCAGTGGAAGATGGCCCAAGTCCTTGCACCCCCGCACCCGCATGGGAGACCAGGAAGAAGCTCCTGGCTTTGGATCAATGCAGCTCTGGCTGTTGCTACCAATTGGGGAGTGAACCAGCAGATGGAAGACTTCTCTCTCTCTCTCTGACTCACCTTCTGTGTGTAACTCTGACTTTCAAATTAATAAATAAATCTTAAAAAAAAAAAACAACAAACAAAAGATAGAAGATAGCCTTTATATGTAGTCAAGAAGTCAGGATCGTTAGTATGAAATTAACTTGTGTTAAGTGCCAGAAAATGCTAGAAACTTAAGTGTGCTAGGGCAGTGGTTCCGTGAAGGGGGAAATCATTGAACACTCAAATCTCTGCTGCCCAAGGTAGTCACTAGCTACAGTGGCGATTGAACATTACAGTGTGGCTAGTCCAAATTGACATTTGCTGTAAGTACAAAAAGAATGTAAAATATTTTTGATATTTTGGTCATTGATTACATGTTGAAATAATTCCATCTGTTTTCTTTTTGTCTTTTTTTTTTTTTTTTTTCAATTATTTGTTTGAAAGGCAGAGTGACAGGGAGAAACATATCTTATGTCTGCTGGTTCACTCTCCAAATGGCTCAACAGTGAGATCTGGACCAGACCAAAGCCAGTAGCCAGGGGCCCAAGTACTTGCACTGCTTTCCCAGGCACATTAGCAGGGAGTAGAATTGGAAGCAGAGTGGCCAGGACTCAAACTGGAACTCCAGTGTGGGATGCCAGTGTCACAAGTGGAAGCTTAACCTCTGAGCCTCAATGGCAGCCCCTGTTTTTGCCTTTTTAACATGGCTAATAGAAAATTTAAGATTACATATATAGCTTTCATTCTTTTTAAAAAAGAATATTTATTTATGTATTTGAAAGAGCTAGAGAGAGAGAGAGAGAGGGGAAGAGACAGAGAAAGATCTCACATCCCTGGTTTACTCCCTAGATGGCTGCAGTGACCAGGGCTGAACCATGTTGAAGCCAGGAGCCAGAAGCTTTGTCGAGGTCTCCCACGTGGGTGCAGGGACCCAAACACTTGGGCTGTCTTCTGCTGCTTTTTACAGGCCATTAGCAGGAAGCTGGATCAGAAGTGGAGCAGCCAGAACACAAACTGGAGCCCACATGGGATGCCAGTGTTGCAGTATTGCACTGTGCCACAATGCTGACCCCTTTCATTCTGTTTCTGTTGGACTGTACTGGCTTAGCTCTTTGGGAAACTTTTTTTTTTCCCAGAAATAAATATTTCTGCTTCCATTTTTTAAGATATATTTATTTATTTGAAAGGTAGAGTGAGAGAGAGAATCAATCTTTTGTCCTCTCTGGTTCACTCCACAAATGACTGAAATAGCCAGGGCTGGGCCAAGCCAAGAACCAGTAACTCTCTCCGTGTCTCCTATGCAGGTGGCAGGAACCCAGGCACTTGCCATCTTCTTCTGCTTCCTGAGTATATTAGCAGGGAGCTGGATTAGAAGTGGAGCAGTCAGGACTTGAGCCAGCAGTCCAATATAGGATGCAAATGTGCCAATCTTCTGTGCCACAACGCCTGTCCTATGGAAAACATTTTTTTTTTTTTAAGATTTATTTATATGAAAGGTAGAGTTATAGAGAGGCACAGGCAGAGAGAAAGAGAGAGGTCTTCCATCTGCTGGCTCATTCCCCGAATAACCACAACAGCTGGAGCTGAGCTGATCTGAAACCAGGAGCCAAGAGCTTCTTCCAGGTCTCCCACATGGGTGGAGGGGCCCAAGGATTTGGTTCATCTTCTACTGCTTTCCCAGGCCATAGCAAAGAGCTGGATCAGAAGTGGAGCAGCTGGGACTTAAACCAGCACCCATATGGGTTGCTGCCACTGCAGGCTGTGGCTTTACCTGCTACGCCATAGCGCCAGCCCCTGGAAAACTTTTTAAGTTTATAAACAGAAGCATTGTAGGTTTTTTTGTTTGTTTTGTTTTGTTTGTTTTTACTTTAGAGGCAGAAAAACAGAACCAAAGAGACCTCCCATCTACTGGTTTATTCCCCAATGCCCCAGTAGTGGGGAATGGGCCCAGCTGAAGCTGGGAGGTAGAAGCACAATTTAGGCCTTCCACATGGGTGGCAGGAACTCCGTTACTTGAACATCTGCTTTGGCAGGAAGCTGTTGTCAGGAGCCAGAGCCAGGTACTCCAATAGGGGTCCCCAGGCTACATGCCTTTCCTGTCAGAAAGGTGTTGAGCGGGAACTTGAACAAAGGCAATGGAGCCCATATAAAGCTGATCATTGAGATTACCATTCAGGGCAGGCATTGATGATTTTAAGGGAGTAATGTATATACCAGTCTGTTTGGAGGATACCATGAGGAGTTAGGAGGGGTAGTAGGCAGTTAGGAAAGGCCCCTGTGGGAACAAAAGGGCAGTTAGGACCCAGGGTTTATAAAATAACCTATGTAATAAAGCCTGCCATCCACTGATTAGACAAAAGATATTACCCAAGGAGATGGAAAAATTGATAATTACGAAATAGTGGGTCTCATAAATAATTATAAGGAGCCAGGCTTTGGCGCTGGACCAGACCATACCACAAAGCATCATGTCTCAAGTGTATAGCAAGATAACATTCTTTAACTGGTTAGGTCAGCAATATTTCTCAACAGTCACATTTCTCAGGTGGTCAGCAAGGTAACATTTCTTTTTGGTCAGTAACCATGACCACTTTCTAAGAGACATAGGGGGAAAAAAGCAGACCCTGTGGGGCTGGCACTGTGGCATAGGAGGTAAAGCCGCCACCTACAGTACCTGCATCCCACATGGGCGCTGGTTCAGGTCCCGGTTGCTCCTCTTCCAGTCCAGCTCTCTTCTGTGGCCTGGAAAGGCAATGGAAGATGGTCCAAGTCCTTGGGCCCCTGTACCCACATGAGAGACCCAGAAGAGGCTTCTCGCTCCTGGCTTCAGATCAGCGCAGCTCCGGCCATTGCGGCCATCTGGGGGGTGATGGAGGACCTCTCTCTCTTTCTGCCTCTGCCTTTGTGTAACTCTGCCTTTCAAATAAATAAATCTTTTTTTTTTTTAATTGAAAAAGAGACCCCTGATGTATCAAAACTGTGTAGAGATTCAGTCAATTGATATGCACTCCTTATATGAGCTCCCATATCCAGACCTTGCTTGAACCTTCCCTTGTGTCCCTTCTTGGTTAGCAGAAGTCTCTGTTTCTCAATAAAATCAACTTTTACTTTTGCTCACTACTCACATTGTCCACGTCATCATTCTTAGTTGCCTTGAGACAAGAACTGACTTGAAATTCCTGCAATAATATGAGCAGTATTAGGAAATTATATTGGAGACAAAGTATTAGACCTAAGTGTGAGAGAATGAGAATGCTAGACTGAAGAGCTCAGGTTTTTCTCCACAATGTGATAGGTGATTTTGCTTTTGACATATAGTGATGGAGGGGGAAAAATTAAGGTGTCATAAAAACAAGTTTTGACTGCCATGCAATTGGGAAAACTTGAAGATGGTTAGGGCAGTGGCTTTGTAAGTTTCATGCCTCTCTGCCCTAGTATGTTTCTTTCCGTCACATGTAACTGTAGCATTTTGCAGCCTGAATGGATAATGAAGGCTATGCAGGCGGTCTCTTCTTACTTCTGATTGTCTTTCTTTCTCTCCCGTATTCTACAGGAGAAGATGCTGTGGAGGATGAGGCTGAAGAGAACCCCATTGTCTTGGAGTTTCAGCAGGAAAGAGAGGCCTTCTATATAAAGGATCCGAAAAAAGCTCTGCAAGGATTTTTTGACCGAGAAGGTACATGAACAGATGCGACCCTGCTGGTAAAATGTATCTACAGCAGTGTTGTTTTCTAGAGCTTCAGATTGAGGTTTATACTTAGAAATGCTGCATTTTATATGTTGCTTTCCTTGTTCATTTCTTGCCCATTGTTCAATTGCTTCAAGGTTTATTTTGAAAATAGTAAAAATCTTATTGATCTTTCTTTCCATATTGGAAAAAAGGAAATACTTTTTTGTATATGTTTTTAAGATTTATTTATTTGTGTATTTATTTTAAAGACAAAGTAAGAGAGATAGGTGGAGAGACAGAAAGAATCTTTCATTTGCTAGTTTGCTCTCCAAATGGCTGCAATAGCCAGGGCTGGGCCAGGCCAAAGCCTGGGGCCTGGAACTCCATTGTTGCTTGTATGGGATGCAGGCAGCAGCTTAACCCACTTACTACAACACCAGCCCCTGAAAGTACTAATTTCCTGACTCATCTTATTCTTCTCAAAAGATACTGGATCTTTGGTTAGGAAAATTGAGCCACTTTCTTAAGATATCTTGTTCCTGGGGCTGGCGCCATGGCGCAGTAGGTTAATCCTCTGCCTGCGGCGCCGGCATCCCATATGGGCGCCAGTTCTAGCTGGCTGCTCCTCTTCCAATCCAGCTCTCTGCTGTGGCCTGGGAAATCAGTAAAAGATGGCCCAAGTGCTTGGGCCCCTGCACCCATGTGGGAGACCTGGAAGAAGCTCCTGGCTCCTGGCTTCAGATCGGCGCAGCTTCAGCTGTTGCAGCCATTTGGGGAGTGAACCAACGGAAGGAAGACATTTCTCTGTGTCTCTGCCTCTCACTGTCTGTAACTCTACCTTTCAAATAAATAAAAATCTTTAAAATAAAAAAGATATTTTATTCCTGATTCACTTGAATTTTCGTAATTCTTAACGTGAATTTTAACTTTATATGATTAAAAACATTTTTACAAAGTATTTCAGTAGAGATGCTTTAAAAGAACATCTATGTGTGTGTATACATGTGTTTGCATATATGTATGAATATCTATATGTATATATACTCATCCCTTGGCTTTCCCAGAGAATTGGCTCCAGAACCCCCTCCCCCCAGGACACCAAAAGCTGAGGCTGCTCAAGTGCTCACATGAAATGGCATAACGGGGCCTGCACTGCGGCAGAGTAGGGTAGGCCTCTGCCTGTAGTGCCACCATCCCATGTGGATGCCAGTTTGAGTCTCAGCTGCTCCACTTCCGATCCAGTTCTTTGCTGATAGCCTGGGAAGACAACAGAGGACAGCCTGAATGCTTGGGCCCCTGCACTCACGTGGGAGACCTGAAGAAGCTCCTGGCTCTTGGCTTCAGATCAGCCCAGCTTCAGCCGTTGGCGGCCATTTGGGGAGTGAGCCAGTGGGTGGAGGACCTCTCTCTGTGTCTCTCTGTCTCTCTCTCTCTCTCTCTAACTCTGCCTTTCAAATAAATAGATAAATCTTAAAAAAAGTAGTATCTGCTTATAACTTCCTGTATACTTTAAATCATCTCTAGATTACTTATAATTTCTGATGCTCATACAATGTAGCTGATATTTAAAGAGTTGTTATGCCATATTGTTAACAAATAGTGATAAAAGGCCAGTGCCGCGGCTCAATAGGCTAATCCTCCGCCTTGCGGCGCCGGCACACCGGGTTCTAGTCCCGGTCAGGGCGCCAGATTCTGTCCCGGTTGCCCCTCTTCCAGGCCAGCTCTCTGCTGTGGCCCGGGAGTGCAGTGGAGGATGGCCCAAGTGCTTGGGCCCTGCACCCCATGGGAGACCAGGATAAGTACCTGGCTCCTGCCATCGGATCAGCGCGGTGCACCGGCTGCGGCGGCCATTGGAGGGTGAACCAACGGCAAAGGAAGACCTTTCTCTCTGTCTCTCTCTCTCTCACTGTCCACTCTGCCTGTTTAAAAAAAAAAAAATATATATATATATATATAGTGATAAAGAAAAAAGTCTGTATATGTTCAAAACAGGTCTAGCTTTTTTCTCCAGATACTTTCTGAGATTGCTAGAATCTCAGATGTAGAGCCTGTGGAGGTGGAGGACTAACTGTGTATGAATAAATATATAAATATCTATTTGAAAGGCACAGTAACAGAGAGAGGCAAAGACAGCAAGAAACAGATCTTCTATCTGTTTTGTTCACTCCCAAAATTGCCACAACAGTTGGAGCTGGGTCAGGCCAAAGTCAGGAGCCAGAAACTCTTATTTGAGCACACGGTAAGTACTTGGGCCATCTTCCACTGCTTTCCCAGGCGCATTAGCAAGGAGCTGGATCAGAAGATATACAGATATAGATATATAGATATAAGATACAGATATATCACGCTCTGCATTTGAGATTTGTGCTTGTAAAAACCAATTGTTACAAAATAAGCACTTCAAATAAGTCCTCAAATTATAAAAAATGAAATCTTTATAGTAAAGAAAGCTATGTATACTTGGCAAGTTGATTATTTTGAATTGAGTTTGCATATCTTTACCTTAAATTCATCCTTTTTATCAGATGTAATCCCTAAGAATGAGAAATGAAATACATTGAAGCAGTATTCATTATGGTATGAAAATTTGATCTTATTTAACCTTTGCTCTCTTTCTCATTGTAGCAATTAATAATTGTAGCAATTAGTAATTTGCATATCCTACTAAGATTTTGTCTTTCTTTCTCCCGTAGGAGAAGAATTAGAGTATGAATTTGATGAACAAGGGCATAGTACTTGGCTCTGCAGGGTGAGGTATGTTCTTCTTAATGTCCATTTTCTCAGAAGTGGTCAATTCAAGTTTAAGTTACGGTTGTAGACAACAACCCAAAGAGTAACTTTAGTCTATTTAGATTATTCCTAATTTGGACCTTGGTAGTTTCACAACACTTACATTGTTGAGGGAGTGGGTAGGATGGGTAAAAGGTAGAAGGAAAAGATTTGAAATCTAAAGTTCGAAAAATAGAGCAAAATTAATTGAGAGAAGAACCATCTAGGGGTCAGTGCAGTGGTGCAGCAGGTTAAGCCACTGCCTGCAGTGCTGGCATCCCATGTGGGCACCACTTTGAGTCCCGACTGTTCTGCCTCTTTTTTTCTTTATTTTTTAAAAGATTTATTTATTTATTTGAAAGTCAGAGTTACACAGAGAGAGGAGAGGCAGAGAGAGAGACAGAGGTCTTCCATCTGCTGGTTCACTTCCCAGTTGGCTGCAATGGCCAGAACTGTGCCGATCCAAAGCCAGGAGCCAGGAGCTTCTTCTGGGTCTCCCATGTGGGTGCAGGGGCCCAAGGACTTGGGCCTTCTACTGCTTTCCCAGGCCATAGCAGAGAGCTGGATCGGAAGTGAAGCCTCAGGGTCTCGAACTGGAGCCCATATGGGATGCACCACAGCGCCAGCCCCCTCGACTGTTCTATTTCTGATCCAGCTCTCTGCTGATATGCATGGGAAGGCAGCAGAAGATGGCCCAGATGCTTGGGCCCCTGCACCCATATGGGAGACCTGGACTCCTGGCTTTGGCCTGACCCTGCCCTGGCCATTGTGGCCATTTGGGGAGTAAACCAGCAGGTGGAAGTAACCTCTCTCCTCTCCTCTCCCTCTCTCTGTGTAACTCTGCTTTCAAATTAATAAATAAATCCTCAAAAAAAAAAAAAAAAAAAAAAGAGGGAGCCATTTAAGAAAACATGACTATTGTTACAGCATTTTTTTTTTTTTTAATTTATTTGAAAGGCGAAGTTAGAGAGGAAAAGGCAGAGAGAGAGAGATATCGTCCATGCACTGGTTCACTCCCCCGAACAGCCCCAATGGCCAGATCTGGGTTGACCTGAAACCAGGAGCCAGGAGCCTCCTCTGGGTCTCCCACATGGGTGCAGGGCCCAAGGACCTGGACCATCCTCCACTGCATTCCCCGGCCACAGCAGAGAGCAGAATTGGAAGTGGAACAGCCAGGGCTTGGACTGACGCCCACATGGGATGCTGCTGGCAGGGGCATTAACCCACTGCACCACAGGGCTGGCCCCTTGTTTGTTTTCTTAATTGGAGTTTAGTTCTATACTAATTCTCTCCAAACCAATGCAGATTACCTGTGGATGATTCAACTGGAAAACAACTGGTGGCTGAAGCCATTCACTCAGGAAAGAAAAAAGAAGCAATGATCCAGTGCTCGCTGGAAGCTTGTCGGATCCTTGATACTTTGGGATTGCTGCGGCAGGAAGCAGGTCTGTTTCAGGGAGTGCTTTTTTCTTTTGCAAAAGAAGACTAAGGAAGGAAAATTGAACAAAGAAATAATAAAGCCTCTTTCTAGGAGGAAGATGTAAATTGTACAGAATTTTTTTAAGTGAAAAGAAAAATAACCTATTTCAATACTTTGAGGTACCATTCATTTTCAGTGCATTTACAAACATATTTAGAATTAGATTTAACAAAAAACAAAGAGTCATACACAAAAGTAGTCATATTACTTATGTTCTTTTGTGATTTTTTTTTTTAAGAATTATTTCTTTATTTGAAAGGTAGAGTTCGAGAGAGAAGAAGAGACAAACTGATATCTTCCATCCACTGGTTTATTCCCCAAGTGGCTGCAGTGACTGAGGCTGGGCCAAGCTGAAGTCAGGAGCCTGGAACTCCACCCTGGTCTCCTTCAGGGATTACAGGGGTGCAACCACTTAGGCCATCTTCCACTGCTTTCTCAGGCACATTGATAGGAAGCTGGATCGGAAGTAGAGCAGCCAGGACTCAAACCACAGCTTATATGGTATGCTAGCATTACAGGCTATGGCCTAACCCGCTATGCCGACCCCAGTTCTTTTTATTTATTTTTTATTTTTTAATAAATACTTTTTTAGAAAAGATTTATTTATTTATTTGAAAGTCAGAGTTACACACAGAGAAGGAGAGGCAGAGAGAGAGAGAGAGAGGTCTTGTATCCACTGGTTCACTCCTCAGTTGGCCGCAATGGCCAGAGCTGCACCAATCGGAAGCCAGGAGCCAGGAGCTTCTTCTAGATCTCCCACACAGATGCTGGAGCCCAAGGACTTGGGCCATCTCCTACTGCTTTCCCAGGCCATAGTAGAGAGCTGGGTCAGAAGTGGAGCAGCTGGGACTTGAATCACCCAGATGGGATGCTGGCACTAAAGGCGGCAGCTTTACCCACTATGCCACAGCACCGGCCCCAGTTCTTTTTTTTAAAACATAAGAATATATCGTAGATACTATCCATATCAATACAATATATTTATTTTGTTTAAAAAAAAAGGCCTGGGGCTGGCGTTACTGGTGAAGTCTCCACCTGTGATACTGATATCCCATGTGGGTGTTGATTCATGTTCTGGCTGCTCCACTTCTGATCCAGTTCTCTGCTAACAGCCTAGGAAAGACACCCCAAATACTTGGGCACCTGCCACTCATGTTGGAGCACTAAAGAAGCTCCTGGCTCCTGGCGTTGGCTTGACTCAGCCCTAGCCATTTCAGCCATCTGGGGCGTGAACCAGCAGATGGAAGATCTCTCTATGTCTCCCTTTCTCTCTGTAACTCTGACTTTAAAATAAATAAATAAATCTTTAAATAAGGAAACAAACAAAAGCCTGACTATACCATCAGTTGTTAAGAAGGCCTACCTTATATTATTATATATATTAAAATTAACTTTTATTATTGGAGAATACCTTACATCTGGTTTAAAACCACCAAAAATCTTACAACAAAATATATCTATTCCTTGCCCTACCCCTCCACAGTTGTCATCTCTAGACGCTTTCAGCTCTTTGGTTTTTTCCTTTTGATGTTTTTTTAAGATTTATTTATTTATTTGAAAGGCAGAATTATAAAGAGGCAGAGATCGATCCATCTTCCATCCACTGGTTCACTCCCCAACTTGCCACAACAGCTAGAGCTGGGCCAGGCCGAAGCCAGGAGCTTGGAGCTTCTTCTGTATCTCCTATGCGGAGTGCAGGAGCCCAAGTACCCAGGCTGTCCTCTGCTGCCTTCCCAGGCCGTAGCACAAAACTGGATCGGAAGTGAAGCAGCCGAGTCTCCAACCAGCACCCATATGGGATGCCAGCACTGTAGGCAGCGGCTTTACCCACTACATCACAGTTCCAGTCCTTTTGATATTTAAAAACACTCATATTTGTAAGACACATGAGTATACTGTGGTGTTTTGAGTCATTTATTTTAAATATTACCTGTTAACTCTTTTTTTTATTTATTTATTTTTTATTTATTTATTTATTTATTTTTTTGACAGGCAGAGTGGACAGTGAGAGAGAGAGACAGAGAGAGAAAGGTCTTCCTTTGCCGTTGGTTCACCCTCCAATGGCCGGCGCGGCCGGCACGCTGCGGCCGGTGCACCGCGCTGATCCGATGGCAGGAGCCAGGTGCTTATCCTGGTCTCCCATGCGGGTACAGGGTCCAAGTACTTGGGCCATCCTCCACTGCACTTCCCTGGCCACAGCAGAGAGCTGGCCTGGAAGAGGGGCAACCAGGACAGAATCCGGCGCCCAACCGGGGCTAGAACCCGGTGTGCTGGCACCGCAAGGCAGAGGATTAGCCTAGTGAGCCACGGCGCTGGCCCCTGTTAACTCTTTTAAATTAGTATTTAATATTTATATAATTATTCTATGCAAATATTAGTTATAGCTGAGTGGTTTTCTTTTTGTTTTACCTAAAGGTAAAATCTATAGTTTTCATGTGTTTGGGTTTTCTTACTCATTCTTCCCATACCTTTCTTTTCTTTTTTGCTTCCCCATCCCATAACTTTCAATAGCCCTGCAGTAGGTTTTGTCATGTTAAGTGGCTTACCAGTTCTGATTTTTTAGAGCCATTTCTACTGAAGAGGTCTGTTCTTTTAGGGCTTTTTTTTTCTTAAGATCTATTTTATTTATTTGAAAGAGTTACAGAGAAAGGTAGAGACAGAGAGAGAGAGAGAGAGAGAGAGAGAGAGAGAGATCTTCCATCTGCTGGTTCACTCCCCAAATGGCCACAATGGCTGGAGCTGGGCCCATCTGAAGCCAGGGGCCAGGAGCTTCTTCCAGGTCTCTCATATGGATGCAGGGTCCCAAGCACTTGGGCCATCCTCCACTGCTTTCTCAGGTCCATTAGCAGGGAGCTGGATCAAAAGTGGAGCAGCCAGGACTCAAACTGGTGTCCATAAGGGATGCTGGTGCTGTAGGCTGGGGCTTTAACCTACTGTTCCACAGCATCGGCGCCCTTTTAGGGTTTTTTTTTCTCCAGACCTACCACAGAGCTGTCACCTGGGACTTGACTTTGCTGTCATACTTGAGATTTCCTTGGCCTTTTCCCAGGCTGGGTTTCTGGTTCCAGATTTTCATATTCTCATATTTCTTAGTTTATTCCGTTGTTTTAGTAAAGCACATACTTCTGTAGTTTCAGCACGTGAAAAAGCTGGTGCTACACTAGAGAACTTGCGTGATTACGGTCTTCAGTGCGTTTTACGTCTTTCTCTGTCTGCTCTCTTGTTTTGGTGAACATCCTCGAGTAGATTTCTGAGAAGGGATGCATTGGAAGTCAACTTTATTAAACATTCCATCCTGAAAATATAACTACTCCAGCTTCACTCTTCGTTAGTACTTTATCTGGGGATAGAATTCTTCCTGCCTGCCTGCCTGCCTGCCTTCCTTCCTTCCTTCTTTTCACAGGTAGAGTTATAGACACAGAGAGAGAGACAGAGAGAAAGGTCTTCCTTCTGCTGGTTCACCCCCCAAATGGCCGCTACGGCCAGCGCTGCACCCATCCAAAGCGAGGAGCCAGGTGCTTCCTCCTGGTCTCCCACGTGGGTGCAGGGGCCCAAGCACTTGGGCCATCCTCCACTGCCCTCCTGGGCCACAGCAGAGAGCTGGACTGGAAAAGGAACAGCCGGGACTAGAACCCGGCGCCCATAAGGAATGCCAATGCCGCAGGCAGAGGATTAACCAAGTGAGCCATGGCGCCAGCCTGATAGAATTCTCTTTTTCCCCCCAAAGATTTATTGTATTTGAAAGGCAGAGTTACAGAGAGAGAGGGAGAGATCATCCAGCCACTGATTTACTCACCAAATGGCCGCAATAGCTGGGGCTAGGCCAGGCCGAAACCAGGAACCAAGAGCTCCAACTGGGTCTCCCACTTGGATGCTGGGGCACAGGGACATGGGGCCATCCTCCACTGCTTTCCCAGTTGCATTAGCAGGGAGCTGGATCAGAATTGGAGTAGCCTGGACTCGAACTGGCACCCATTTGGGAAGAGGCCATCACAGGTAGTGGCCTAACCTGCTACGCCACAACACTGGTTCCTGGGGATAGAATTCTTTTTTTTTTTTTTTTTTTAAAGATTTATTTATTTATTTGAAAGTCAGAGTTATACAGAGAGAAGGAGAGGCAGAGAGGGTGTCTTCCATCTGCTTCTATCACTCCCCAAATGGCCGCAATAGCTGGAGCTGCACCAATCTGAAGCCAGGAGCTATAAGCTTCTTCCAGGTCTCCCATGTGGGTATAGGGGCCCAAGGCCTTGGGCTGTCCTCTGCTGCTTTCCTAGGCCATAGCAGAGAGCTGGAATGGAACTGGAGCAGCCAGGAGTTGAAATGGCACCCACGTAGGATGCGGGCACTGCAGGCAGTGGCTTTCCCTGCCAGGCCACTGTACCAGCCCCAGGGATAGAATTCTAACTTGGTTGTATTTTCCGTCACCACTTTGAAGGCATTGCTCTTACAATCCTATATCCAGGGTTTCTATTGAGAACTCTAACAGTTCAGGTTCTGACCTGTTGTCTGTCACTTTTTCCCTCTTGCTGGAAGTTTTTAAGAATTTCCTGTGTTCTAAAAGTTCCGAAACTTAACTACAATGTGCTTTTCTGTGGGTCTGTTTTTGTCCGTTTTTCTGGGTGCTTGTTGAGCTCATTTTACTGGAAATCTTGCCAAGTTAGGATCATTTCTGCAGTTATACCATTGATTGTTTCATCCTTCTGTTCTCTCTGGAATTTCTAAAAGTTCATTTCTAGAAAGTTAATTTCTGATGCCGGTACTGTGGCATAGCAGGTAAAACCGCTACCTATGAAACTGGAATCTGGAGCTGGCGCTGTGGTATAGCAGGTAAAGCCATCGCCTGCAGTGCCGACATCCCTTATGGGTGCCAGTTCGTGTTCTGGCTGCTCCACTTCCGATCCAGCTCTCTGCTATGGCCTGGGAAAGCAATGGAAGATGGCCCAAGTCCTTGGACCCCTGCACCCGCGTGGGAGACCTGGAAGAAGCTCCTGGCTTCAGATTGGCTGCTCTGGCCGTTGTAGCCAGTTGGGGAGTGAACCAGTGGATGGAAGACCTTTCTCTCTCTCTCTCTCTCTCTCTCTCTCTCTTTGACTCTCCTTCTCTCTCTGTGTAATTCGGACTTTCAAATAAATAAATCTTTATTAAAAAAAAAAAAGATACTGGAATCCAATATGAGTCCTGGTTCATATCCTGGCTGCTCCATTTCTGATCCAGCTCCCTGCTAATGGCCTGGGAAAAGCAGTGGAAGATGACCCAAATGCTAGAGTCCCTGCTACATACATGGGAGACCTGGAAGAAGCTTCTGGCTACTGGCTTCTGCCTAGCTGAACGCTGGTCATTGTGGCCATCTGGGGAGTGAACCAGCGGATAAGGTCTCTCTGTGTCCCCCTCTCTGTCTAACTCAGACTTTCAAATAAATAAATATTTATTTATTTTATTTTATTTTATTTTTGATAGACAGAGTGGACAGTGAGAGAGAGAGAGACAGAGAGAAAGGTCTTCCTTTACCATTGGTTCACCCTTCAATAGCTGCCGTGGCCAGCATGCTGTGGCCAGCGCACTGCGCTGATCCGAAGCCAGGAGCCAGGTGCTTCTCCTGGTCTCCCATGCAGGTGCAGAGCCCAAGCACTTGGGCCATCCTCCACTGCCCTCCCGGGCCACAGCAGAGAGCTGGCCTGGAAGAGGGGCAACCGGGACAGAATCCGGCGCCCTGACCGGGACTAGAACCCAGTGTGCTGGCGCCGCAGGTGGAGGATTAGCCTATTGAGCTGTGGCGCCAGCCAAATATATCTTTTTTTAAAAAAAGTTAACTTGTATAGCTTCATTTTTGTTCTTTGAATGATCCTTTTAAAAACATAATATCTTGTTGTTTCATAATTGTAAATATCTGTTTCTCTAGGTTACTTTTTGTTTGGTCTGCATCCTAGTTTTTCTCAAGTGTTATATCATTTTTTTTTTTAAAGATTTCTTTTATTTGAAGGGTAGAGTTGCAGAGAGAGAGAGAGAGAGTGAGCAAGCAAGCTATCTTCCATCTGCTCATTCACTCCCCAAATGGCCACAACACCCAGGCTGGGCCAGGCCAGGCCAGAGCTAGGAGCCAGAGCTTCATTCAGGTCTCCTACGTGGCTGACAGGGGCCCAGGGATTTGGCCATCTTCTGCTTTCCCAGGTGGATCAGCAGGGAGCTGGATCAGAAGTAGAGCAGCTGGGAGTCCAACAAGCATTTGAGCTGCTGGCATGGCAGCTGGCGGCTTAACCCGCTATGCCACAACGCTGGCTCCTTACTTCTTGATATTTTTTTTAAAAGATTTGTTTATTTTATTTGTAAGGTAGAATTACAGAGAGGGGGGGATAGAGAGGGAGAAGGGAGAGAGAGAGAGAGAGAGAGAGAGAGAGAGAGAGAGATCCTCTATCCACTGATTTACTCCCCAAATGGCCACAGTGCCCAGAGCTGGGCTGATCCGAAGACAGGAGCCAGGAGCTTCTTCCAGGTCTCCCACATGGGTGCAGGAGCCCAAGGACTTGGTCCACCCTCCACTGCCTTCCCAGGCTCATTAGCAGGGAGCTGGATTGGAAGTGGAGCAACCAGGACTTGAAACAGCATCCATATGAAATGCTGGCACTGTAGGTGGTAACTTTACCTGCTTTGCCACAGCACCAGCTACTATTTGTTGATTCTTAAGAGACTTTTGCTGATTATGGTTGTTTTAATTTTTTTTCTTGTAGAATATGTGTAACATAAAATTCCTCATTTCATGCATTTTAAATATATAGTTTAGAGGCATTAAGTGCATTCATTTTGTTGTATACTGTCCATCTCAGAATTTTTCTATTGTTCTGTTCACATTAAACATTAACTCCATTCTCCCCACTCCTCAGACCCTGGCATCCACTATTTTTTCTCTTTTTATAAATTTGATTACTTTAGACTCTTCATATAAGTGGAAGCATGCAACAAGTATCCTTTTGTGTTTGGCTTATTTCTCTTAGCACAATGTCTTTAAAGTGTAGGATTTTTTTTTTTTATAACTTAAGTACCAAATATCAGATAAATGGTTATTTTTTTTGTCTTTATTTATTTGAAAGAGTTACACAGAGAGAGGAGAGGTAGAGAGAGAGAGAGGTCTTCCATCTGATGGTTCACTCCCCAGATGGCCACAACGGCCAGAGCTGCGCTGATCCAAAGCCAGGAGCCAGGAGTTTCCTCTGGGTCTCCCATGTGGATGCAGAGGCCCAAGGAGTTGGGCCATCTTCTACTGCTTTCCCAGGCCATAGCAGAGAGCTGGCTTGGAAAAGGAGCAGCCAGGTCTCAAACCGGTGCCCAAATGGGATGCTGGCACTTCAGGCCAGGGCATTAACCCACTGCAGCATAGCACTGGCACCTAAATGGTTAATTTTTAAATTTATTATTTGAGAGACAGACTGAGTTCCCATATATGCTGGTTCACTCTGCAGATACCTGCAGTGGCCCACAACTAAAGCCAAAGATGGGATCCAGGAACTCATTCTGAGTCTCCTATCTGGGCTGGGAGCCCAGTTACTCAATTCATCATCTCTGCTGCCTCATGTCTGAATTAGCAGGAAGCTGGAGTTATGAGTGGAGCTAGGACGAAGACCCTGTGATCCAAGATGTGGGCATCTTAATTGGTGTTTAGCTGCTAGAGCACACGTTTACACCAGCCCCCTTTTTATTATTATGTTTCCATTTGAGAGACAGAGAATGTGCACACTCCCATCCCCTGGCTTCCCCTCAGAGACCCACCATGGCTGAGACAGAAGCCAATAGCTAGAACCTGAATTCTGGTTTCCTACGTGGGTTTCCTACTCAGCTACTCTGAGTCATCATCACCTGCTGCCTCTCAAGGTGTGTGACAGCAGGAATCAGGAATGCAGCCAGACTCAAACCCAGACAGTTCCATATGGGATATGGACGCCCCAACCAGAACCTTAACTTCTCGGCCCAAAGCTCACCCACGTAGCTTTTCATGATATGCATTTCCCATGAGTTTTTTGATGACCCCTTGTATTTACCCTTTGGCTCAGCTCTAATACTTTTAGGAATTTACCCCAAAGCTAATACTTCTAACATTATAAAAATATATGCATATTCATTGCATCATTATTGGTAATAGCAAAATATTAGAAGAAACTTAAAAACTCTACATAGCTGATTGCCTGGGTAAACTATTGGATATATAGGAATACACACAAAGATAAAAAGTAATGAGGGTGCTCGCTTCAGCAGCACACATACTAAAAAAAGTAATGTGGAAGAGCTCTATAAATCAAAATAGTGATTTTCAGGATATCTTGTTAGCAAGCGTGTAGTTTGCTGCCTCTTGTATGAGAAAGAAATGCATGAGATGTGAGTGTCCTAACTGATGGCTTAACTGTCCAGCCAGATGCCCACCTCAGCCTTTTATGGTTTTATTTTTAAAGATTTGTTTATAGGACCGGTACTGTAGTGTAGTAGGCTAAGCTAAGCTACTACTAAACCTGCAGCACTGGCATCCCATATGGGCGCTGGTTCATGCCCTGGCTGCTCCTCTTCCGATCCAGCTCTCTGCTATGGCCTGGGAAAGCAGTAGAAGATGGCCCGAGTGCTTGACCTTCATAGGAGACTTGGAAAATGTTCCTGATTCCTGGCTTCAGGTTGGCTCAGCTCCAGGTGTTGTGACCATTTGGGTAATGAACCAGCAGATGAAAGACCTTTCTCTCTCTCTGTAACTCTACCTCTCAAATAAATAGATAAAATCTAAAAAAAAAAAAAAATTACTTACTTGAAATGCAAAGTTGGAGAAAGAGAGAGAGAACAAGAGCAAGTGCGTGCTAACTCCCATCCATTGGATCATTCCCCAAATGGCCTGAATGGCCAGGGCTGGGCCAGGTGAAATCTAGGAACCTGGAACTCCATCTGGGTCTCCCACATGGGTGACCAAGGCCCAATCACTTAAGTCATCTTCGCTGCCTTCAGGTGCAGTACCAGGGAGCTGAATGGGAAGTGGAGCAGCTGGGACTTGAACTAGTGTTCATTTGGGATTCTGGTATCACAGGCAGAGGCTTAACCCACTGTGCCACAAGTCAGCCTCACCCCTTTGTGTTTATATGTAGTTTGGCAGTTTGTAGAACAGTAACTTTCAGTAGTTGATCGTGATATCTTAATCTACTTGCCTTTTTTTAAAACTTTTTATAAAACTTACTTTATTATCAATTATTTTATCTATCCTAGTATCTCGGAAAAGGAAAGCCAAGAACTGGGAGGATGAAGACTTTTATGATAGTGATGATGATACATTCCTTGATCGTACTGGTCTGGTTGAGAAGAAGCGACTAAATCGAATGAAGAAAGCAGGGAAAATTGATGAGAAACCAGAGACCTTTGAATCACTGGCAAGTTTTATTTATAGAAGTACTTATTATTTTTTTCTTAAAAAGACTTTGTGTATTTGAGAGGTAGACTTACAGACAGAGAGAGGGAGAGTCAGAGAGAAAGGTCTTCCATACACTGGTTCACTCCCCAAATAGCCGCAATGTCTGGAGCTGGGCCGATCTGAAGCCCGGAGCTTCTTCTAGGTCTCCCACATGGGTGCAGGGGCCCAAGCACTTGGGCCATCTTCCATTGCTTTCCCAGGCCATAGCAGAGAGCTGGATCAGAAGAAAAGCAGTTAGGACTTGAACCGGAGCCCATGTTGGATGCCAGCTCCGGGCTTAGCCTACTACACCATGGCGCCGGCCTCTGTAGTTTATATTTTTAAATAAAATAATATTGTATTTAAATCTTTCAACTGTTGAAGCATAAGCATTGAAATTGGTACTGAGGTGTAGTTTTTAATGCTCTGTATATTTGATGGTAATAAACAACTAGTCTTATCCAAGTTGTTGCTCCTAGAGACTTTCCTCCAGGCTAGTACTGATCCATTAATAAAAGTTTTTTGGGTATGATTTCACCCCTAAAAAAAAGAAGTAAAATTTCCAAGTTAAGGCATCTGAGGTAAGATTGACTAGTCAAGAAGAATCAAAGGAATTGTTAGGAGTATGGTGTGATAATAATCAAACAGATGTCCTTCATGAAATTACTGTAAGGTGGCATGAATTAAAACTGTATTTAGTATGTTCAGAGCTTAAAACATTACCCAACATCTATCCTTTCTTTTCTTTTTTTTCTTTTTCCCAAAGATTTCTTTTATTTATTTGAGAGGCAGAATTACAGAGAGAGGGAGAACAGAGAGAGAGGTTTTCTATCCACTGTTTCACAACCCAAACAGCCACAGTAGCTGGAGCTGGGCCAATCTGAAGCCAGGAGCTTCTTCCAGGTCTCCCACATGGGTGCAGGGGCCCAAGTACTTGAGCCATCTTCCACTGCTTTCCCAGGCCTTCAGCAGGGAGCTGGATTGGAAATGGAGCAGCCGGGACTTGAACTGGTGCCCACAAGGGATGCCAGCACCACAGGCAGAGGCTTAGCCTACTCTGCCACAGAGCCAGCCCCTATCCTTTCTATTGATCAATGAAGACAAATGCCTTGAACTCTTTCTTTTGTGTAAAATAGAGTGATTCATTCTGTTTAATTCTGAGTTTGTCAACTCAGAAATTGATTCAATTCAAATTGAATAAACAAATGAAAAGTGTTAACTCCATAAGAAGCTGATATAGTTTGAAAGAAGATTTAACATTTGCTAACCCTGTTGATTTGGTGTTACAGGTTGCAAAGTTAAATGATGCTGAAAGGGAACTCTCTGAAATTTCTGAGAGGCTGAAAGCCTCGAGCAGAGGTAAGGCGTTCGTCATCGTTTATTGAGCACGTGTTTTATGCAGTGCCCTGAACTGGACCCTGGCTACATTGGTTAGTAGGATATGTCCTACACAATATGGAGACTTTCTAAGGGGCCATATAACATTTTAGATCTAGAAAGAGCATTATCAATCATTTCATTTAACCTTTTTATGTAGTAGATAAGGAAAATGAAGACCACGGAGACAAAATGTTTTCCCAAGCTCTCCCAGCTTTAACCTGTTTTGTATTCCGTGTATTAGTGATGATTTTTATCCAGCTGTATGTTAGTGAGCTCTGTGTGGAAGCCGACTGGACCATCTTTCTAAACGTGTTACCCTTTCTCGTGTAGCTCTATCAGAGTCGCCGTCTCAGGATTCTTTAGATGCATTCATGTCGGAAATGAAATCGGGAAGTTCATTAGATGGTGTGTCCCGGAAGAAACTTCACCTGAGAACTTTGGAACTGAGGAAAGAGCAGCAGAGACTTAAAGGGCTGATAAAAATTGTAAAGCCGGCAGAGATTCCAGAACTAAAAAAGTAAGTCCTAGTTATGTTTGGAATTTTACATAAGCATGGTAGCTTGAATTGTCCTTTAATAATTATGTAATAGAACAATAGCAAAAGCAACCCTTACAGCAAGGGAGGGGCTGGTTTTTCCTGCCACGGGCCATGTGGATATTTATAACATTATTCGTGGGCCATGCAAAATTATTAATTTAAAAATTAGCCTGGTTTAGATTTATCGCATTTCCCTGTGGTTGCCTTGGCAGCGCCAGACCGAATGTTTCATAGGCCTTACTTCACAGGCCAGACATTCCCCACCCTGCCAGCACAGAAGGCAGTGGTTTCATACAGTTGCTAAAAACCTATTTCGTTTGTGAAATACAGACTGCTGGTAGATTTTCAGGGAAAACTGTATTGATTCCTGGTTTGTTGGAAGGCTCCAAAGATTTTTACTTAAGTCTTTTAAGTACATAATAAACTTCTTTAAATAACAATATGCTAAAAGGCTAATTTTTCTCATATAGAAAGACCTATAAATAATAATAAAGACCTTTAAATAATAAGTAGATATAATCACCCACTCAAGATAAAAATAGGAAAAGGGTATCAACTGACAGGCCACAGAAAAAGAAATGCGAATGGCTTTTAACTATATAAAAATTGCTCCACCTCAGTCAAAAGACAAATACAATTCCTACAATGTAATACCATTTTTATCTATGAAATTGACAGATTCATTCTGTATGATAGTACACTGATGAGGCTGGGATGAAAAGGCATTTTCTTTTTTTTTTTTTTTCCTTTTTTTTTTTTAAGATTTATTTATTTATTTGAAAGAGTTACAGAGAGGAGAGGCAGGGAGGAAGAGAGAGAGGTCTTCCATCCACTGGTTCACTCCCCAGCTGGCTGCAATGGCCAGAGCACACCAATCCGTAGCCAGGAGCCAGGAGCCTCCTCTAGGTTTCCCACATGGGTGCAGGGGCCCTAGGAGTTGGGCCATCTTCTACTGCTTTCCCAGGCCATAGCAGAGAGCTGGATCGGAAGAGGAGCAACTGGGATATGAACTGGCGCCCATATGGGATGCCGGCACTGCAGGAGGCAGCTTTACCTGCTACACCATAGCACCGGCTCTGAAAAGGCATTTTCTAACATTGTTGAAGAGCAAATTAATGCATTCCCTGTACTGGACAAACTGACAGTGTCTATCCTGATTACAAATGCAAATGCCCTTTGAACTGTTTCATTTCTAGGAATCTGTCCCTCATATTCTCAGGAAATGAAAATATATTGCAGCACTGTTTGTAGTAGTAAAAGATTAGAAATCACTCATGTTTATCAAAAGAAATGGGTTAAATAAGTTATAATAGGAGCAGGCATGTGGCACACACAGTAGGTTAAGCCACCACTTGGGATACCTGCATCCCATATAAGAATCCCTGGTTGAATCCTAGCTATTCCGTTCTTCTGATCCCTGATGATGTGCCTGGGAAACAGCAGATGACAGTCCAACTGCTAGGAAGACTTGGATGGGGTTCCTGGCTCCTTTGGCCTGGCCCAGCCCTGGCTATTGTGGGCATTTGGGGAATGAGCCAGCACAGACAATGTCTCTTTTTCTCTCTCTCTTTCAAATAAATAAATAAATACAACTTAAAAAAATAAATTATAATGTAATATATAATAATGCATGTATATATGTATTATGTATCTAGATATATGATAGAACTTTTTTAATACCCTGTAACTGTAAAAGAAAAAATGAGACGGCCGGCGCCGCAGCTCAATAGGCTAATCCTCTGCCTACGGCGCCAGCACACTGGGTTCTAGTCCCAGTCAGGGTGCCGGTTTCTGTCCCGGTTGCCCCTCTTCCAGGCCAGCTCTCTGCTGTGGCCAGGGAGTGCAGTGGAGGATGGCCCAAGTTCTTGGGCCCTGCACCCCATGGGAGACCAGGAGAAGCACCTGGCTCCTGGCTTTGGATCAGCGCAGTGCACCAGCCTCAGCACGCAGGCCGCGGCGGCCATTGGAGGGTGAACCAACAGCCAAGGAAGACCTTTCTCTCTGCTCTCTCTCTCACTGTCCACTCTGCCTGTCCAAAAATAAAAATAAAAAACTAAAAAAAAAGAAAAAGAAAAAATGAGGCAACTATTTAGGTGGAACCATTGTCAAGATACACTAAAAGCCAGGTGCAGAACAGTATGTATAACGGGTGCTGTCAAAAACAAACAAAAAAAAAAATGGTGGTAGGAGCTGGCACTGTGGTGTAGTGGGTAAAGCCACTGCCTGCAGTGCTGGCACCCCAAATGGACACCAGTTCAAGTCCTGGCTGCTATACTTCCAATCCAGCTCTCTGCTGTGACCTGGGAAGTCAGTGGAAGATGGCCCAAGTCCTTGGGCCCCTGCACCCATGTGTGAGACCTGAAAGAAGCTCCTGGCTCCTGGCTTCAGATCAGTCCAGCCCTGGCTGTTGTGATCATTTGGGGAGTGAACTAGTGGATGGAAGACCTCTCTCTCTCTCTCTGTGCCTCTGCCTCTCTGTAACTCTGCCTCTCAAATAAATATGTAAATCTTAAAAAAAATGGTGGTAGGTGAAAAATAGGTAGGTAAGTGGACTACGGCCTGTGAATACATTGGATCTGTTTAGGTCAGAGTCCCTAAAACCTGACTCTGAGATAAGGATCCTTCTACAGATGATTTATTGAGAGAATGCTTTCACTGGAAATCTATATGGGAGTGGGAGAAGCAGGATAGAGCAGGGGCAAGAAACTGGGTAAAGATGTGGCTTTAGAGTCCAGTGCTGTGGCACAGTGGGTAAAGCTGCCACCTCAAGTGCCAGCATCTCATACGGGTGCCAGTTTGAGTCCTGGATGCTACACTTCCGATCCAGCTCTCTGCTATGGCCTGGGAAGGCAGTGGAAGATGGCCCAGATTCTTGGGCCCTGCACCTGCGTGTGGGGCCCAGAGGAAGCTCTTGGCTCCTGGCTTCAGATTGGCACAATCCAGCTGTTGTGGCCATTTAGGGAGTGAACCAGTGGAGGAAGACCTCTCTCTCTCTCTCTCTGCCTCTCTCTGTGACTGTCTTTCAAATAAATAAAATAATTTTTTTAAGTTTTTTTTTTGTGAAAGATTTATTTTATTTATTTGAAAGACAGCATTACAGAGAGAGAAAGAGGGAAAGACAGAGATCTTCCATCTACTGATTCACTCCCCAAATGGCAGATACCGGCACCCATATGGGACACTGGCACTGCAGGTGGCAGTTTTATCTGCTACACCACAGCACCATCCCCAATTCTGTAATCCTTTAACTTGATAAATGAGTCCCTCAGCATGCTCTACACTAGATGACATTAGTCCACATCCTTTAGAGTTTCCACTCCTGTCTGTGTGTTTCCTGGTTTTTCCTCTCTTTGGATACTGGCTTAGATGCTGTCTATGATGGGTCTTCAAAAGATTTGTGTAAATGTGTATGCTGAAAAACTATGCTTGAGCTTAAAATATATTTGCACCATAATAAACTCATCTTTTAGGGGCTGGCGCCATGGCTCACTTGGTTAATCGTCCGCCTTGTGGCACTGGCATCCCATATGAGTGCTGGGATCTAGTCCCAGTTGGTCCTCTTCCAGTCCAGCTCTCTGCTGTGGCCCAGGAGGGCAGTGGAGGATGACCCAAGTGCTTGGGTTCCTGCACCCGTATGGGAGACCTGGAAGAAGCACCTGGTTCTTGGCTTTGGATCAGTGCAGCACCGGCCGTAGCAGCCATTTGGGGAGTGAACCAACGGAAGGAGGACCTTTCTATCTGTCTCTGTCTCTCTCTCACTATCTATAACTCTACCTGTAAAGTAAAATTAAAAAAAAAAAAAAAAAAAAGTCATCTTTTAATTCCATTTTCTGTGAATTTTTCAAAAATATATTTTTAAAAATATTTATTTATTTGAAAATCAGAGTTACGCAGAGAGAGAGGTCTTCCATCCGATGGTTCACTCCCCAATTGGCTGCAATGGCTGGAGCTGCGCCGATCTGAATCCAGGAACCAGGAGCTTCTTCCACGCGGGTGCAGGGGCCCAAGGACTTAGGCTATCTTCTACCGCCCTCCCAGGCCATAGCAGAGAGCTAGATCGGAAGAGGAGCAGCTGGGTCTCGAACCCGTGCCCATATGGGATGCCGGCACTTCAGGCCAGGGCGTTAACCCAATGCGCCACAGTGCCAGCCCCAAAAGTGTATTTGTTTGAGAGGCAGAGCTCCCATCCACTGGTTCCCTCCCCAAAATGCTGACAATAATCAGACCAGAGGCTGGAGCCTCAAGAACCAGGAACTCAGTCCAGATCTCTCAGGTGGATGGCAGGGACCCAACTACTTGAGCCTTTCACCTACCGCCTCCAGAGTCTATATTGGCAGGAAGCTAGATTCAGAAGCCAGAGCCAGGTATTGAACCCAGGCACTCCAGTATGGGATAAGACTTGGGAAAAGAAGTGGCAAGTGCGGCTTCATGATGGGGCAGGGCGGTAGTTTCTGATAGGGGTCACTGTGTGTCAGCAGTGTCAGTACTATCCTTACTCTGCACTTTGCATGGCTGTCCCAAGGTCCAAGTGAAGAAAGCATGGGGCTTTCTTCCTTGGTCTGATGTAGTTGTTCTAAGTTTTCCTCCTTTGGGATTTCTGCTGGTTAAGACACTGGTTAGGATGCCCATGTCTCACATCAGAGTGCCTGAGCTTGATGCTTGGTTCTTACACTGACTCCGGCCTCCTGCTAATACAGACCCTGTGAGCCAGCAGTGATGGCTCAAGTACTTAGGTTCCTACCACCCATGTGGGAGACCTGGATTGCATTCTTGTGTCCTGCTTCAGCCTAGCCCAGCCCCAACCATTGTGGGCATTTGGGGAGTGAACCAGTAGTGCCTCTCAAATAAATAAAAAATAAAAGTTTTCCTCTGTTTCCTCATGCTGTCTTCTCATTGTCACCTCTAACTACTCAGTGTTTTGTCAGCACAGCTGCCCTCCCTTTGGATTTGTTCTGTTCTCTGCACCCTTTTCGTATTTTCTACTTACTCTCTCTTCTTTTCGCTCTTCAGCATTAATCTAGTAGGCTTAGCATTTATAACAATCTCCAGCCAATGAGAATGTTGACAGGCTCACCGGTTGCAATGTCTCCCTGTTTCTTTGTTGTTATTCACCATATGGGATATCCTCTCCACCTGTACACACACTTTTTTTTCCGCATTTTTTCTGAAAGGCAGAGCGAGAAATAGAGCTCTTCCATCTGCAGGTTCACTCCCCAAATGCCTGTGACAGTCAGGGCTGGTATCCTGGGACTTTGTCCTGGTTTACCACTTAAATGGCAGGCACTTAAGTACTTAACCATCTGCTGTCTCTCAGGGTGTCCATTAGCAGGAAGCCGCATCAGAAATGGAGTAGCTGAGACTTGAACCAAGCACTCCAAAATGGGGTGTGAGTATCCCAAGTGGGGACTTATGCTGCTGTGACAAATGCCTGCCACACACTTTTTTTTTTTTTTTTTTTAATTATTTCTGTGCTCAGAATTGTTATACATTATAAAGCGTTCTTTGGAGGCTGGTGGGTAATAGGACTTGATACCATGGATCCATCTCCTGCTGATAGGGTCATGCTTAGACATTTCCCTTCACCAGTGACCTTTGTACTGTGGTTATCATTGATGAATATGAAGTCACATAGCACATTGCAAGTGACTAGACTCAAGGAACAGCCTCATCTTGCCCTTAATAGCTCTGTCTATAGCAATCAGCACTGTCATTGTCCAGTCACACTCTGCTGGCTTGAATGCCTCTAATTATTATATGCTTAGAGATACTTGTTTTATGGTAGTTTTTGTTTTGCCAGAAATTTGTCAATGTCATGGTATTTTTAGATAAAACCTTGGAGTGATTGGAATAGATATGTATAACTTTTCTTTCTAGGACTGAAAGTCAGACTACAGGTGCAGAAAACAAAGCTAAAAAGCTTACATTGCCTCTCTTTGGTGCCATGAAAGGAGGAAGCAAATTCAAATTAAAAACTGGAACTGTAGGGGTAAGTTGTGAAGCAGTGTTAAATTTTTAGCTCTTGAGTTAATACTGAGCAAATTTTTCTTTGAAAAAAGCAAAAATGACTCATTCCAGAGTGATGTAAAAAATGACCATGGGCTGGTGTGATCACATCTTTCCCAGGACTTGGTTCTTGGGGTTTTTGTTCAGTTTAGAGTATCAAAACTTGGTGAATGGATTCATGCCAATCGATTTGCAAGTAATTGATTTGTAAATTAGGATGCCAGTTTATTAATCTCTAATGAATGTTCCGTTTAAGAATTGGCCTCCTGGTTTGGGCATTTGGTAATTAGCAAGACTGAATCTCATATCAAAATGCTTGGGTTGTGGGCTTTTTGTTTTTCATTTTACTTGAAATACAAACAAATCTTCCATCCACTGGTTCATTCTCCAGATGTCTCTAACAGCCAGGACTGGGCCAGGCTTAAGCCAGGAACCTGGAACTCAATCTGGGTCTTGTATGTGGGTGGCAAAATCCCAAATACTTGAGCCATCATCCACTGCCTTCCAGGATGCACAACTACAGGAAGCTGGATTGGAAGAGGAGGAGCCAAGACTGGACAGGCAGTCTGATAGGGGACATGGATGTCCCTAGTAGCTATTTAACCACTGCACGGAATGCCTGCCCCCAGAGCGCCTGGGTTCGAGTCCAGGCACTGCTGCGGATTCCAGGTTCCTGCTGATGCACCCTCTGGGAGGCAGCAGGTGATAGCTTGGATCCCTGGGTCCCTGTCACCTATGTGGGAGACTGAGGAGTTCCAGGTTCCTGGCTTTGGCCTGGCTCAGTCCTGGCTATTCCAGGAAGCTGGGTGGTTAATCAGTGAATTGAAAGGTCTCTCTGTCTTCTCTGTCTTTCAAATAAATTTTACAATCACATTTTTAAAGGAGGGTCTCTTGCATTAAATGCTTTTCCCTGGAGGATAGATTTAATATTCAGACTGAACCAACACTTGTAACAACACAGTGAGTACACCTGCCTCTGCCATATGATTTTCCTCACTTCATTTAATCCTCAAACACCTTACGGCGTGTGGGAATTACTACCTCTTACAGACGATGAAAGAAGGGTTAAACACCAGATCACACCATCGTTGTGTAACAGTCAGATCCGGCTCTCTGCCTCTTGAATTTTATGGTCTTTCTGTCCTCCTATAATACCTCACTGGTGTATGTGTTTGCTTTATGTACATTCCTATTCATAGGTTCAGTTTTTACAAGGTTTTCATCACCCCCGAAAAGCTGAACCTTTATTAGTTTGGTAGGACTGATATAGCAAAATACCACAGATTGGGTGGCTTACACACAAAATCTATGTCTTACAGTCTTAGAGGCTGGAACTGCACGATCGAGATGTTAGCAGGAGTGGTTTCCAGGGAGGCCTTCCTCCTGGACCTGCAGGGGGCTGCCTTCTGGCTGCCTCCTCACATGGTTATCCCTTTGACAGGCAGGCCCATGTGTCTCCTCTTACAGTGACACCAGTCATATTGGCTTGGGCCCTACCCTAAAGGTTCGGTCTTAACTTGATTAGTTTATAAAGAACCCATCTGCAAATGAAGTCACATTTGGAGGTACTGGGGGTTGGGACTTCAATCATGAATTTTGGAGGGACATAGTTTAGCCCTAACATCTTGAAGCAGGTTAAACTTCCCTATGGTGGCAGAGGTTTGAGGTGCCAGCTATACAAATATATTCCCAGATGGAATTCCCAGTTCCTGGCTTTGCCCTAGCCCAGCGTCTGCTGATGTGGCTGTTTGGGGGCGTGAACCAATGAATGGAAGATATCTCTCTCTTTCTCTCCCCTGCCTTTGTAACTCTGCCTTTAAAACAAAAACAAAAAAACAAACAAAAAAACAACTGTTTTAAAATGAACATATTCTGCACAAGTCCATAGTTTACCTGAGATGGAGGCTTTTCTGTGGGGAGAGGAGGTGATGGAGATTGAAGAGGGTATTTATGTTTGAAATAAAATACTTTCCTAAACTGCTTTTCTTAAATGATTACTGAACTAAATCCTATTTTAGAAAATTATGTAATCAAGATATATTTTGGTACCTTCTCCAATTATATAACCATGATCAATTTTTTTCTAGTAAGCACTTTTGTTGAAAGGCCTTTAAAAAAAAAAGATTTATTTATTTATTTGAAAAAGAGAGAGAGAGAGAAAGAGACAAGTGATCTTCTATCTGCTGGTTTACTCCCAAAATGGCCACAATAGCCAGAGCTGGGCCAGGCCGAAGCCAGGAACCAGAAGCTTCTTCCAGGTCTCTCACGTGGGTACAGGGGCCCAAACACTTGGGCCAGCCTCCACTGCTTCCCAGGCACATTAGCAGGGAGCTGGATCAGAAATAGAGCAGCCAGGACTTAAACCAGAGTCCATATGGGATGTGGTATTGCAGGCAGTGGCTTTACTTAATACACCAGAACACCAGCCCTGAAAGGCCTTGATTAGAATATTTGGACTTATTTTTTGAGAAATGTCTTCCTTTCCTTAGGATCTGTTTTACTGAATTACATGTCTTGTTTCCTTGAAATGAAAAAAACAGTTCAGATTTCTTTCTTAAGAATGTTTGGTTTACTCCCTAGAAGATTTTGAAATAAATTAAAATCAAGAGATGTAAGAGGACAGAATTCTTGTAGTTATTACTCACTGGTAATAAATGTTAGTTTCCTACAAGCTGTTCCATCCACTGGTTTACTCCCCAGATTACTGCAACAGCCAGGGCTGAGCCAGGCCAAAGCCAGGAGTCAGGAACTTCATCCAGGTCTCCCACATGGGTGGCAAAGGACCAAGTATTTGGACCATCTTCCACTGCTTTCTCAGTCCATTTGCAGGGAGCTAGATCAAAAGTAGAGTAGGGGCAGGTGCAGTGGTGTAGTAGGTTAAGCCTCCACCTGTGGTGCTGGCATCCCCTATGGGTGTTGGTTCATGTCCCGGCTGCTCCTCTTCCAATCCAGCTCTCTGCTATGGCCTGGGAAAGAAGTAGAGGATGGCACAAGTGCTTGGTCCCCTGCACCCGCATGGGAGACCCAGAAGAAGCTCCTGGCTCCCGGCTTCAGATCGGACCAGGTCTGGCCATTGCGGCCATAAAAAGAGTAGAGTAGCTGGGACTTAAACTGGTGCCCATCTGAGATGCTGGAGTCACAGAGGTGGCTTTACTCCTACACCACAATGCCAGACTTAATAATCTTTTGACCCTAGAAACTAATAAAGATACTTGTTAAGGGTCCATAAATGGACATTCTCATGTCAAAGTCCTGCTTCCAGGAACCTTCTGTGGAGTTTATCAGTGTAGAGAAGAGACATTCTCTCTCTCTCTCTCTCTCTCTCTCTCTCTCTCTCTTTTTTTTTTTTTTTTTTTGACAGGCAGAGTGGACAGTGAGAGAGAGAGCAGAGAGAAAGGTCTTCCTTTTCTGTTGGTTCACCCCCCTAAGTGGTCGCTGCAGCCGGTGTGCTGCAGCCGGCGCACCGCGCTGATCCGAAGCCAGGAGCAAGGTGCTTCTTCTGGCCTCCCATGCGGGTGCAGGGCCCAAGCACTTGGGCCATCCTCCGCTGCACTCCCTGGCCACAGCAGAGAGCTGGCCTGGAAGAGAAGCAACTGGGACAGAATCCGGTGCCCCGACGGGGACTAGAACCTGGTGTGCCGGCGCCGCAGGTGGAGGATTAGCCTATTGAGCGCGGCGCCGGCCGAGAAGAGACATTCTACAAGTTTGGCTTCACTTTCTTGAGGAAATTTGTCTCTTTTTATCATCATGGTTTTGTTTCCCCTCTAGAGGTTACCCCCCAAACGCCCAGAACTCCCTCCAACTCTAATGAGAATGAAGGATGAGCCTGAAGTAGAAGAGGAAGAGGAGGAAGAAGAAGAAGAAGAAGAGAAAGAAAAGGAGGATCATAAAAAGAAAAACTTGGAGGATGACAGTAGGCTACAGCAGGAGACCGAGCCAGAAACAGTGCAGGAAACAAACCCTCTCCAAGAACTCACAAGTTCTAAAGAAACGAAAACCCCTGGTAATGTCTCTTCTTCCTGTGCTGTTCAGTGGGGCAATTATGCTAACACAATAGGACTGAAAAAGCAAAGCGAGTTCTTGTCTGTGCTACATTGACCCTGCAGTGGAGATGGACTTCTTGGTTGTCTTCCTTTGATTGCCAGTCATTATTTATCTCTGTTGCAAATTAAGAGCAAGCATTGCCAGTCTGTTCCAGAAATACAGAAAATTGAAAGCTGCGGAATCTGAAGCCATAGCTGCTGTGGAATAATCCTGAGCTGTGGCCACTTTATGATTTCGAGTAGGGTAGACAGTAGAGCCTAATCAAGTTGGTCTCACTCAAGTCTCCCCTTACTCATTTTTCCTGCCTCCATAATTGTACCTAGTGGACTAAGGTTCTCAAGAAGGATCAAGCTTCATTCCTATTTTTATTTATAGTACCTAGGATACAGCCTAGCATTTGATATTCTCACACTTTGGCAAAGATTTAATAAAAAATGTTTAAAGAAGGAATTGATTGATTTTTAAATATTTTTTTTCTGATTGTGAAAGGAATATGGGTTCATTTTATTTATTTGAGAAGTAGAGTTACAGACAGTGTTGCATCCTCTGGTTCACTCCTCAAATGGCCGCAATGGCCAGATCTAGTCCAGTCTGAAGCCAGGAGCCAGGAACTTCCTCTGGGTCTCCCATGTGAGTGCAGGAACCCAAGGACTTGGGTCATCTTCTACTGCTTTCCCAGGCGACAGCAGAGAGCTAGATCGGAAGAGGAGCAACCAGGACATGAACCTGCACCCATATGGGATGCCAGCACTGCAGGCGGAGGATTAACCTACTGTGCCACAGCACTGGCCCCAGGAATGTGTTCATTTTAGAAATTTTAGATAATAGGAGCCAGCGCTGTGGCATAGTGGGTAAAGCCGCTGCCTGAGGCACCAGCGTCCTGTATGGGTGCCAGTTCGAGTCCTGGCTGCTCCACTTCCGATCCAGCTCTCAGCTGTGACCTGGGAAAGCAGTAGAAGATGGCTCAAGTACTTGGGCCCCCACACCCACGTGGGAGACCTGGAGGAAGCTCCTGGCTCCTGGCTCCAGATCGGCACAGCTCTGACCATTGCAGTCAATCAGGGAGTGAACCAGAGAATGGAAGACCGCTCTCTCTCTCTCTCTCTCTCCCACTCTCTCTCTCTCTCTCTCTGCACCTCTCCTTCTCTCTGTGTGTAACTCTGACTTTCAAATAAATAAATAAATCTTAAAAAAGAAAGAAATTATAGATCATAAATTAAAATCTTTGACCATACATTAAAGTCCAAAGATGGAAAAAAGAATCTGCAATCCTACCTCTAAAAATTATTGTTAATCTTTTTAGTGCCCCCTTTTCCTTTGTCAGCTGCAGGAGTTATTTTCCTGTAGGTTGGCCAGACTTCTTAACAAGATTAAAATCTCAAAGAAAATAGGAAGCATAATATGAAAAACAATAAAATTGGCATTAAATGTATGTAGGAATGCATGCACATCTATTTCCAAAACAATGGTTTGGCTGCAGAAACACTAGGCCTGGTGTGAGTTGTCTGAGAAACAGAAAGGTTATTGTTTCCTTATCTGTGAGAAGTAAGGCTTTTGTATTTGCATTATCTTTTGTTCAGTTATTGCAAAATGCCTACCCTTTTAAGAAATGTATGAGTACTTTGTTTACCAAGTCTGGTCTTTGATCCATATTAGCAGAAAAGGAAGCAATCAACATTTTAATATTTTTTATTCTGTTAAGGGACCAAAATAAACATGTGTGTATAAAAATAACATATTTTAAAACTTACTTTATAAGATAAAGTAATAGGGACTGGCATTGTGGCGTAATGGGTTAAATTGCTACTTGTAGTGCCAGCATCCCATATGGGTACCAGTTCAAGTCCCTGCTGCTCCACTTTTGACACAACTCCCTGCTAATGCACCTGGGAAAACAGTGAAGGATGATCCAAGTGCTTGGGCCCCTGAACCTACATGGGAGAATACAATCCCAATGCTGTTAAATACATACATACAAACAAAAAAGGGAAAAAAGCTTAGAGTAATTCCTCAAAGGCTGCAGATTTATTATTACTTGGTCTTTTTATTTTTTAGATTTATTTTATTTATTTGAAAGAGTTACAGAAGGAGAGAGGGAGAGACAGAGAGAGATCTTCCATCCACTGATTCACTCCCCAAATGGCTGCAGAGGCAAGGCTACGCCAGGCAGAAGCCAGGAGCCAGGACCTTCTTCCGGGTCTCCCATGTGGATACAGGGGCCCAAGTTCTTGAGCCATCTTCTACTGCTTTCCCAGGCCATAGCAGAGAGTTGGATGGGAAGAGGAGCAGCCAGGACTTGAACTGGTGCCCATATGGGATGCCGGCGCCACAGGCGGAGGATTAACCTACTACACTACAGCGCCAGCCCCAAAATATTATTTAAAATATAATTTTAATAAGGGGAATATAAAATACATATGCCATAATTTATTTAAATAATTATTAAATTTATAGGTTTTATGTTGTAATTTTTATGATAAATGTACTTATGTATAATAAGTCTCACTATTCAACTGTGATTTTTAAAAATGTGTTCCTAGAAATACAATTTTTAGGCCAAGAAGTAAATTTTTTAAGATTTTTGGTAAGTATTTCCAAAAGATTTACCTTAAAGTTGGCTAGTTATTTTATTATTATTTTTTTGAGATTTATTTATTTGAAAGGACATCAGAAAGAGGGAGAGGAACACATGCAAACATACAGAGGATGAGAAAGATCTTCCTTTTGATGGTTCACTCCCCAAGTGGCTTCAACAGCTGGGGCTGAGGCAGGCTGAAGCCAGGAGCCAAGAGCTTCATCCAGGTCTCCCACATGGGTGTCAGGATCCCAAGCACTTGGGCCATCTTCTGCTGCCTTCCTAGGTGCATTAACAGGAAGCCGAGTTGGAAGCAAAGTAGCTGGGACTCAACCCAGCCCTCCAATATAGGATGCCAGTGTCGTAAGTGGCAGCTTAACTCATTATGTGATGATGCTGGCCCTAAATTTTTTTAAGTGGAAAACGAGCGTTCTCTGTTGCACACTTGGAGGCAGATTTATTGAAGACCTTAGTAAGGTTAACTGAAGCTCATGATCACAAAACTGGATGATTAAGTGTATACTTAGCTTCTCTTGCTTTTGTTTTCTTTGGCTTTCCACCATGAATTCAACATTAACAATAAGCCTTGGTACTGCTTTTTGTAGAAATCATGTCTCATCTCAGCCACGAGGAGCAGAATCAAGAATATCAAGAGCTCAGTGAAACAGCTTCATGTGTCGAGGAGCCCTCAGGTAAGTAGGACAGCAGCTCCTTTGCTGCTCTGCACACAGGCAGCCACCTGGTTTCATGGGGGAGGGCTTGGTAACTTACCTGTAAGGCAGCAGCATGGAGAAGACCAGTCACTAGGTAGGTGCTGTCATCAGGGCCCTAGACAAAACTGGAACATAGGAGAGGTTTCTGTTTGGTGCCATTCCATTTGCCTTTTTAAAAAATATATACATATATTTTTAAAGATTCATTTTTTTTCCTTGAAAGTCAGTTACACAGAGAGAGAAGGAAAGGCAGAGAGATCGAAAGAGAAAGAGAGAGGTTTTCCATCCGCTGGTTCACTCCCCAGATGGCAGCAACGGCCAGAGCTGTGCCGATCCGAAGCCAGGAACCAGAATCTTCCTCTGGGTCTCCCACTTGGGTGCAGGGGCCCAAGCACTTGGGCCATCTTCCACTGCTTTCCCAGGCCACAGCAGAGAGCCGGATTGGAAGTGGAGCAGCCGGGTCTTGAACCAGTGCCCATTTGGGATGCGGGCACTGCAGGCTGCAGCTTTACCCACTACACCACAGCACCAGCCCCTTTCTTTATTTGAAAGGCAGAGTTACAGAGAGAGGTAGAGACAGACAGACAGAGAGAGAGAGAGAGAAGTCTTCCATCCACTGGTGTACTCCCCACATGGCTGCAAAGGCCAGAGCTGAGCTGATCTGAGCCAGAAGCCAGAAGCCAGAAGCCAGGGGCTTCTTCCAGGTCTCTCATGTAGTTGCCGGGGCCTAAGTACTTGGGCCATCCTCTGCTATTTTCCCAGGCCAGAATAAGGGATGCTGGATCAGACATGGAATAGCCAGGGCATGAAGCGGTGACCATTTGGGATGCTGGCACCACAGGCTAGGGTTTTAACCTGCTGCACCACAGCACTGGCCCTGCCATTTGCTTTTTTTAAAAAACGTTTCTTCTGCCTTTTGGGATTTCCTGTCCATGCCCCACAGAGCACATAATACCTTGATACTTCCCTCTGCCCATACAAAGTCCTCTGTAATTTTACATCTCCCAGAGTTGAATATGTGCCTATTGTGCGAGAGATTCCAGAACTACTAAAAGAAATTGATTGAAAGGTTGACCCATGGGGCTGGTGCTGTGGCGTTGCAGGTGAAGCCGTCACCTGCAGTGCCAGCATCTCATAGGGGTGCTGGTTCAAGTCCCATCCAGCTCTCTGCTATGGCCTGGGAAAGCCCAAAATGACCCCTGCACCCACGTGGGAGACCTGGAGGAAGCTCCTGACTCCTGGCTTCGAATTGGTGCAGCTCCGTCCATTGCGGTCAATTGGGGAGTGAACCAGTGGATGGAATACTCTCTCTCTCTCTCTCTCTCTCTCTCTGTCTGCCTCTCCTCTCTCTGTGTAACTTTGACTTTCAAATGAATAAATTAATCTTTAAAAAAAAAAAAAGAAAAAAGGAAAGGCTGACCCATTAAAAGATTTTACCTGTAATGGGTGAACTCTGGAAAGTAAAGGCAGCTTCGTTTTCTGTTACTTTTTCACATGGTATAATTATATGCAAGCTTGCAGAATATCCTTAGAATTTAAAAACTAGGATTACCAGTGAAGGAAGATATCTCTCTTCTTAATACAGTTTTTACAGTGGTAGAAGGAATTTTTGAGAATTGGGTTGTCATTGACATGTTTTCTTTGGAATTTTTCTTTTCTATTTTACTTATTCTATAAATAGTGATTACTACCTTTTTTCTCCCTTAAATTAGCATCATGTAATGAACATGAGGAAAACAGAGGTGAATTGAAGAAAAAGAAAACTGGTCCAGGCAAAGTAAGTACTTGACTTCTCTGGAAATAAATATGAATTCCCAGGGTATGTGGTTGGCTCAGCAGTTCAGCTTCTACTTGGATACCCTCATCTCAAATCAAGATGCCTGGGCGGGGCCGGCGCCACAGCTCACTAGGCTAATCCTCCGCCTAGCGGCACCGGCACACTGGGTTCTAGTCCCAGTCGGGGCACCAGATTCTGTCCCAGTTGCCCCTCTTCCAGGCCAGCTCTCTGCTGTGGCCAGGGAGTGCAGTGGAGGATGGCCCAAGTCCTTGGGCCCTGCACCCCATGGGAGACCAGGAGAAGCACCTGGCTCCTGGCTCCTGCCTTCAGATAGGTGCGGCGGCGGCCATTGGAGGGTGAACCAACGGCAAAAGGAAGACCTTTCTCTCTCTCTGTCTCTCTCTCTCTCACTGTCCACTCTGCCTGTCAAAAAAACAAAAAAAACAACAACAACAAAAAGAAGATGCCTGCGCAGCTGGCGCTGCAGCTCACTTGGCTAATCCTCCTCCTGCGGCACCAGCACCCCGGGTTCTAGCCAGCACCCTGGGTTCTAGTCCCGGTTGGGGCACCGGATTCTGTCCTGGTTGCTCCTCTTCCAGTCCAACTCTCTGCTATGGCCAGGGAGTGCAGTGGAGGATGGCCCAGGTGCTTGGGCCCTGCACCCCATGGGAGACCAGGAAAAGCACCTGGATCCTGGCTCCTGCCATCGGATCAGCGCGGTGCGCCGGCTGCAGCGGCGGCCATTGGAGGGTGAACCAACGGCAAAGGAAGACCTTTCTCTCTCTGTCTCTCTCTCTCACTGTCCACTCTGCCTGTCAAAAAAACAAAAAAAACAACAACAACAAAAAGAAGATGCCTGCGCAGCTGGCGCTGCAGCTCACTTGGCTAATCCTCCTCCTGCGGCACCAGCACCCCGGGTTCTAGCCAGCACCCTGGGTTCTAGTCCCGGTTGGGGCACCGGATTCTGTCCTGGTTGCTCCTCTTCCAGTACAACTCTCTGCTGTGGTCTGGGAGGGCAGTGGAGGATGGCCCAAGTGCTTGGGCTTCTGCATCCGCATGGGAGACCAGGAGGAAGCATCTGGCTCCTGGCTTCGGATCAGCGCAGCGCGCCAGCTGTAGCGGCCACTTGGGAGGTGAACCAACGGAAAAGGAAGACCTTTGTCTCCTTCTCTCTCACTGTCTAACTCTGCCTGTCAAAAAAAAAAAAAAAAAAAAAAAAAAAGCCTGGGTTCAATTCCTGGCTCTGCTAATGTGTACCCTGGGAGGCATGTGATAGCTCAAGTACTTCGGTCCTTGCTATCCATGTGGGAGACGTGGATTGAGTTCCTGGGTCTCAGGCATTTCAAGAGTAAACCAGCAGATGGGCTCATTCTTTCTCTCTCAAATTAAAAAAAAAAAAAAAAAAAAAAAAAAAAAAAAAAATCCCTTGTGATGGACCACATCTCATCTAGGACAGTGAATTTTTGAAGATTGACTTAACAGACTTCCCAACAGCCTTATCCCCCTCTAGAAATCTAGGCTCTCTTTTATTTTTATTTTTGTATTTTCTATTCTTGTCTCCATCTACCCTGTTCTCTCTAACCACTTCATAGAAGCTACTTCTTTTATTAATTTGTGATTATTTCTTCATTTCCTAGTATGCCATGCAAAGACCTTTGAATAACGTATTTTTAATTTCCTCCTTTTATTACACCAAATGCAAAATATAATTCATTGTACATTTTTTAGCCTATCATGGAAATTGTTGTTTATCAGTATATTGAGAGCTTCCTGCTACATGAATATAACCTAATTAGTTCACTATAGAGGGATGTTTGGATTGTTCTAGTTTATTACAGCAGTGCTATTATAAGGTAAGTTTTGGGGCTGCTCCACTTATCCAGGTCCCTGCTATTGCACCTGGGAAAGCAGCAGAAGATGGCCCAAATACATGGGCTCCTGCTCTCATATGGAGGACCCGGATGATGCTCCTGGCTCCTGCCTTGGGTCTAGCCCAGTCATGGCTGTTTTAGTCATTTGGGGAGTGAGTCAGCAGATGGAAGCTCGCTCTCTCGCTCTGTCCCTCTCCCTCTCCCTCTCCCTCTCCCTCTCTCCCCCTCACTCTCTCCCTTTCTGCCTCTCTACCTCTCCTTCTTCCCCTCTTTCCCCCTCTGTAACTCTGCCTTTCAAATAAATCAATCTTTTTAAGAGAAGAAAGAAGAAAATGTTAAGTTTCCAGTAATGGGATTTCTGGGTTGTGTTGGGAGGCCCCCAAGGCCACCTTCAGGTTAGGAAATTCACAAGAGGACTCACAGGACTCAGCATGTGGTCATACTTGCAGCCATGATTTACTGCAGCAAATGGAAAAGGCACATAGGACGAAATCTGGGGCAAGTGTCCCTTCCAGTGGCATCACACAGGACAAGCCTAATCTTCCTAACAGTGAGTTGTGACAGCACATGTGAAATACTGCTGCCTAGGGAAGCTTATTATCAATGCCTGGGAATTTTAATAAGCTCCAATCACACAGGTATTCCTTGCTTGGCATGTACTCAAGTTTCAGACTCCCACAAGGATTTTGTGTTTGGTATCAACCACATTGTTTGTACAAGCATTTTAGACACAATGAGCCACTCTTATCAGTTAAAGTAGTGGTAACTCTCCCAAAATCCAGATTCTCAGACTCCAACCAAAGGCCAACCTTGTAAGCAGGATTCCAGGGGATAGCATTCAGATTTGCTCATTTAACTCTTCTATACCTAGATCAAAATATAAATGCCAATTTCTTTCTCTGGAGGTACCATTTAGCACTGATGCCCTCATGTTAAGTGTCCTGCTTTTTTTCTTAAATCTTAATTTATTTAAAAGAGAGAAAGAACGACAGATCTTTAACCTGCTGGTCCACTCCCCAAATGCCTACAACAGCCAGGACTGGAACAGGCCAAATCCAGGAGCCAGGAACTCAACTAGTTGAGCCATCCCCTGCTCCTCCTAGGAAGCTGGCATGGGAAGTGGTGCCAGAACTCAAACCGAGACACTCCCGTGTGAGATGTGGGTATTTCCAGGCAGCATCCTAACCACTGCACCAAATGCTTGTGACCTGATTACAGTTACCCCTTTCAGAAGCGTCACATCACTCTCACTGGCTGAAAATCAACTTCTTGAGGCTTTATGGAGAAAAAAAAAAATCAGTTCACAGAATGCTTCCCCAAATAGATTACTTAATATCATTAATAGAAACTGTTCTGTTTCAGTTTTTGTTTGCTTACAGGCACAGGGACAATTTTTTTTAAAGATTTATTTATTTATTTATTTTTTAAACTTTTATTTAATGAATATAAATTTCCAAAGTACGACTTATGGATTACAATGGCTTCCCCCCCATACTGTCCCTCCCACCCACAACCCTCCCCTTTCCCACTCCCTCTCCCGTTCCATTCACATCAAGATTCATTTTCGATTATCTTAATATACAGAAGATCAGCTTAGTATACATTAAGTAAGGATTTCAACAGTTTGCTCCCACACAGAAACATAAAGTGAAAAATAATAGATGATTTTTTTTTTAATGATGATGAAATCAGAGCAGACCTGTTGTCATGTTTAATCCCAGTGAGAGTCAAGTTGGGAATTGATAATTTCTTTTTTTTTTTTTTTTTTACAGAGGATCAGTTTAGTATGCATTAAGTAAAGATTTCAACAGTTTGCACCCCCATAGAAACACAAAGTGAATTATATTGTTTGAGTACTCATTATAGCATTAAATCTCAATGCACAGCACATTAAGGACAGAGATCCTACATGAGGAGTAAGTGCACAGTGACTCCTGTTGTTGACTTTACAAATTGACACTCCTGTCTATGGCATCAGTAATCTCCCTATGCTCCAGTCATGAGTTTCCAAGGCTATGGAAGCCCTCTGAGTTCTCCGACTCTTATCTTGTTTAGACAAGGTCATAGTCAAAGTGGAGGTTCTCTCCTCCCTTCAGAGAAAGGTACCTCCTTTTTGATGACCTGTTCTTTCCACTGGGATCTCACTCACAGAGATCTTTTGCGAGTGTCTTGGCTTTCCATGCCTGAAATACTCTCATGGGCTTTTCAGCCAGATCCGAATGCCTTTAGGGCTGATTCTGAGGCCAGAGTGCTATTTAGGACATCTGCCATTCTATGAGTCTGCTGAGTATCTCACTTCCCATGTTGGATCACTCTCCCCTTTATTTATTCTATCGGTTAGTGTTAGCAGGTATTAGACTTGTTTATGTGCTCCCTTTGACTCTTAGTCCTTTCATTATGATCAGTTGTGAACTGAAATTGATCACTTGGACTAGTGAGATGGCATTGGTACATGCCACCTTGATGGGATTGAATTGGAGTCCCCTGGTATGTTTCTAACTCTACCATTTGGGGCAAGTCAGCTTGAGCATGTCCCAAATTATACATCTCTTCCCTCTCTTATTCCCACTCTTATGTTTAACAGGGATCACATTTCAGTTAATTCTCAACACTTGAGAATAACTGTGTATTAATTACAGAATTAAACCAGTCATATTAAGTAGAACAGATTAAAAAAAAGATTTATTTATTTATTTTGAAAGAGTTACAGAGAGAGGGAGAGATAGAGAAAGATCTTCCATCTCCCACTGCTTCCCAGGTGCATTAGCAGGGAACTGGATTGGAAGTAGAGCAGCTGGGACTCAAACTGTCACCTGTATGGGATGCTAGAGCTGCAGGCAGGCCTAACTCACTACATCACAACCCTGGCCTCGTAAATGAATTCTTCTGAATAAAATAATCCATCTTTTCTTTGCAGCTCCCACCAATACTTTCTTCCAAATATCCTGATGATGACCCAGACTACTGTGTGTGGGTCCCACCTGAAGGTAGATTGTTTCTCCTTGCCTTATCCTCTGAGACTGATTTATTTATATTGTTGAATAGGTGATATATAGATATATAGATAGTTTTTGGCATTGTAAATATTTTGTTTTATTCACAGCAAAAAGCTATGATTATAAAAGTCAGTGAGATTATAATTTTAAGTATGTATATATCATATATATACATATATAAAACATACATGACAATAACAACACAAAAAATAAAGGAAGGGGGAAAACTATATTGTGATGTATATTTAAGGTTCCAAATAGAAAAGCTATAAGAGTATTTACTGGAAAGTATCCCTTCTGGTGGAATAGGTAGATTAAAAAATCTAAAGAGAAAGAAATGTCAAGCCAGTTTTGACACTTACTCAAGCAGACAACTGTTAAAAAATAATGGGTCACTCAGATAATTCTGAATATTAGCTGAATATTTGATGATACTAAGAAATTATGGTCACTTTTTTTTAAAGTGTGAATGATGTTAAATTTTTTTTTGAAAAATCCTGAGCTTCTAGTAACATATGTGTAAATGTTCAGAGATAGGATGATTTCTGTATTTACGGTGAAATAATCCAATGGTGAAAGATGAGGGAAGGTGGAAGAGGATAATAGATGAAATAGGAGTGATAATTGTTAAAGTTGGGTGATAAGAACATGGAAGTTCATTCTGTTTTTCTATTTACTTTTCATGTATTTTAAATTTTCTCTATACAGTTGAAAGAAAAATGTTCTGGGTATGCATTACCAATCCAATTTTTTTCTCTAAACACATTCAAATATTATCAGTTTCTTATTAGTTCTTGTGTTTATATGTACAATAAAGTACATAGTATTTCACCACTTTTTTTTTACACAAATGGAAGTATAATCTGCACCTTGCTATTTTGCATTTAGCACTATTTTTTTCTTTTTAAGATTTATTTATTTGGGGCCAGCAGTGTGGCATAGTGAATTAAGCCACCATCTGCAGCACCAGATCCCATATGGATGCCAGTTCGAGTCCTGGATGCTCCATTTCCAATCCAGCTCCCTGCTAATGTGCCTGGGAAAGCAATGGAAGGTGGCCCAAGCACTTGGGCATGTGGGAGATCTGGCTGAAGCTCCTGGCTCCTGGCTTTGGCCTGGCCCAGCCCTGGCAACTGCTGCCATTTGGGGAGTGAACCAGCGAATGGAAGATTTGTCTCTCTGCCTCTGCTTCTGCCTTCCTCTCTGTAACTCTACTTTTCAAATCAATAAATAAATCTTAAAAGGATATAAGATTTATTTATTTGAAATGCAGAGTTACAGGCACATGGACAATTTTTTTTAAAGACTTATTTTGAAAGCGTTACAGAGAGAGGGAGAGAAAGAGAAAGATCTTCCATCTGCTAGTTCACTCTTCAGATGGCCTCAAGGGCCTGGGCTGGACCAGGTCGAAAGCAGGAGTCATGTGGGTGCAGGGGCCCATTTCAGGTTTACCTGCTATGCCAGAACACTGGCCCCACACTTAGCACTTTATGGAAATCCTTCCATAGCTAGTTACAGAATTCTTGGTTTTTTTTGTTTGTTTTTTAATCGCACCATAGTTCCTTTTTATGGTATGGCTATACTTTTCCTTAAACAGTTCTCCCAGTGAATATTTACTGTTTCCAGTCTTTTGCAATTAAAAATAATCTTTCAATAAATAACTTATAACATTTATAGTTTTAATATATATATTTATAATATACAAGGTACTTCAAAAAGTTTATAGAAAATTGAATTAAAAGACGCTTATTTTGGTGTAAAAAAATTTTGAAATCTATGCATAGTTTTTTCATAGAATGCATTTCCCATAAATTTTTTGGTGGTTCCTTGTATAAAGCATAGAGGTGCATTGATTAAAAAAAATTCATGAATGTTAACATGCTAAATCAAAGGCATGAAATTTTTAAATTGTTATAAATTGCATTCTATAGAAAGTGTATCAGTTTTGTGATCATATATATTCCCTTAAGGAATGTGTGAGATGGGTATTTCCCCAATATGCATATCAGCATGTTGCTTTTCATTTTTTTCTTTTTTATTTTTTTTAAAGAGTTTGTTTATTTATTTGAGGGGTAGCGTTATAGACAGTGAGATGGAGAGATAGAGAGAAAGGTCTCCATCTGCTGGTTCACTCCCCAGATAGCCACAACAGCTGCAGCTGAGCAGATGCAAAGCTAGGAACCAGGAGCTTCTTCCCAGTCTCCCATGCAGGTACAGGGGCCTAAGTCCTTGGGCCATCTTCCACTGCTCTCCCAGGCCGCAGCAGAGAGCTTTATCGGAAAAGGAGCAGCCAGGACTAGAACTGGTGCCCATATGGGATGCCAGCACTGCAGGCAGAGGATTAACCTACTGCACCACAGCGCCAGCCTCTACATGTTGCTTTTCTTCTGAGTGGTGTTTCTAATATACTATTTAAAATTTTTTTAATTAATTTATTTTTACTTATTTGAAAGGGAAAGAGACAGAGACAAAGAAATTTTTCTATCTGCTGATCTACTCCCCAAACTCCCAGAATAGCTGGGCCTGGGCCAGGCCAGTGCCATGAGCTGGAAAATGGGAACTCAGTGCAGGTCTCCCACATGGGTGGCAGTTACCAAGTACTCGAGCCATTACCTGCTGCCTCCCAGGGTGCCCATTGGCACGAAGCCAGAATTGGTAGTGAGCCAGGACTTGAGCCCAAGTATCCCAATAAGGAAGTCTTAACCGAGTGCCAAATGCCCACCCCTCTAGCACACTATTAATGAAATTTGACAGCAGTGTTTGCTTTCTTGTCTGCTAATAAGAGTAAGAGTGAAAAAGAAGACTGTATATGAGAAATTACACATAGAAACTAAAATTTCTATCAGAAGAAAACTCTCTGTGTTTTACTTTTGGCCTTCTGGTTTTTTGGATATCTTTTGCCTCCTAACTCTGGAAGAGTAAATGAATCTCTTTCTTTTCATGTGCTGCGATCCAGGGCAAAGTGGAGATGGCAGAACCCATCTTAATGACAAGTATGGCTACTGATTGCTTCAGAATCCCGAAGGAAGACCCATGGACATGCAGCCTGGTACATCTGGGATATGTTTCACACTTAATAGGCAGAGAAGTTCAAATGATGGTAAAAGCTTGTGACTGGCCTTTTTGCCCATGCTCTTGGTTTTCTAAATTTTATCTGCTCATTTGATTCTCCTGAATTTGGTATTTATGTTTAAAAGTATTTGTGTATATATGTAAAAAGGAAAGCCTATACTTTGAGAATTAGTAGTGAAAAACATGACCCTATTAAAATGATAAGGCAAAGGTGTCCTAATGTGGATTTAAGGTTTACAGTGTCTTTTGTTAAGATTTGGGGACTATGTTTTTCCTAAGCAGTAGAGTGTATCTGGCAGTTAGGTTGTAGGATTCATTGGTAACTCCTCCTCCTAACAGGTGAAATAAGAGATTATTTCGAGTGTGACGCGGATGTTCCACTTACCACTGGAATAAACACAGATTCACCATGGGGGCTTCCTGCTGCCTCCAGTGGTGATCATCCTGCCAGGTTTGAACACAGCCCCTGACTTACCAGGTTAACCGTAGCACCACCTCATGCAGGCAGGCACTAGCCCTGATCAAAATTCAGTAGTTGCAGCCATTTGGGGAATGAACCAGCAGATGAAAGATCTCTGTAACTCTGTCAAACAAATAAATAAATCTTAAAAAAAAAAAAAGAAGAAGAAGACATATAACTATAAGTTCTGGGGATGGTAGATATTGTCTTGTGTCTAGAGATGCTGAAAGCAAATGGGACTCCATATTCCAAAAATAAAATCTAAATGGGTAACTTACAAGCTAGGATCAGTAGTTGGTGGACTTGATTTAACAGCGGTGGTTGGTAGGACTGGACATGACGCTTAGCTCCCTTTTACTAAACAGGAGACTGATCAGATGTGTGAAATTCCGAGTCTGAGTTGTGTCATCTGTGAGGCAGGGACAGCAGTGGGGCAGCAGTGCTTCCTGCTCCCAGAACTTCAGATTTGTTCTCAGGCCCAAATGAGATGATGTAGGTGGAGGTACTTTCGGGGCTTTCAAGATATGGGAATGGTTACCACAAAAAGGGGATGTGGATCCTCACCTCTGGGCCTGACTTGCCTCATCTCTGAAGGAGGAGGAAGGATTAGATCAATCCCTCGTGACCTCGCTGCATGTTAGAATCCCCTGGAGAAAAATTTTAGATTTTTAATTCTGACACTTGGGTCGGACCTCAGACCAGTGTAATCAGAGGCAACCCCTCTTAAAAGTGCTCCAGGTGACCCTAAATGTACAGCCCGTGTTGGAGAACCCCTAGAGCACTTTATTGTGTAGCCAACCTTTTCTGTTTAGGGCCAGATGCTTTAGGCTTTGCAAACCGTACAATCTGTCACAACTGCTCAGCTCTGCTGTTGTAGTGCAAGCATAAATGAGTGAGTGTGTGTTTATAAAAACAGTGCAGGCCAGATTTGGCCCACAGACTACATAGTTGGCTAACCACTGCTCTAAACTGATTCATCTTCAAGTCTTATATGGCTCAAGATGTTCTTCATGCCATCTTTACAAAATAAGGTATGTCCTAGTGCATGGGTATTTAAAAACTGTATTCAGAAGGCTAATTATCCCCTTCTGAACTGTATGGGTTGCAGTTTTATGGTTACCAGAAATCAGGGTAATCCAGTCTCTTTTCTCAGAAAGAACAGTAATTAGTCTTGAAAAATAAATTCTGGGGCTGGTACTATGGCATAGTAGGTAAGCACCAGCATCCCATATGGGCATCGGTTCAAGCCCTGGCTGCTCCATTTCTGTTCTAGCTCCCTGCTAATGCAGCTGGGAAAGCAGTGGAGGATGGTTCAAGTGCCTGGGCCTCTCCATCCATGTGGGAGACCTGGAAGAAGCTCCTGGCTCCTGGCTTCAAAGTGGCCCAGCTCTGGCCAATGCAGCCATTTGGAGTGTGAACCAGCGGATGGAAGACTCTGTGTGTGTGTGTGTGTGTGTGTGTAAAACTCTGCATTTCAAATAAAATAAACACATCTTTTTTTTTTTTTTTTTTTAGATTTTATTTATTTATTTGAGAGGTAGAGTTACAGACAATGAGAGGGAGAGACAGAGAGAAAGGTTCTTCCCTTGGTTCACTCCCCAAATGGCCTCAACAGCTGGAGCTGCGCTGATCCGAAGCCAGGAGCCAGGAGCTTCTTCCCGGTCTCCCACACAGGGGCCCAAGCACCTGGGCCATCTTCTACTGCTTTCCCACGCCACAACAGAGAGCTGGATTGGAAGAGGAGCAGCCAGGATTAGAGCCAGCACCCATATGGGATGCCAACGCCACAGGCAGAGGATTAACCTACTGCACCACAGCACAGGCCCCATAAACACATCTTTAAAAAGAAAGAAAGCTGGATTCTGTTAGAGCAGGAACACAACAGACAACTGTGTGCATGATGCCCTGGTCAGTGTCCTGGCCTCCCCAGAGTTCTGTATCGCCTCTGTCTCTGTTTAACAAGCAATAGGAATCCACTGGGGCCTTAGCGACATTGAAAAAGAATGGTCAGGCTGCAGTGTGGAGAAGGGATGGAAGAGGGCAAGAGGATGTCAGGAGGCTAGGTGAGGGATTATGAGGGCTTGACCTAAGTGGGGGTTGAGCTGGAAAGAGTATTTTTAAAAATATTTTAAAAAATAGAATGGGTGATGGGATTCTCTGTGGATGAGAGGGAAGGCATCTAGGACTCCCAGATTGCCAGCTAGTATATCTGAGTGGATGGTGGCTCATAGTGAGGTCAGAGAAACATTGAAGGGCATCGCCTGCAATGCGAGCATCCTGTATGGGTGCCGGTTCGAGTCCCGGCTGCTCCACTTCTGATCCAGCTCTCTGCTGTGGCCTGGGAAAGCAGTAGAAGATGGCCCAAGTGCTTGAGCCCCTGTGTCCCAGGCTCCTGGCTTCAGGTCGGCACAGCTCTGGCCGTTGTGACCATCTAGGGAATGAACCAGAAGATGGAAGACCTACCCCCCTTTTGCCTCTCTGTAATTCTGCCTTTCAAATAAATACATAAATCTTAAAAAAAAAAAAAAAAAAAAGAAGTGTTGAGGTTGAAATGCAGAAATTTTAAGTTCCGTTTTGGACAAGTTAAGCTTGTTGCCCTTTAGATACACTTAAGTGAAAGTGTCAAGGAAGCAGTCAGACATCTTGGATCTTGGTAGAGAAACCTGGAGGATGGTTGTGGTTTCCAGCAAATGAACCTAAGAGTCAGACTGGTGAGGTTACAGACCAGGTGACAGACAAGAACTGTGCGGGCACCTCCCAGTCTTAGAAGGCTGGTCTCCTGGGAAAAATTTCCTGGTTATGGGTTCTCATTTATTGGACAAGAGTAGGGTGGGGGTGGGTAGTATGTGTGCCACAGTGGGCAGCATTTTGGGGAGAAAAGGTCAGGGTATTTAACATTAAGTCTCTCTGTTCACTCTTGTAGTTTTCTAGGGGTCTAAATCTTTTTTTTTTTTTTTTTTTTTTTTGACAGGCAGAGTGGACAGTGAGAGAGAGAGAGACAGAGAGAAAGGTCTTCCTTTGCCGTTGGTTCACCCTCCAATGGCCGCCGCGGCCAGCGCAGCACACTGCACTGATCCGATGGCAGGAGCCAGGTACTTATCCTGGTCTCCCATGGGGTGCAGGGCCCAAGGACTTGGGCCATCCTCCACTGCACTCCCTGGCCACAGCAGAGAGCTGGCCTGGAAGAGGGGCAACCGGGACAGAATCCGGCACCCTGACCGGGATTAGAACCCGGTGTGCCGGCGCCGCTAGGCGGAGGATTAGCCTAGTGAGCCGTGGCGCTGGCCTAGGGGTCTAAATCTTATGTAGAAAGGCAAAACTGTGCTTTCTTAACTATTTTGTTTAATTAAAAATTACCAGTAATATAGCTACATTTATTTAGTTCCCCCAGTGTGCAGGCAGTGCACTAACTGGTTGATGTGCATTTTCATTTCATCTTGAGTTGTTGAGGTAAGTACTGTAATTTCCTTCAGTATATAGTGGAAGACACTGAGGCCCAGGAGGATAAAACTTTTTTTTTTTTTTTAATTTATTTGAGATGTAGAGTTACAGACAGAGAGGGAGAGACAAGAGAGAAAGATCTCCCATCTGCTGGTTCACTCCCTAAATGGCCTCAGTGGCCAGAGCTGAGCAGATCTGAAGCCAGGAGCCAGGAGCTTCTTCCAGGTCTCCCACGTTGAGTACAGAAGCTCAAGCACTTGAGCCATCTTCTACTGTCCCAGGCCACAGCAGAGAGCTGCATAGCAGAGGAGCAGCAGGACACTGGCACCCATATCAGATGCTGGTGCCGTGGGCGGAGGTTTTAGTCCACTACACCACAATCTGGCCCTCTGTCTCTCAGTCTTTGCCTCTGTCTGTAACTCTTCCTCTCAAATAAATAAGTAAAATCTTCTAAAAAATGTTTTTATTCCCAAAACAAAGGATATTTAGAGAAGAGGAAAATATGCAAAGGGAAGAGATGAAGCATGAACAACACCACAAAATTAAATGTACAAGGAGTTTAGCTTCCCTGTAACATGCCCGTTTTGATTCGGTTATTTCAGATGAGCATTGGAACTTCATTTTGGAAATGCATCTGCTGAAGTCGAATCATTATCATAAACAGACTTTATTGTTGCATTGTGAAGGAAAAGACACTAGCCCCAGATTCGGAGACTTGCACTGTGTGGCTCTTCCATGCAGCACCCTGGTTACCCAAGCGAAGCCTGAGAAGACTAGAGTGATCTGAGCATGTTCTTCAGGGTTTCTCAGCGTAACTCCTCTTTGGTCTGCAGGGAAGAAACCAGGGCTCTGAGAAACTGTGGCTCGCTCAGAATTCCAGTTACCACTTACCTCTCTCTGACGCCTCAGTTAGCCAGGTACACAGCAGGCTTTCTCTCAACTGGAAAATCATGATAAAATATAGTTTTATCATATATATGCCCCATCTGTCACCAAGGATGTTGAGAGGGTCAGATAATGTACGTGAAGAAGCCTTGAATGCCATAAAGTGCTGTACACTAAAGTGTTTCCTGTTTCCTGTGGCCTCTCTCCCTCCTTCCCTCTCCCCATCCCTGAGTGGTTTTTCCAGTGCCTTCTGCAGCCCTCGCCTCCGAGTGTGGAGACGGGATTGCTGTGGGCATCCCACAAGTCTGTCTTGGAGTTGCAGTGTATGGGGTGGCTCCTGACTAGGCTGTATTTTCAAAGGTTTTTTAGAGATAGAAGATGTACTTCCTTTATTTTATTTATTTGAAAGGCAGAATTTCAGAGAGAACGAGGGAGAGACA